TATTCCCCCTCAGGAGACTGAAAAGATTTGGCATGGGTCCTCAGATCCTCAAAAAGTTATACAGCTGCACAATCGAGAGCATCCTGACTGGTTGCTTCACCGCCTGGTATGGCAACTGCTTGGCCTCCGACCGCAAGGCACTACAGAGGGTAGTGCGTACGGCCCAGTACATCACTGGGGCCAAGATTCCTGCCATCCAGGACCTCTATACCAGGCGGTGTCAGAGGAAAGCCCTCAAAATTGTCAAAGACTCCAGCCACCCTAGTCATAGACTGTTCTCTCTGCTACCGCACGGCAAGCGGTACCGGAGTGCCAAGTCTAGGTCCAAAAGACTTCTCAACAGCTTCTACCCCCAAGCCATAAGACTCCTGAACAGCTAATCATGGCTACCCGGACTATTTGCACTGCCCCCCCACCCCATCCTTTTACGCTGCTGCTACTCTGTTAATTATTTATGCATAGTCACTTTAACTCTGCCCACATGTACATATTACTTCAACTACCTCAACTAGCCGGTGCCCCCGCACATTGAGTCTGCACCGGTACCCCCCCCTGTATATATAGCCTCCCTACTGTTATTTTATTTTACTTCTGCTCTTTTTTTCTCAACACTTTTTTTGTTGTTGTTTTTATTTTTACTTTTTTGTTAAAAATAAATGCACTGTTGGTTAAGGGCTGTAAGTAAGCATTTCACTGTAATGTCTGCACCTGTTATATTCTGGCCAATAGGCCATGGCTATTGTAGCTGGAAACGGCTGATTTTTTTTATGGAATATCAAATCAAATCAAATTTGATTTGATATTCCATAAAAAATCAGCCGTTTCCAGCTACAATAGCCATTTAGAACATTAACAATGTGTACACTGTATTTCTGATCAATTTGATGTTATTTTAATGGACAAAAAAATTGCTTTTCTTTCGAAAACAAGGACATTTCTAAGTGACCCAAAACGTTTCAACGGTAGTGTATGTAGCTAAGTCCTTTACAGTGGCTTGCGAAAGTATTCACCCCCCTTGGCATTTTTCCTATTTTTGTTGCCTTACAACCTGTAATTAAAATATAATTTTTGGAGATTTGTATCATTTTAAGATGCAAAATATGTTTTATTGTGAAACAAACAAGAAATAAGACAAACAAGCATAACTATTCCCCCCCCCCCCCCCCCCCCCCCCAAAGTCAATACTTTGTAGAGCCACCTTTTGCAGCAATTACAGCTGCAAATCTCTTGGGGTATGTCTCTATAAGCTTGGCACATCTTGCCACTGCTTATAAAGGCAAAACTGCTCCAGCTCCTTCAAGTTGGATGGGTTCCGCTGGTGTACAGCAATCTTTAAGTCATACCACAGATTCTCAATTGGATTGAGGTCTGGGCTTTGACTAGGCCATTCCAAGACATTTAAATGTTTCCCCTTAAACTACTTGAATGTTTCTTTAGCAGTATGCTTAGGGTCTTTGTCCTGCTGGAAGGTGAACCTCCGTCCCAGTCTCTAATCTCTGGAAGTCTGAAACAGGTTCCCCTCAAGAATTTCTCTGTATTTAGCGCCATCCATCATTCCTTCAATTCTGACCAGTTTCCCAGTCCCTGCCGATGGAAAAACATCCCACAGCATGATGCTGCCACCACCATGCTTCACTGTGGGGATGGTGTTCTCGGGGTGATGAGAGGTGTTGGGTTTGCGCCAGACATAGTGTTTTCCTTGATGGCCAAAAAGCTCAATTTTAGTCTCATCTGACCAGAGTACCTTCTTCCATATGTTTGGGGAGTCTCCCACATGCCTTTTGGCAAACACCAAACGTGTTTGCTTATTTTTTTCTTTAAGCAATGGCTTTTTTCTGGCCAGTCTTCCGTAAAGCCCAGCTCTGTGGAGTGTACGGCTTAAAGTGGTCCTATAGACAGATACTCCAATCTCCGCTGTGGAGCTTTGCAGCTCCTTCAGGGTTATCTTTGGTCTCTTTGTTGCCTTTCTGATTAATGCCCTCCTTGCTTGGTCCGTGAGTTTTGGTGGGCAGCCCTCTCTTGGCAGGTTTGTTGTGGTGCCATATTATTTCCATTTTTTATAATGGATTTAATGGTGCTCCATGGGATGTTCAAAGTTTCGGATATTTTTTATAACCCAACCCTGATCTGTACTTCTCCACAACTTTGTCCCTGACCTGTTTGGAGAGCTCATTGGTCTTCATGGTGCTGCTTGCTTGGTGGTGCCCCTTGCTTAGTGGTGTTGCAGACTCTGGGGCCTTTCAGAACAGGTGTAAATACAGTTGAAGTCGGAAGTTTACATACACTTAGGTTGGAGTCATTACAACTCGTTTTTCAACCACTCCACAAATTTCTTGTTAACAAACTATAGTTTTGGCAAGTCAGTTAGGACATCTACTTTGCATGACACAAGTCATTTTTCCAACAATTGTTTACAGACAGATTATTTCACTTATAATTCACTGTATCACAATTCCAGTGGGTCAGAAGTTTACATACACTAAGTTGACTGTGCATTTTAAACAGCTTGGAAAATTCCAGAATATGTTGTCATGGCTTTAGGAGCTTCTGATAGGCTAATTGACATCATTTGAGTCAATTGGAGGTGTACCTGTGGATGTATTTCAAGGCCTACCTTCAAACTCAGTGCCTCTTTGCTTGAAATCATGGGAAAATCAAAAGAAATCAGCCAAGACCTCAGAAAAAAACATTGTAGACCTCCACAAGAAGGTACCACGTTCAACTGTACAAACAATAGTACGCAAGTATAAATACCATTGGACCACGCAACTGTCATACCACTCAGGAAGGAGATGCGTTCTGTCTCCTGGAGACTAACGTACTTTGGTGCGAAAAGTGCAAATCAATCCCAGAACAACAGCAAAGGACCTTGTGAAGATGCTGGAGGAAACATGTACAAAAGTATCTATATCCACAGTAAAATGAGTCCTGTATCGACATAACCTGAAAGGCCGCTCAGCAAGGAAGAAGCCACTGCTCCAAAACCACCATAAAAAAGATAGACTACGGTTTGCAACTGCACATGGGGACAAAGATTGTACTTTTTGGAGAAATGTCATCTGGTCTGATGAAACAATAATAGAACTGTTTGGCCATAATGACCATCGTTATGTTTGGAGGAAAAAGGGGGATGCTTGCAAGCCGAAGAACACCATCCCAACCGTGAAGCACGGGGGTGGCAGCATCATGCTGTGGGGGTGCTTTGCTGCAGGAGGGACTGGTGCACTTCACAAAATAGATGGCATCATTAGGAAGGAAAATTATGTGGATATATTGAAGCAACATCTCAAGACATCAGTCAGGAAGTTAAAGCTTGGTCGCAAATGGGTCTTCCAAATGGACAATGACAATGCTCACAACTCTAAAATGACCCCAAGCATACTTCTAAAGTTGTGGCAAAATGGCTTAAGGACAACAAAGTCAAGGTATTGGAGTGGCCATCACAAAGCCCTGACCTCAATCCTATAGAAAATGTGTGGGCAGAACTGAAAAAACGTGTGCAAGCAAGGAGGCCTACAAACCTGACTCAGTTACACCAGCTCTGTCAGGAGAAATTCACCCAACTTATTGTGGGAAGCTTGTGGAAGGCTACCCTAAATGTTTGACCCAAGTTAAACAATTTAAAGGCAATGCTACCAAATACTAATTGAGCGTATGTAAACTTCTGACCCACTGGGAATGTGATGAAATAAATAAAAGCTGAAATAAATCATTCGCTCTACTATTATTCTGACATTTCACATAATTAAAATAAAGTGGTGATCCTAACTGACCTAAGACAGGGCATTTTTACTAGGATTAAATATCAGGAATTGTGAAAAAACTGAGTTTAAATGTATTTGGCTAAGGTGTATGTAAACTTCCGACTTCAACTGTATACTGAGATCATGTGACGGATCATGTGACACTTGGATTGCACACAGGTGGACTTTATTTAGCTAATTATGTGACTTCTGAAGGTAATTGGTTGCACCAGATCTTATTTAGGGGCTTCATAGCAAAGGGGGTGAATACATATGCACGCACCACTTTTCCGTTAGTTATTTTTTAGAATTTTTTGAAACAAGTCATTTTTTTCATTTCACTTCACCAATTTGGACTATTTTGTGTATGTCCATTACATGAAATCCAAATAAAAATCAATTTCAATTACAGGTTGTAATGCAACAAAATAGGAAAAACGCCAAGGGGGATGAATACTTTTGCAAGGCACTGTATACTGCATAACATGTATTTGTATGCATTGGCAGAAACTACTGGGGGCTAGCAAATTGGCTTGTTCTACTGGTGAGTGACATGTTTTGGAGATTTAGAGCTCTATCTATTATTTTGAAAGCAGTGAACAATAGTCTTTTAATATATTGTAAAGATCCTCTAAAAACAAAGAAGGCTATTAAAATAACGTTTGTCATCATCAACCAACATTGTTCATTAAGATTACATTAAGCTGCTACCACTCCTGCAGTGCTAGCCACAGTATCTTTTTCAGATCTTAAGACGTTAAGACAATTTTCAGAGCGGATCAGATTCTCACTTGTGATTGATGGATTATGTATGTCTCCTAACATTGCTTTAATAAGCTTGGAATATACTTAATGGGTTAATGCTCAGGAGGTGAAAATGTGGCGCTTATCCACATGTATGTTATGTTTCCCTGGTGCTCACAACTCTAAAATCAACGGAATCGACCACACACACTTCTAGCACATAATGTTTTTGTTCTATTCGTTGATAGTGGTATCTACCCTTTATATAATCTGAAAATGTCAGAACTCTATGACCTCAATTCTAAAATAGGGACTTTTTTCTCCATTTCCTGGTTTCAGTTTAGAGGTAGTTGTTTTTTTACTTAAGGAAGGATGCAAGCTGGGTTACACCAATGATAGCTTCAACTGTCTCAGAAGTTGTTTTTCTGTTTAGCTTAAAATCAATGTACCATTATGCTGCAAGTGTTGTAAAAAGTTTTTAAATATATTTTTTCCAGTGTACAAGGGGTCAAAATGAGTCTCTCTGGGGAGAATGAAGAGGGAAGCACTCCTTCTAGTATCTGTGAAGAGACTGAAGAAGAAGCCACTGCTTCTGGAATGAGTTTGTCAGGGAGTGAGGGAGCGTTGTCCCATAAAAGGAGTTTTCCTGCAGAACAGGACACTGACCGTGATCTTAAGAGGTAAGATCATCAAATAGGTAAGTGTGAAGGAGCTGAGAGTTTGTTAAAACTATCGAACAAGCCAGTATTGTTGTGATTTGTCTTTATTTCATGCAATAGATCAAGTGAATCAGACATTTTGTTGCAGACAAATGTACTAGATCTCTAACCTATACCTAGCTTTATGTGCATTGAGACTGATAACAATTATAAGTACTTAACCATAAAAAGCGCAGTTATAAAAATCAGAAATGAGTCCAAACTCATCTATGTTGGAAATTCACAACACTGCTTTAAACAGGTTCAAGACAGACCAACCTGTCTCCATGAAGAGTGATCAGTCGATGGGACATCCTATTTTCTTCAGGTAGGGAGAATTGTCCACTGGGCAAAAATGAGACCATCAAATAAATGCTTTCTCTTGGACTTATAAATTAATATCTAAAATTCTTAAAGAATATAACTTATAAATGCCCCATGAGCTTTGAACAACTGTCTTACCCAATCATAAACCAACATATAAACTTGTTTTACTCAGTGGTTTATAAACAGTGTAATTGTATTAGACAAGTATAGCTTCGAAACATGGTTAAAGTTATACTTCCACGGACTGTCAGTCCTATGAATTTGAGTGGGTTTACATTTCCCTAGCATCGTTTATTTACCAAAACAAGTGGTGGGGCAGCCATTTTTTAAATTATCTAATCCCACACTAGCTTCAAGGTTTTATTTCGGAGTGAAAATTATTAATAATTTTCTTTTGACAGGGCCAAGACAGACCGACCAGTCTCACCTGCACCTAGTGGTTTCTCCATGAAGAGTGACCAGTCTATGGGACATCCTATTTTCTTCAAGGGAGAACTATCCACTCGGCAAAGGTGAAACCTGAGAAATAACATGGTGTTTGATTATGGCATTTCCTTTTATTTACCATCTTATGTATAGATAAAAACTATATAATGGCGCCGACAGAGAGGGCTGCGTTGCTTCTAGCTCTTAGGAAACTTTGCAGTATTTAGTTTTTTTATGTATTATTTCTTACGTTATTAGCCCAGAAAATGGTTTGTGTTATTACATACAGCCGGGAATAACTATTGGATATCAGAGCGGCGGTAACTCCCCAGCACTACCAGCATTACGACCAGTAATACGACTTTCCCGAAGCGGATCCTTTGTTCGCACCCCCCAGGGCAATTTAACTGATTCCAGAGGCCGACCCAAAACAACGCCGGAGGAGAGGTACTCGGAGTGGTCTTCTATTCCGACTTAGGAGGTGTGCACTCCACCCACCGCCTACAAGTCCTCTGTAGCTCAGCTGGTAGAGCACGGCGCTTGTAACGCCAAGGTAGTGGGTTCGATCCTCGGGACCACCCATACACAAAAATGTATGCACGCATGACTGTAAGTCGCTTTGGATAAAAGCGTCTGCTAAATGGCATATTATTATATGTAAAAGTTTGTGAGTGTTTTAGGTGCCAAATGGAGTCGTGGTCAGATTTTCCGAAAGGAGGGCGGGGGAGGGCCTTGTATGCATCCCGGAAGTTGGAGAAGCAGTGGTTGAGTGTTTTAACAGCGCAAGTACTACAGTTGATGTGTCCTTTCTCCAAATCTGACCAAGTTCCTTGGCGTACACATCACTGACAAACTGAAATGGTCCACCCACACAGACAGTGTGGTGAAGAAGGCACAACAGAGCCTCTTCAACCTCAGGAGGCTGAAGAAATTTGGCTTATCACCTAAAACCCTCACAAACTTTTACAGTTGCACAATTGAGAGCATCCTGTCGGGCTGTATCACCGCCTGGTACGATAACTGCACCGCCCGAAACCGCAGGGCTCTCCAGAGGGTGGTGCGGTCTGCCGAACGCATTACCGGGGGCAAACTACCCGCCCTCCAGGACACCTACAGCACCCGATGTCACAGGAAGGCCAAAAAAATTATCAAGGATATCAACCACCCAAGCCACTGCCTGTTCACCCCGCTATCATCCAGAAGGCGAAGTCAGTACAGGTGCATCAATGCTGGGACCGAGAGACTGAAATACAGCTTCTATCTCAAGGCCATCAGACTGTTAAATAGCCTTCACTAGCACATTAGAGGCTGCTGCCTCTATTAGAAATCACTGGCCACTTTAAGAAATGGAACACTAGTCACTTTAATAATGTTTACATATCTTGCATTACTCATCTCATATGTATATACTGTATTCTATACTATTCTACTGTATCTTAGTCTATGCCGCTCTGACATTGCTCGTCCATATATTTATTAATATATTCTTAATTCCATTGCTTTACTTAGATTTGTGTGTATTGGGTATATGTTGTGAAATTGTTAGATATTACTTGTTAGATATTACTGCGCTGTCGGAGCTTGAAACACAACCATTTTCACTACACCCGCAATAACATCTGCTATGTGACTAATACAATTTGATTTGATTTGATAGACTGATGTTATTGCTCTCTGTGGTCATTTTTACCCAGCAGTATCTCTGAGAAGAATGACCAGTCAATGGATCGCCAACCCAGAGTCCTTACTGATGACAAAGTGTGAGTGATCGCAGTTTGCACTGCATCCTACCTATTTTCTATTCGTTTTATTCACTAGCCATGTGTCTGACGACATCTAGTACCTTTACTCTGTGAAGTTCCAGATAATAGCCACCAATTCATCATTCAGGATGTCTAATTCAGCTTGTTAAAGGATTTGAACTGTCTAAAGGACACCGTCATTGACTCTGACATTATACTAGAAATGTAAATAAAGTAGTATGATGACTATAATAGTGAGACTGTACCCAAGGTTTAGTGTAACTATCAGGAGATGCAGAGAGCATTGTCTCCCAGGAAAACCACCACATTTGGTGCTTTAATCTTCACTTAGCCTAGCTTACTGTAGGATGTCAAACCCTGTACTGTTTTCATTCATCATTGATCACATCCATATTGATGTTTTTGTACCCAAATAAATGTAATTCAATTCAACAAGGAACATCTTTCTTTTCCACAAATAGGTACCAAACTGGTTCCACTAAGACAGAAGTCCAGGGTAAAATGAAATCCTATTTGAAGAATAGGACATATTCTTTATTTGAGGGCATTGAAGATCAAGGAACAATGACACCTCTTAACAACATCTACACAGAGCTCTACATCACACAAGGCGGAAGTGGAGAGGTCAATAATGAACATGAGGTGAGACAGATTGAGACAGCATGCAGGTTTCCAGTAGAACAAGAGACATCAATCCAACTCAATGACATCTTCAAACCCTTACCTGGACAAGACAAGCCTATCGGAACAGTGCTGACAAAGGGAGTTGCTGGCATCGGAAAAACAGTGTCTGTGCTGAAGTTCATGTTGGACTGGGCTGAAGGAAAAGCAAACCAAGACATCCAGATCATCTTTCCACTTCCTTTTCGGGATCTGAACTTGATGAAAGATAAAAATCAAAGTCTGATAGAACTAATTCATCACTCCTGTTTAGAAACAAAAGAATCAGGAATCTCAGAAAACAAAAATGTTGTGTTTGTTTTTGATGGTCTGGATGAATGTCGCCTTCCTCTGGACTTCCAGAATAATAAGATCTGCTGTGATGTCACAGAGTCAACTTCAGTGGATGTGTTGCTGACAAACCTCATCAAAGGGAATCTGCTTCCCTCTGCTCAAATTTGGATAACCACCCGACCTGCAGCAGCCAGTCAGATCCCTCCTGAGTGTGTTGACCAGGTGACAGAGGTACGAGGGTTCAATGACCCACAGAAGGAGGAATACTTCAGGAAGAGAATTGCTGAGGAGGACCTGGCCAGCAGAATCATCTCACACATAAAGACATCAAGGAGCCTCCACATCATGTGCCATATTCCAGTGTTCTGTTGGATTTCAGCCACTGTCCTAGAGAGACTATTGGTTGAAGCAGAGAGTCAAGAGATCCCCAAGAATCTGACTCAAATGTACGCTCACCTCGTGATTTTCCAGTCAAAACTGAGGAGTCAGAAGTATCCTGTAGAGCATGCCAACGATTCTCATTGGGATAAAGAGATGATTCTGGCACTGGGAAAACTGGCTTTTCAACAGCTACAAAAAGGCCATCTGATATTCTATGAGGAAGACCTGAGAGAGTGTGGCATTGATATCAAGGACGCGTCGGTGTACTCTGGAGTGTGCACTCAGATCTTCAGAGAAGAGTCTGGGCTTAACCAGATAAAGGTGTACTGCTTTGTACATCTGAGTATCCAGGAGTTTCTTGCTGCACTGTATGTGTTCCTCGTGTTCACAAACGACAACAACAATCTGATGGCTAAAGAGAAATCCCTCCGCAATAAAAACAGTCTATATGAAGATGCAGTGGACAAGGCCTTGCAGTGTAGAAATGGCCATCTGGACCTTTTCCTCCGCTTTCTTCTAGGCCTTTCACTGCAGTCCAATCAGCATCTTCTACAAGACCTACTTACACAGACAGGAAGCGGCTCACAGAGCAACAAGGAAACAGTCAGGTACATCAAGGAGAGGATCAGGAACAACCTCCGTCTGGAGAGGTGCATCAATCTGTTCCACTGTCTGAATGAGATGAATGACCAATCTCTAGTGGAGGAAATCCAAAGCTACCTGAGCTCAGGAAGTCTCTCAAAATCTAAACTCTCATCTGGACAGTGGTCAGCTCTGGTCTTCATGTTGCTGACCTCAGAGAAGCTGGATGTGTTTGACCTGAAGAAATACATCAGATCAGATGCGGCTCTTCTCAAACTTCTCCCAGTTGTCAGATCCTCTAGAACAGCCCTGTAAGTGCTTAGTCAAATTACATTGCAGACAGCATGCTAATGTAACATAATAATGAACATCAGTTTTAATTACTAGTTAGGCTTACAACCCAAGCCCAAAGGGGGGATTTATTTGTGGGCACCTGGGTATTTTGAGATGCGGCTTTTCTTTCCACAGGCTGAACGAATGTAAACTCACCAAGAAAAGCTGTGAGGCACTGGCTTCTGTTCTCAAGTCAAACTCATGCTGTCTGATAGTGCTGGACCTGAGTGGCAATACACTTCAGGATTCAGGAGTGAAGCTGCTCTCTGCTGGACTGGAGGATCCACACTGTAAACTGGAGACATTGAAGTGAGTGACTTGTAAATATAAAGATGTACATTCTTCATGTTGTAAATGTAGTTATGGATTTGTGTGGATTACTTAGCTGCATCATCACTGTAAACTGGAGAAACTGAGGTGTGTGACTGTCAAATGTTATTATTAAGATGTAAAAGATAACTTAATGTTGTCTATAGCTAGGTTTCCGTCCAATTTAGCGACAGATGTTCATGTGAATATTCTAAAATCTGTATACATAAAATATGCAAATGTTCCCATTAAATGTACTTGTTGCAGATAAAAAGCTGTGCGTGATGGTTTCCATGGCATTTTCAACTCTGCTGATGGTTTTGTCACTACAAATGTTGCTTTATATAGTGAATGTAGCCACTCAGGTATTGGCACTTGTGCTCTAGCCAGCAGCTGGCAGATACAGTGCGGGATATAGCCTATATGCTGAGATTATTATGGACAAAAGAGAGACAGCAGCTAAGCATCGATCATCATGTCACCAGAATAAGACCCTCGATATTTATTGGAAAGGAGCATCAAGCTCATCACCTTGTGAAGTTCATAACTTATTTCATCTGTAGCCTAATAAACTGCATGCTTTCCCGAGTCGTAGTGGGAGGACCACACAAAATGTGACTCCAAATGTACTTCGGTATGATCGTTATTATATCAATATTTGCTGATAAACGCGTTTCCACCGCAATTTCTCGCATAATACATTTTACAGACACAAAAAGATCCCACCTTGTCTAGCGTATTTTGTTTAGTCGACATTTGGAAAGGTAACCGACAAAGTTGCTGTTTCCATCAGGCCGGTCGTGACATTGAATCCAAGGCAGTGCACTGGACAGCTGACAATGCTACTTTCAAAGGTAATTTATGCTTGAGTCGAGATGCGCTACATTTAGATTGAATGCGATTTCCACAGACATTGGGAAATGTTGTCAGCATTGTCGGCATTCCAGTGCGCTGCTCTATAACTTGGATTAAATTCCATCCTTGGTCTCTGACATCATAATTGAAGACAATTTGTCCGTTTTTATCATTGATTGTATCATTGTCTTTAGATGCAAAACTGACATTTTCTGGAATATTTGATATTGTGGAACTTCTCTCCCTCACTTTCCACAGGCTGGCAGGCTGGAACATCACAGAGGAAGGCTGTGCTTCTCTTCTTTCAGCTCTGAGGTCAAACCCCTCCCACCTGAAGGAGCTGGACCTGAGAGGAAATACTCCAGGAGACTCTGGAGTAAAGCTGCTCTCTTCTGTACGAGAGGATCCCCTCTATACACTGGAGACACTGCGGTGAATTTTACTGATCAGTTTCATGAGCACACTGATATAGTGATCAATAAGCCATTGTAAACATCCAGACACCCGGGTCATATTCATTTGTGCAAACTGTAGCAAAACATTTTGCAACACATGCTAGTTTCTTATTGGACAGGTAGTCCATTAAGTTCAGGTAGTCCCTGCCTGTTTTGTTCCGTGTTCTTCTCTTTGATGCCTAGTGAATACGACCCCTATTTATCTATGCTGCTGTATGAGGACTTAGATCTACTTCTTCTTTCTTTCCCAGGTTAAATGACTGAAAGCTCACTGAGATTCAGTGAAGGAATGGCCTCAGCTCCAAGTCCTTGGTTGTGGGAGTGCGCTGCTTCGAATCAATGATGATAGCTCCTTGAATCTCTCAATCAATCAGAGAGCCCCGGCGAAGTGGTGCCTGGAAAATAACCTCTCCCTCAACATCAACAAACGCATCACCTAGATGCCCTCCAGGACATCTACAGCACCTGGTGTCACAGGAAGGCAAAGAAGATCCGGTGTCACAGGAAGGCCAAGAAGATCCGGTGTCACAGGAAGGCCAAGAAGATCCGGTGTCACAGGAAGGCCAAGAAGATCCGGTGTCACAGGAAGGCCAAGAAGATCCGGTGTCACAGGAAGGCCAAGAAGATCCGGTGTCACAGGAAGGCCAAGAAGATCATCAAGGATGTCAGCCACCCGATCAGCCACCCGATCCACGGCCTGTTCACCTCGCTACCATGTAGAAGGCAGAGACAGTACAGGAGCATCAAAGCTGGGACCGAGATACTGAGAAACAGCTTCTATCTCCAGGCCATCAGACTGTTAAATGGGTGGCAGGGGCTGGTGGTTGGATAAATGGGATGAGAGGTTGAGGCCCACTTTTTTGTTTTCCTGTTTGAATCAAATTAAATAAAATTTTATTTGTCACATACACGTGTTTAGCAGATGTTATAGCGGGTGTGTTGAAATGCTTGTGATTGTAGCTCCGACAGTGCAGTAATATCTAACAAGTAATATCTAACAATTTCACAACATATACCTAAAACACACAAAACTAGTAAGGAATGGGATTTAAGAATATATACGTATATGGACAAGCAATGACAGAGCGGCATGGACTAAGATACAGTAGAATATTATAGAATAGAATGCAGTATATACAGTGAGGGAAAAAAGTATTTGATCCCCTGCTGATTTTGTACGTTTGCCCACTGACAAAGAAATGATCAGTCTATAATTTTATTTTATTTTATTACTTTTATTTTTTTTAAATTTTTGTATATCTATTTTTTCATTGTTTAAAAAAAAAAAAAATTTCGGGGGGGAATGGATCAGCTTAATATTGCAGATAGATTGTATCTTCTATCAATGTAATTGTCTGCATCACTTCCAATCCCCCATGTTTTTTTTATTTTATATATATATACTCCCCTTTATTACTTTTCAACCCCACCATCCTTTCCCTACTTGGAGTAAATTAGTGAACAACAATGCCCAGGCCTCTACTTCCGGTCTATACTTACTATCTACACCTTATGGACAGAGTTAATTTTACAATAATTCTATTATATATATATATATATATATATTATTTTTTATTATTTTTTGCTCCTGAACTTCTACTCTCAACCTCTCCGATCATTTTCATGGTGTCCATCCGGTTTGCTTCTATATGGCATATCTTTCTAACTGTGCTCCTTCCCAAAAGCTCCCAACATACAACCTATATACTTATTATGGACAGTATGCTTACATTATTAGCTATCTTTGTTATTATTTGTTGTTATTTGTTATTAGTCCCATCCTTCAACTCTATTCAATACCTCCCATCTATCTCTTAACACCATCCATATAGGATTTCTATTTGCCATATATATTTCAACCGTACTGTGATGTTTTACAAAAATTCTGAACCTTTCTATTCTCATTGCTTCTACAGATTGTGAATTAAAAATAAACATTTTTGCTAAAAGTATTATTATATTATTGATTGATTATGACTTTTCAGATCACCCAGTAATGCTATCTGCAAGGTTAGTTCCAGGTAAATATTGCAATCCTTTAGCCATTCCTGGACCTGTGTCCAAAAACAAGCTACAAATGGACAGAACCAAAACAAATGATCTAATGATTCTGTCTCTTCACAGCAAAACCTGCAGAGCTGGGAAGATTGTATCCCCCATATAAATAACATTCTATTGGTAGCAAGAATTTTATATAATAATTTAAATTGAAAGATTCTAATTTTTGAATCCGGTGTCGTTTTGCGTGTCAGTTCATAAACACTATGCCATGGGATCGGTACGTCAAAGATCTCTTCCCAACTATTTTGCAATCTATATGGGACGGCTGTCAATCCTTTGGTCCTTAAGTGAAACTGATATACTTTTTTATTTATCACAGTTTTCCTTAACCAATTATGTTCTTTAATGTAAGGCCGACAGACAAGTTCCTTACTTTCTCCCCCTTCCACTTTCCTCTTCCACATTTGCGGTAAGGCTGCAATTATTTGGTTGTAATTTTGGGTAGAGCAGACATTTCCATATGTTTTTGTTAGCTGCATGTGTGACATAACTCCACCAGTCCTACCGATGATATAATTTACGAAGATTATACCTTTTTTAAACATTCTGTCAAAAAATACAGTCTTTTTGTCAATTAGTATATTTGAATTTAACCACAATATTTGTTGCATTATTTGTTCTGTCGTTTCTGGAGGATTAAATTGAAATTGCAACCAACTTTCTATGGCTTGTTTTAGAAATAGTGACATTTGGGAGATTATTTCCTTTTCAAATAACTGAAAGTGAGAGGTTGTAATCTGAATAAAGGGAAAAAGGCCTTTCTTGAACATTGGGTGAGACAATCTTACTAATTTGCTTGAGAACCAGTTCGGATTTAAGTATAACTTTTGTATGACTGAAGCTTTTATTGATAGGTCTAATGCTTTAATATTAAATAATTTCTGTCCTCCGAATTCATATTCATTATATAAATATGCTCTTTTAATTTTGTCTGGCTTGCCGTTCCAAATAAAATTGAATATTTTTTTCTCATATAATTTAAAAAACTGTTCGCTAGGCGTAGGCAAGACCATAAGCAAATAGGTAAACTGGGATAATACTAAAGAGTTAATCAGGGTGATTTTTCCACAAATTGACAGGTATTTTCCTTTCCATGGTAGTAAGATCTTATCTATTTTTGCTAACTTTCTATTAAAATGTATTGAAGTGAGATCATTTATTTCCTTTGGGATATGTATTCCGAGTATATCCACATCACCATCAGACCATTTTATTGGTAAACTACATGGTAATGTAAAATTTTTATTTTTTAGTGATCCAATACGTAATATAGTACATTTGTCATAATTTGGTTGTAATCCAGAGAGGTTAGAAAATGCATCTAGATCCTCTATGAGGCTGTTGAGGGATTCTAGTTGTGGATTTAAAAGAAAACATGAATCATCAGCGTACAATGACACCTTTGTTTTTAAGCCCTGTATTTCTAATCCTCTGATATTATTATTGGATCTGATTTTAATAGCTAACATCTCGATGGCCACAATAAATAGATATGCCGATAGTGGACATCCTTGTTTCACTCCTCTTGACAGTTTAAAACTTTCTGAGAAATAGCCATTATTTACTATTTTACACCTAGGGTTACTATACATGATTTTGACCCATTTTATAAGAGATTCTCCAAAATTGAAATGCTCCAGGCATTTATATATAAACCCCAGTCGAACTTTATCAAATGCCTTTTCGAAGTCTGCTATGAATAGCAGGCCTGGTTTCCCATATTTTCCATAGTGTTCTATTGTTTCCAATACTTGCCTTATATTATCTCCAATGTATCTTCCATGTAAAAAACCTGTCTGATTAGAATGAATAATATCCGACAATACCTTTTTAATTCTATGCGCTATACATTTTGCTAGGATTTTTGCATCACAACACTGAAGTGTAAGGGGCCTCCAATTTTGTAAATGGACTGGATCTTTATATTTTCCACTTGTATCCTGTTTCAGTAATAATGAGATCAGACCTTCTTCTTGAGTGTCAGATAATCTACCATATACATAGGAGTGGTTAAAACATGCTAATAACGGTCCGCTTAGTATATCAAAAAAGGTTTGGTATACCTCGACTGGTATGCCATCCAACCCTGGAGTTTTCCCGGACTTAAAGTCTTTAATTGCATCCAGAAGTTCCTCCTCTGTAATTTCACCTTCACATGAGTCTTTCTGTGTGGCTGTTAATTTGACATTATCAGTAGAAAAAAAATCTCTACAATTAGCTTCAGTTAGAGGAGATGGAGGCGACTGAAAAGAAAACATATGCTTAAAGTACTTTGTTTCTTCCTTCAAAATATCATTTGGTGAATTATGGGTGACTCCGTCAATTGTAACCAGTTTCATTAAGTTCTTTTTGGTAGCATTCCTATGTTGAAGATTAAAAAATAATTTTGTGAATTTTTCCCCATATTCCATCCAGTTTGCTTTATTTTTATAATATACTACACTTGATCTTTCTTGAATAAGTTTCTCCATTTCTTTTTGTTTTTCCTCTAATTTATTCTGAGCCTCTATGTTACAGTTTTTATTGCCATCTATCTGTTCTGTTAGATTTTCTATTTCCTTTCTTAGTATAAACTCTTTTGACCTAAATTGCTTTTGTTTTTGAGATGAGTACTGAATTGCATGGCCTCTAAAGGCACATTTAAAGGTGTCCCATACAATAAGGGGATTCGCTGTACCTATGTTATGTTGGAAAAAGTCAGTTATAAATTCCTTTGTTCTAATTATGAATAAATTATCATCCAATAGGCTTTGATTAAATTTCCAATATCCTCGCCCACGTGGAAATTCAGTAAGAGTAATGTATATGCCTATTATATGATGGTCCGACCGCATTCTGTCCCCTATCAACACTTTTTTTTACTTTTGGTGCCAACGAGAATGAGATAAGAAAGAAGTCAAGACGACTAGCTTGATTCAGTCTCCGCCATGTATATCTCACTAGATCAGTATATTTAAGCCTCCATATATCTACTAGTTCTAATTTATCCATGACATTCACAATTTCCTTAAGAGCATGTGGGTGATTGTTTGTGGTGTGATTTCCTTTACGGTCCATTGAGCTATTTAAAACAGTATTATAATCCCCCACCATAATAATATTGTCTTGAGTTGCTTGCAGGCTTGATAATTTATTATACAGTGGGGAAAAAAAGTATTTAGTCAGCCACCAATTGTGCAAGTTCTCCCACTTAAAAAGATGAGAGAGGCCTGTACTTTTAATCATAGGTACACGTCAACTATGACAGACAAATTGAGGAAAAAAAATCCAGAAAATCACATTGTAGGATTTTTAATGAATTTATTTGCAAATTATGGTGGAAAATAAGTATTTGGTCACCTACAAACAAGCAAGATTTCTGGCTCTCACAGACCTGTAACTTCTTCTTTAAGAGGCTCCTCTGTCGTCCACTCGTTACATGTATTAATGGCACCTGTTTGAACATGTTATCAGTATAAAAGACACCTGTCCACAACCTCAAACAGTCACACTCCAAACTCCACTATGGCCAAGACCAAATAGCTGTCAAAGGACACCAGAAACACAATTGTAGACCTGCACCAGGCTGGGAAGACTGAATCTGCAATAGGTAAGCAGCTTGGTTTGAAGAAATCCACTGTGGGAGCAATTATTAGGAAATGGAAGACATACAAGACCACTGTTAATCTCCCTCGATCTGGGGCTCCACGCAAGATCTCACCCCGTGGGGTCAAAATGATCACAAGAACGGTGAGCAAAAATCCCAGAACCACACGGGGGGACCTAGTGAATGACCTGCAGAGAGCTGGGACCAAAGTAACAAAGCCTACCATCAGTAACACACTATGCCGCCAGGGACTCAAATCCTGCAGTGCAAGACGTGTCCACCTGCTTAAGCCAGTACATGTCCACGCCCATCTGAAGTTTGCTAGAGTGTATTTGGATGATCCAGAAGAGGATTGGGAGAATGTCAAATGGTCAGATGAAACCAAAATAGATATTTTTGGTAAAAACTCAACTCGTCGTGTTTGGAGGACAAAGAATGCTGAGTTGCATCCAAAGAACACCATACCTACTGGGAAGCATGGGGGTGGAAACATCATGCTTTGGGGCTGTTTTTCTACAAAGGGACCAGGACGACTGATCCGTGTAAAGGAAAGAATGAAAGGGGCCATGTATCGTGAGATTTTGAGTGAAAACCTCCTTCCATCAGCAAGGGCAGTGAAGATGAAACGTGGCTGGGTCTTTCAGCATGACAATGATCCCAAACACACCGCCCGGGCAACGAAGGAGTGGCTTCGTAAGAAGCATTTCAAGGTCCTGGAGTGGCCTAGCCAGTCTCCAGATCTCAACCCCATAGAAAATCTTTGGAGGGAGTTGAAAGTCCGTGTTGCCCAGCGACAGCCCCAAAACATCACTGCTCTAGAGGAGATCTGCATGGAGGAATTGGCCAAAATACCAGCAACAGTGTGTGAAAACCTTGTGAAGACTTACAGAAAACATTTGACCTGTGTCATTGCCAACAAAGGGTATATAACAAAGTATTGAGAAACTTTTGTTATTGACCAAATACTTATTTTCCACCATAATTTGCAAATAAATTCATTAAAAATCCTACAATGTGATTTTCTGGATTTTTTTTTCCTCATTTTGTCTGTCATAGTTGACGTGTACCTATGATGAAAATTACAGGCCTCTCTCATCTTTTTAAGTGGGAGAACTTGCACAATTGGTGGCTGACTAAATACTTTTTTTCCCCACTGTATATATTGTCAAAGAATTGTGGATCATCATTATTTGGTCCGTAAAGGTTAATGAGCCATATCTGTTTATGGTCCAATAACATATTTAAAATAATCCATCTACCTTGCGTATCTATTTGGACAATTTGTACATTCGGATCGAAATTACTATTAATTAATATCATCACCCCTTTTGAATTTCTTTGCCCATGGGAGAAGTATATTTCCCCCCCCCCCCCCCCATTCTTTTTTCCACGCTACTTCATCTCGAATTGTTGAATGAGTTTCCTGTATACAATAGATATTATATTCCTTCTCTTTGAGCCATGTAAATATTGTTCTTCTTTTGTTATTATCAGCTAAGCCATTACAATTATAACTGGCTATACTTATTTCACCATACACCATAACGAGATACAAGTTTCAAGTCTATTTATCATTATATATGTTTGTAAATTTACCAATAAAAAATAGCGTAATGATTGAGTGTCCATATAGCTGTACCATGATATTTGCATTGCTACGGAGTAACCCTTCAATTGTTCTCCACTAATTCCCCCGCTAAAGCCCCTCCCCATCCCAAGTTGAGCCGTCATCCCAGTGATCAGCATCCCACCCACGTCCCTCCGCATCCCTAAGGCCCCGAGAGGCCAGGACCCATCCATCGAAAACAGCACACAGTGGCACCCACAAAACAGAAGCAGATTCACCGCCAAAAGCATTTCCAATGCTTTCACCTCTATATATATATATTTTTTTATTTTTTATTTATTTATTTATTATGCATATCCTATATTCCATCATTATCAATTAATATGCGTAATAATGTCGGCAGTTCACGCGTAGGATTCCAACATATAACCCGGATTGCCATTGTATTACACTTAATTCATTGACAAGCAATTATTATCCTAGCAAATAATCCCCGCGGTCCATCCCATACCCTCCCCCCCAACATCCCCACCCCCCCCACAACAGATGCCAGACAAGCACACACGCACATACTCACATACTCCAACACACTCAACCCCCCTCCTCCACAATCCACCATAAAATCAGATACTCAACAGCTGTTATATCCCAGAGCCCAACTCGAGAAATAACTTGATTTACGAGTGCACATACAGTTAAAGCTGATTGAGAAAGCATGCAGATTGAGCAGAAATTGATAACAATGTCAGATTTGATTAATCTACTTAATCTATGTCAAGTCCTAGGTGATGGAGATCAGATCCACTCTCTTCACCTGAGACACAAACACTCTGATCCCCTGTTGTAACCATTTTCCCAAGCATCTCCATGCGGTCAGACCTTTGATTATTTTGTGCCACCTGGGCCACAATGATAAACCCCCTCTCTGATTGTCCGAGTGTGACCCCCTCCCCATGGGTTACTGCAGCCAGTGTTGCCAGCACTGCCACTACCTGGGTGGGCGTACCCCACCGGAATCCCCACCGGCTAGGTAAAAAGGCCGTAAAGGTTCTCATTAGCAGCTTTGAGAATTTCCTTGTATATTATGCTCTCCCATCAGGGGGCTCTGGCTTTGTAGGACCAACCCTGCCAGGCAGGCTCAGAATCTTGAGGGGGCGGTGCTGCTCAAGTAGGTCTCTGACCGCATTTATTTCTCTGTTTAGGCTGCATATTCACAGCAGGTCCATAAAAGAGATGGGAACTTCTCTTTGGTGTATGGGTCGCTCAGTTGGGTGTCCAGGTTATAGGGTTAGGGATCTTTCCATCATGATAGGACAATGAAAAATTAGATTAGATGTATATTATATTTAAAAATGTATATCCCTCATCTACACAAAATTGAAAGCTCTCTCTCTCACTACCCCTGCTCATAGACCCCCGGTCGGCTCTGGGATATGCAACCATTTCCCCTCTCACTCACTTAACGCTGCACCTTTTCAAACACAAAAATGCACACCACATGGTTGACTGCGGAAGAAATGGGCCGAGCATGCTAACGCACCCGCATCCACATCTGCCTCAAGGGGGAAAGGACGCCAGAGAGAACACAGGACCAACCACAACAACCATCCGCCAAAACAACAACCTCCCGCCAAAAAAGCCATGTTCTAATTATTTGTATTATAAGATGTATTATTCTGCTTGTTATATCGTTTTATCCTTTTATAAAATACTATACTTACTATAAATGTTATTTAATATTACAATCCCTATCATTGCTAGTATCAGGTGCTCCAATATTTGACTCCTCTATTACAACTTTTAGAATAGCCATGGAGTAGTCTTTGTGTCTCTGAACATTTGGTTGTCAATATATAATTTATCCACCACTAGTGCAACACGTTTCCCTTTTAATCTGTTTTCCTTGAAGATTGGATACAGAACTTTGCGCCTTTCTACAATCTCCCTCGGGAACTGATCATTCATGCCTATTTTCGTGCCAGCAAGTCTTTTTCCTAGGCTTTTCACCATAGCTTTATCCTTAAAAAAAGCTAATTTGGCAACGATTGGGCGCTCATATTTCTGTCCTCTTTTTCCGAAACGATGTACATGTTCGAGTTGGATTTTATCGACAGCCTCGAGTGGGATTTGTAGCGCTGTATGCAGGGGCGGTGTGTTCAATAGGGCGATATGGGCGACGCACTGCCAAATGGGAAAAGGAAGGGATTTTTTTTCTAATCAATTATATCACGGCAACAGTAGTTATCAGTGTTGTAATCTAGACGTCTGATCTGCCACTAAATGTCCAATCAGGCTAAAGTCGTGCTTCAAATGCCCCCCCCCCCCCCCCCCCCCTTTTGGGGAGATTTCAGTCAGGTTGAAAATCGCCCAGAAGTCTCTCATAGACTCCCATGTAAAATCATTTTTTTTCAAATATCAGAGCTTTCAATACAATCTCTATGGGTTTCTGAGGGCTTGCACTTACGCGCTTTCGTCATACGTAACATAACCATGAACGTAACTAAGAATAGAGCGGGTAGCAGCGTCAATCAATTCACGTAAATAAGTTACTTTTTGTCGGCGAACAAATCAAGATAAATTGGCAACGAAACAATTAGGACCTCCCAGACCAAATGTAATAATTCAACAGGTTTCTACTAAAGGCGGAAAGTCCTACACCCGAGGATTTTCCAAAAATTAGTACGAACGAAAAACCTGGCTAGCAGGCTGCGATGTAGCTAATGCAGTCTTCTGCTACCCCCTGCTTACTCTTTCACCCTGAAGGCGGCACGGCAGACAGCACCGCTTGGACAGCGACTGGTGTGTAACGGACATGCACCATCTTTCAGGAAAGATTAAGAAACATGAGCTGTCAAAGACCCACATGGATAGCTGTTTGAGATTGTCTGCTTTGGGGAGTGAACATTGCCACTCAACTGGATGAGGGATACAGGCTAGCTGTCCGCCGCCACAACGATGAGGTTAGTGTTGATAATCACAAGTTTACTGGAGAACTGAGACCAAGTAGAGACTTTGGACAGGGTGGATATGGTATAATAAAGGCAGTTTATTCAGAGGTAAAGATATCTGGAATCGCGTGCACGGACCTGTTCGTTATCTGAAGACAATGTTTCATTGTGTGCAGACATTTTATGCAATAAATGAAGTAGGTTGAATCTAGTAGTTCTGATCTTCTGATTGGTCCTGATGAGTTGGGCGAGGTCACCTCCAGGCTAGTGTCACTGTTGCATTGGCTCTGAGTCGGGTTCTCTGTCTTCAAATGTTCAGCCTAAGAGAGGGGATTTTTGTGTGTGTGTGTGTGTGTGTGTGTGTGTGTTTAACAGTGATGATGTGTGTGTGTGTGTGTGTGTGTGTTTAACAGTGATGATATGTGTGTGTGTGTGTTTGTGTGTGTGTCCTCAGAGCAAGAACTCGTGAGTTGGAAGAACTGAGAGGCCTATGGCGTGGGTGTTGTCCTTGGCCACCTGCTGACAAGGCTGACAAGATAGGACCCTTTTGTCCATTGTTATTGGATAGGAACATAACTTATAACCAGCTCCTGACCTAAATAGATCTTAGCACAACATTTTACTCAACATATCATATTCCATATTCACTATAACAAATATATTTACTACGACATTAGCAAGAACCGCCACATCCTCAGCCGGCTAATCCAGTGTGTGAAGTTTTGCGGAGTGTTTGAGTTAGCTTTGCGAGGCAAAGATGAAACTGAGGGCTCCACCAACCCTGGTAAGCCAACACTTTTGAGATCAGTCAATAAATGCTTCTGGTATTGACTTATATGCTGCCCCTGTCTTCATGTTGTTGCTGGACATATCTTTTTTAAAATGTGTGTAGGTCACCTAAATCATCAGAAAAATTGCCCCCCCTGAGAATTTTTTCAGGAGCCGCCACTGGCTGTATGCAGGAAGTCCTTCATAATATTCTCTGTTATTTCTCCCTCCTTTTCCTGAATACCCGTAAGTACTAGATTTTCCCTCATCGATCTAGTTTGGATGTCTAGTAAGGCTTCTCTCAGAAGATTGTTCTCCTTTTTTAGTTCCCTAACGTCCGTTTCCATTTTAGAGACTGTCACTTTTAATTCGTTGGTTTCTTTCTCCATTACCAAAGCTTTTTCGTCACTCATTTGAAGACTCGCTTTCAACTCTTTTACGTCTTTACTGACCAATTCTAATATGCCCAATTTGTCATTTATCGACTTCAACAGGTCGCTTTCCACACTTACCATACCCAGTGGTGAAAAGCATATATCATCTGTATCAGTCGATGAGTCGCGTTTCCTTTTGGTGATCGGCTCTCCACGCTTGTCTTCAGTCATGTTTTGGTGTTGCGTGTTGTAATATTTGTCGATATATTTCTCTAGCCTTATGATCTGTTTTGTGTTATTATCCAGATTGAATTATATTAACTGCGAATATATGAAATGCTAATATTTAGTCTAACTTACTGATTTTGAATATTATGTTTTTATCTTGAGGTGTTTTGTACCGATTTCAATTCAATACGCCATCTTGTCTACGCGTGCCCCCTAGTCTATAATTTTAATGGTAGGTTTATTTGAACAGTGAGAGATAGAATAACAACAAACAAATCCAGAAAAACGCATGTCAAAAATGTTAATGAGGGAAATAAGTATTTGACCCCTCTGCAAAACATGACTTAGTACTTGGTGGCAAAACCCTTGTTGGCAATCACAGAGGTCAGACGTTTCTTGTAGTTGGCCACCAGGTTTGCACACATCTCAGGAGGGACTTTGTCCCACTCCTCTTTGCAGATCTTCTCCAAGTCATTAAGGTTTCGAGGCTGACGTTTGGCAACTCGAACCTTCAGCTCCCTCCACAGATTTTCTATGGGATTAAGGTCTGGAGACTGGCTATATGTCATAATGAATATATGTCATAATGAATAGGTTTACCTGTGTGCATTCAAGGCCTTTAAGGTGTTCTCTGCTGGTCCAACTAAAATGTATTTGACATGGAACACAAACATTTACCTACTATACCATATTTGAACAGTTTATGTCCTTCCTACTAACTGCTGTATGTCTTACCTTTTTATTTCAGTGTAGTATAGGCCTCTGTAGTCTTTGTGCTCTACTATTGACTACTTATTGCTTGGATTCTTTTTAAATTGTAGCACCTTGGTTTTTAAAACATGTAGCATTTCTTACATTTTATGTAACCCTGTGTGTTAATGTATGGTAAGCTATTTCATATTCCTTAAATAAATGAAGTAAAGCTGTTATTCCTATTGACGTGTGACATTGTGTCCATCTGTTATTAATTGAATGACTTGTTTTCCACAGCTATGAATGTTCATACTCACATATAGGCCTAACTGTGTGAACTCAATGGCTTTAAAGGGGGCAATCGGCAGTTTAAACCATAACAAAGCATTCACTGTTTTGGAAAAAAAAGTTTAGGGATGGGGCTGGAGAAATGTAACCACTATCAAATTCATAGACAGAGTTATGGATGCAAGACCTGATATTAAAATGTAACCATGTTTTGAGGCAATACAGTGTTTGTTTACAATTACATGGTTAACAAACAGAAGTAAAACAAGCTTATATTTTGGGTTATGATTATGTAGGTCAGTTTAACTAAGCTCATGAGGCATTTCAGTTATATTCTTGAAGAATCAAAGTAAAAAGAGTAAAAATCATTAATTGAAAAGCAAAAAATGGATGTACCAATCACAGATTGCCCATTTTAAGGTGTTCTCTGCTGGTCCAACTACAATTGAAAATATATGTCACTACTGTACCACATTTTAAAAGTTTCAAAATGCTATATCAAGCAGCTAGGTCAGGTGGCTATTACTACCCAAACCTGAATCTAAGGAACCTAGAAATGCATTATTATACAACGTCACCAAACAATGAAGTGGATCTGAAAACAGGCAGGATGTTTTACTATTAAATACATTTTATTACACAAGCAGACAATGACAGTCTGGCCTTTTCACAGAAAGACAACTCAGAACATCTCATTGTGGGTCTTCTGGTTGGTCAGTAAAGCAGAGAGCCATGCAGTCTCAGCAGCTCCTTACTGCTGTGTGTGTGTGTGTGTGTGTGTGTGTGTGTGTGTGTGTGTGTGTGTGTGTGTGTGTGTGTGTGTGTGTGTGTGTGTGTGTGTGTGTGTTTGTGTGTGTGTGTGTCAGTAACCAGGCCGGTGCCAATGGTTTTGTTGCCATCTCCGATAGTGACCTAGATCTATCTGCTGCCTTCAACACCATGAACCATCAGATCCTCCTCTCCACCCTCTCAGGGCTGGTCATCTCAGGCTCTGCACACTCCTGGATTGCATCCTACCTAGCAGGTCTCTCCTACCAAGTGACGTGGAGAAGGTCTGGGTCTTCACCACGAGGTCGATCTACAGTTGTCCCCCAGGGCTCTGTGCTAGGTCCTCTCCCGTTCTCTCTGTACACCAAGTCAATTGATTCTGTTATACACTACCGGTCAAAAGTTTTAGAACACCTACTCATTCAAGGGTTTTGCTTTATTTGTACTATTTTCTACATTGTAGAATAATAGTGAAGACATCAAAACTATGAAATAGCACATATGGAATCATGTAGTAACCAAAAAAGTGTTAAACAAACCAAAATATATTTGAGATTTGAGATTCTTCAAATAGCCACCCTTTGCCTTGATGACAGCTTTGCAAAAAAAAAAATTAAAGAAAAACCCTTGAATGAGTAGGTATGTCCAAACCTTTGACTGGTACTGCATATAGTGCAGCAGCTTCTTACTGCAGTGTGTGTGTGTGTGTGTGTGTGTGTGTGTGTGTGTGTGTGTGTGGGAGTGCTGCGTCATTCGTCAAGGATGACCTGTTTACTGTTGTCTTGTTATAAAGCGTACTGCCTCACACTGCATTTTCATATTGATTTGCCAAATCTACATTTTCTGAATTTCTCATGTTCTTTCATTGTTTGTTCCAAAAGCCAAGTGAAAATGAGACTTGGTAGTGTAAGACTATGATTGGTCATTTCAGCCCTGTTCTTATTCCTTATCAGTGCATCCTTCCTTGAATCTTCCATGATTGGACAGGTGAACAAAAGGGCTCCTTTCACTTCTACAGTCAGTTCCAATCAGTGGTCAGGCTACTTAAATGAAGGTAGATGTGATGATGGCACATTTAAAATCATTTGAATAGTGGTGTGTACACCTGTGTGCATTTCCATAGCATAGTTCAGTAACAGGAAAGGTTTTGTAATGTAAAATGGGGGAATAGCCTAGATATGCCTGCCTGAACTTGGCCTACAAGAACTGATGTTCATTTTCCATTGCAAATAGTTTATTTTGAAAGCAAGGTTGTGAGGCAGTTATGCCCTCTGAAAGCAGGTTTAATCCTGATGGCTGGCAGTGACTTGAGTCTTTGTGCTGCCAAATGTTTTCATGGGTGCTGTCCTATAGCAGTAGGGCTACGTGAACAGTTTGGGAAGCACCTTCCCCTGCCCCCCTCTTGGATGGTTGAAAACAATAACCGTGAGAAGTTGGATGTTGAAAGACTTGTTGAACCTGATCACCTGCGTTTTCCGTGGGAAAGAGCACCTAGAAAGCGTTAACTTAAAGATGGAGTAAATTGGGGACTTCAGGTGGAAATGCGCACAACAAAGAAACTTCACCTCGTTATATAACAGGCCCTGAATGTAGTTGTCTGGAAAATGATTCGCTGGAGACAAATGACAGGTAGGCATAGCCACGGGATGTAGGGGTACTGCAGCAACCCCTGAGAAATCTGAAACTATTCACAAAAGTAGTGGACTGGGCTTTTACTAGTCCTGTATTAGGTAACCGATGTAGACGTCTGTAGCATGGGCAAAACAAGTATTTCAGCATCTCCACTTTGGCAAAAAAGGTAGTTGTATAATTAATTAAAATTGTAAGAGTTGTTGCGCTGTCCCTTTCTCTTTGATCACCATTCTAATGGAATCCAGAAAGAACAAAACTCTGTCCTACAAAATGTACATCAAAAGGTGCAAAGTTATGGGCAAAGACCCAACAGATCCACAGATGATGCAATCTCTATTGCACTCCACACTGCCCTTTCCCACCTGGACAAGAGGAACACCTACGTGAGAATGCTATTCATTGACTACAGTTCAGCGTTCAACACCATAGTGCCCTCAAAGCTCATCACTAAGCTAAGGATCCTGGGACTAAACACCTCCCTCTGCAACTGGATCCTGGACTTCCTGACGGGCTGCCCCCAGATGGTAAGGGTAGGTAACAACACATCTGCCACGCTGATCCTCAACACGGGGGCCCCTCAGGGGTGTGTGCTCAGTCCCCTCCTGTACTCCCTGTTCACCCATGACTGCATGTCCAGGCACGACTCCAACACCATCATTAAGTTTGCAGATGACACAACAGTGGTAGGCCTGATCACCGACAACGAAGAGACAGCCTATAGGGAGGAGGTCGGAGACCTGGCCGTGTGGTGCTAGGATAACAACCTCTCCCTCAATGTGATCAAGACAAAGGAGATGATTGTAAACTACAGGGGAAAAAAAGAGGACTGAGCACGCCCCCATTCTCATCGACAGGGCTGTAGTGGAACAGGTTGAGAGCTTCAAGTTCCTTGGTGTCCACATCACCAACAAACTATCATGGTCCAAACACACCAAGACAGTTGTGAAGAGGGCGCGACAAAGCCTATTCCCCCTCAGGAGACTGAAAAGATTTGGCATGGGTCCTCAGATCCTCAAAAAGTTCTACAGCTGCACAATCGAGAGCATCCTGACTGGTTGCATCACCGCCTGGTATGGCAACTGCTTGGCCTCCGACCGCAAGGCACTACAGAGGGTAGTGCGTACGGCCCAGTACATCACTGGGGCCAAGCTTCCTGCCATCCAGGACCTCTATACCAGGCGGTGTCAGAGGAAGGCCCTCAAAATTGTCAAAGACTCCAGCCACCCTAGTCATAGACTGTTCTCTCTGCTACCGCACGGCAAGCGGTACCGGAGTGCCAAGTCTAGGTCCAAAAGACTTCTCAACAGCTTCTACCCCCAAGCCATAAGACTCCTGAACAGCTAATCATGGCTACCCGGACTATTTGCACTGCCCCCCCCACCCCATCTTTTTACGCTGCTGCTGCTCTGTTAATTATTTATGCATAGTCACTTTAACTCTACCCACATGTACATATTACTTCAACTACCTCAACTAGCCGGTTCCCCCTCACATTGACTCTGCACCGGTTCCCTACTGTTATTTTATTTTACTTCTGCTCTTTTTTTCTCAACACTTTTTTGTTGTTGTTTTATTTTACTTTTTTATTTAAAATAAATGCACTGTTGGTTAAGGGCTGTAAGGAAGCATTTCACTGTAATGTCTGCACCTGTTGTATTCGGTGCATGTGGCCAATAAAATTTGATTTGATTTGAGATGTTCATTTTCCGTTGCAAACCGGTTTGCTTTAGTGTGCCTATAATGAATGCATAAACAAAGATAAATACTTATCTGCATTATGTTTGATGTGAAACCAAGATTGTGAGGCGGTTATGCCCTCTGAAAGCAGTTTTAATCTGGATGGCTGGCAATGACTTGAGCTTTGTGCTGTCAGATGTTTGGAATAAACTTGTCATGGGTGTTGCAGTAGGGGTACGTGAACAGTTTGGGAAGCACCTGTCCCTGCCCCCGTCTTGGACGGTTGAAAAACAATAACTGTGAGAAGTTAGACGTTGAAAGACTTGTTGAACCTGATCGCCGGATTTCAATGGCCTATTTAGAAAGTACATTTCCTTGGAAAGATAACTGCCCCGTGGTTCTCTGCCCACGCATGAGACCACACGCGCACCTGATTTCGTAGGTATGGCTACTGAACTGGAAGCAGCAAGAATGATGACAGCGACACTTGCTACGTTTTGCATTGGCCTATAGGATATAGCCTAACTTTTAGGAGGACGATTTGCAGGCAGAGACAAATAAATGGGTAATCAATACTTATTGAAAATGAAAAGGCGCAAAGCTCACTCACCATAGTAGCCTAACCTATGTGTGCATTGTGCCTTTTCAATGATGATTACATTTTGTGATTGTACTTTGACTCACGTTGGTTGAGCGCCCACCACTTTTTTCCATTATCAATATTTATTTACAGACATTGTAGTAAACTACAGTGTAATCATATGTAAGTTAATTTCATATTTAAATTAACTACCATGTGATTCTCTGCCCATGTAGGCAGCTTACTCTATGAGATCACACATATTAGGCGGACTTGAACTCTCCCGCCCAACTAGGAGGTAGGCTACTGAAGTTGAAGTAGAGAATTCTGAGTGTGTGAATAATGCGAAAAATATGTGATTTTAATGCAATAGTCAGGCTAACGCATACAAAGCTGAAAGAGGACCGTTTTCAAATAATTTGTGGGACAACAAAAATAGGGAAGACTAGTCTATGGAGCTCAGGTGAATTTTGCAGTATATTAACAATATCAGTGAATGATTCAAAGTTCCACCTTGAATTGAAAGGTAGACCTACAGGACAGCAGTTTAAGCTTAAAGCTACAGTCTGGGATCTGGGAATAATGGTTATTTCAATTATTGAACCATTGATTATATTCTTGGATAATATAATGTATAAATGTATACCAAGGTAATTCTTTGTCATGCCTCATTTTAAGAGGATCAGATGGTGACAGGTGTCTCAGCAGGGTCAGGCAGCCAGGGAAGACCGGTCTGTGATGGAGGTGAGGTGAATTTTTGAAGATACAACACTTTTTTTCTCTCTGTGCAGCAAACAGTGGACAAGCCAGATGCTATTTTCAGGCAGTCTGACAAACCTCCAAAGTTGATTTTCAAACTGTATCAAGGGTTGATAGAGGCTTTTCCCGATGACACAAAACATGTAAAACAAAAATGTGAGCAAGACGTGGTAGAAGCTATTGATGATGATGAAGGGATACAGATATGTGTGAATGCCCAGTCATGTTCATATCATCTCAGACATAAATTAGTGCAGTTTAAGACTATCCATAGATGGAAAGAGTGGCTTCGGAGAAGATGGCTGCCGTTTTACAGCCCTCTAACCAATTGTACTTTTAAGTGTGTTTTTTCGCGTTATTTGTAATTTATTCTGTACATAATGTTTCTGCCACTGTCTCTTATGACAAAAAGAGCTTGTGGATATCAGGACAGCGATTACTCACCTCGTATTGGACGAAGTTTTTTCTTCAACGAGTCAGACGTGAAGGATATCCTACAGACACCTGTCGAGGCCCAAATCCCTGTCATTCGCATGAGAAAGAGACAGAGATATCGTGGACGTAGGTTTTTTTTTTTTTTTTTTTTTTTTGGTGAGGGAGGCCTGCTCTCTCCTTTCCCTGATGTTTAGTTCATTTCATCCCGATCTCCTCTGCATTATTGTAGCCATCTGCTGCAGCCTGTCAACTATGCCTCTGCCTATCCCTGTTCTCTCCTCTCCGCACAGGCTACACAAACGCCTCACACCGCGTGGCTGCTGCCTCTCTAACCTGGTGGTCCCTGCACGCACCACACACCTGGAGTTCCAGGTCTCAGGCAGCCTCTGGAACTGCCGTTCTGCCGCCAACAAGGCTGACTTCATCCCAGCCTATGCTACCCTCCAGTCCCTCGACTTCCTGGCGCTGACGGAAACATGGATTACCACTGAAAACACTGCTACTCCTACTGCTCTCTCCTCGTCTGACCATGTGTTCTCGCATACCCCGAGAGCATCTGGTCAGAGGGGTGGTGGCACAGGAATCCTCATCTCTCCCAAGTGGACATTCTCAAATTTTCCCCTAACCCATCTGTCTATCTCCTCATTTGAATTCCATGCTGTCACAGTCACTAGCCCATTTAAGCTTAATATCCTTGTCATCTATCGCCCCCCAGGTTCCCTTGGAGAGTTCATCAATGAGCTTGACGCCTTGATAAGTTCCTTTCCTGAGGATGGCTCACCCCTCACAGTTTTGGGGGATTTCAACCTCCCTGTGTCCACATTTGACTCATTTCTCTCTGCCTCCTTCTTTCCACTCCTCTCCTCTTTTGACCTCACCCTCTCACCGTCCCCCCCTACTCACAAGGCAGGCAATACGCTTGACCTCATCTTTACTAGATGCTGCTCTTCTACTAATCTCACTGCAACTCCCCTCCATGTCTCTGACCACTACTTTGTTTCCTTTTCTCTCTCGCTCTCCTCCCACACTACTCACTCTGCCCCTACACAGATGGTAATGTGCCGCCGCAACCTTCGCTCTCTCTCTCCCACTACTCTCTCCTCTTTCATCCTATCATCTCTTCCCTCTGCGCAATCCTTCTCCCTCCAATCTCCTGATTCTGCCTCCTCAACCCTCCTCTCCTCCCTTTCTGCATCCTTTGACTCTCTGTGTCCCCTATCCTCCCGGCCGGCTCGGTCCTCCCCTCCAGCTCCGTGGCTTGATGACTCATTGCGAGCTCACAGAACAGAGCTCCGGGCAGCGGAGCGGAAATGGAAGAAAACTAAACTCCCTGCCGACCTGGCATCTTTTCACTCCCTCCTCTCTACATTTTCTTCATCTGTTTCTGCTGCTAAGGCCACTTTCTACCACTCTAAATTCCAAGCATCTGCCTCTAACCCTAGGAAGCTCTTTGCCACATTTTCCTCCCTGCTGAATCCTCCCCCCCCCTCCCCCCCCTCCTCTCTCTCTGTGGATGACTTCGTCAACCACTTTGAAAAGAAGGTTGACGACATTCGATCCTCGTTTGCTAAGTCTAATGACACTGCTGGTCCTACTCACACTGCCCTTCCCTATGCTTTGACTTCTTTCTCCCCTCTCTCTCCAGATAAAATCCTGCGACTTGTGACTGCAGGCCGCCCAACAACCTGCCCGCTTGACCCCATCCCCTCCTCTCTTCTCCAGACCATCTCCGGTGACCTTCTCCCCTACCTCACCTCGCTGATCAACTCATCCTTGACCGCTGGCCATGTCCCTTCCGTCTTCAAGAGAGCGAGAGTTGCTCCCCTTCTCAAAAAACCAACACTCGATCCCACTGATGTCAACAACTACAGACCAGTATCCCTTCTTTCTTTTCTTTCCAAAACTATTGAGCGTGCCGTCTTTAGCCAACTCTCTTGCTATCTCTCTCAGAATGACCTTCTTGATCCAAACCAGTCAGGTTTCAGGACTGGTCATTCAACTGAGACTGCTCTTCTCTGTGTCACGGAGACTCTCCGAACTGCTAAAGCTAACTCTCTCTCCTCTGCTCTTGTCCTTCTAGACCTGTCTGCTGCCTTTGATACTGTGAACCATCAGATCCTCCTCTCCACCCTCTCCGAGCTGGGCATCTCCGGCGCGGCTCACTCCTGGATTGCGTCCTACCTGACCGGTCGCTCCTACCAAGTGGCGTGGCGAGAAGCTGTCTCCGCACCACGTGCTCTCACCACTGGTGTCCCCCAGGGCTCAGTTCTAGGCCCTCTCCTTTTCTCCCTATACACCAAGTCACTTGGCTCTGTCATATCCTCACATGGCCTCTCCTATCATTGCTACGCTGACGATACACAACTAATCTTCTCCTTTCCCCCTTCTGATAACCAGGTGGCGAATCGCATCTCTGCATGTCTGGCAGACATATCAGTATGGATGACGGATCACCACCTCAAGCTGAACCCTGGCAAGACGGAGCTGCTCTTCCTCCCGGGGAAGGACTGCCCGTTCCATGATCTCGCCATCACGGTTGACAACTCCGCTGTGTCCTCCTCCCAGAGTGCGAAGAGCCTAGGCGTGACCCTGGACAACACCCTGTCGTTCTCCGCCAACATCAAGGCGGTGACCCACTCCTGCAGGTTCATGCTCTACAACATTCGGAGAGTACGACCCTGCCTTACACAGGAAGCGGCACAGGTCCTAATCCAGGCACTTGTCATCTCCCGTCTGGACTACTGCAACTCGCTGTTGGCTGGCCTCCCTGCCTGTGCCATTAAACCCCTACAACTCATCCAGAATGCCGCAGCCCGTCTGGTGTTCAACCTTCCCAAGTTCTCTCACGTCACCCCCCTCCTCCGCACACTCCACTGGCTTCCAGTTGAAGCTCGCATCCGCTACAAGACCATGGTGCTTGCCTATGGAGCAGTGAGGGGAACGGCACCTCTGTACCTTCGGGCTCTGATCAGTCCCTACACCCAAACGAGGGCATTGCGTTCATCCACCTCTGGCCTGCTGGCTCCCCTTCCCCTGCGGAAGCACAGCTCCCGCTCAGCCCAGTCAAAACTGTTCGCTGCTCTGGCACCCCAATGGTGGAACAAGCTCCCTCACGACGCCAGGACAGCGGAGTCACTCACCACCTTCCGGAGACATTTGAAACCCCACCTCTTTAAGGATTACCTGGGATAGGATAAAGTAATCCTTCTACCCCCCCCCCCCCCCCCCCCCCCCCCCCCAAAAAAAAAAAATGTGTAAAGTGGTTATCCCACTGGCTATAGGGTGAACGCACCAATTGGTGAGTCGTTCTGGATAAGAGCGTCTGCTAAATGACGTAAATGTGCCCTTGAGCAAGGCACTTAACCCTAATTGCTCCTGTAAGTCGCTCTGGTTAAGAGCGTCTGCTAAATGACTAAAATGTAAATGTAAATGTAGGTCGGGGTGCCTTGTAAGGATCCGAACGCGAGCAACTAAACTGCCTCTTCCATCAATCCTATTAGCCAATGTTAAATCATTTGAAAACAAATTGGACGACCTAAGATTACGTTTATCCTACCAACGGGACATTAAAAACGGTAATATCTTATGTTTCACCGAGTCGTGGCTTCACGACGACATTGATAACATACAGCTGGCGGGATATACTCTACATCGTCAGGATAGAATGGCTGACTCCGGTAAGACAAGGGGTGGCGGTCTGTCTATATTTGTAAACAACAGCTGGTGCATAAAATCTAACACTAAGGAAGTCTCGAGGTTTTGCTCGCCGGAGGTAGAGTATCTCATGATAAGCTGTAGACCACACTATTTACCAAGAGAGTTTTCATCTATATTTTTCGTAGCTGTCTATCTACCACCACAAACCAATGCTGGAACTAAGCTTGCACTCAATGAGCTGTATAAGGCCATAATTAAACAGGAAAACGCTCATCCAGAGGCACCACTCCTAGTGGCCGGGGACTTTAATGCAGGGAAACTTAAATCCGTTCTACCTAATTTCTACCAGCATGTTAAATGTGCAACCAGAGGAAAAAAAACTCTAGACCATCTGTACTCCACACACAGAGACGCATACAAAGCTCTCCCTCGCCTTCCATTTGGCAAATCTGACCATAACTCTATCCTCCTGATTTCTGCTAATAAGCAAAAACTAAAGCAGGAAGCACCAGTGACTCGGTTAATAAAGAAGTGGTCAGATGACGCAGATGCTAAGCTTACAGGACTGTTTTACTAGCACAGACTGGAATATGTTCCAGGATTCTTCAGATAGCATTGAGGAGTACACCACATCAGTCACTGGCTTCATCAATAAGTGCATCGATGACGTTGTCCCCACAGTGACCGTACGTACATACCCCATCCAAAAGCCATGGATTACAGGCAACATCCGCACTGAGCCAAAGGATAGAGCTGCCGCTTTCATGGAGCGGGACTCTTAACCGGACGCTTATAAGAAATCCCGCTATCCCCTCCGACAAACCATCAAACAGGCAAAGAGTCGATACAGGACTAAGATTGAATCGACTACACCGGCTCTGATGCTCGTCAGATGTGGCAGGGCTTGAAAACTATTACAGACTACAAAGGGAAGCACAGCCGTGAGCTGCCCAGTGACACAAGCCTACCAGATGAGCTAAATCACTTCTATGTTCGCTTCGAGTCAAGTAACACTGAGGCATGCATGAGATCATCAGCTGTTCCGGATGACTATGTGATCACACTCTCCGTAGCCGATGTGAGTAAGACTTTTAAGCAGGTCAACATTCACAAGGCCGCAGGGCCAGACGGATTACCAGGACGTGTACTCCGAGCATGTGCTGACCAACTGGCAAGTGTCTTCACTGACATTTTCAACATGTCCCTGACTGAGTCTGTAATACCAACATGTTTCAAGCAGACCACCATAGTCCCTGTGTCCAAGGACCCTAAGATAACCTGCCTAAATGACTACCGATCCGTAGCACTCACGTCTGTAGCCATGAAGTGCTTTGAAAGACTGGTCATGGCTCACATCAACACCATTATCCCAGAAACCCTAGACCCACTCCAATTTGCATACCGCCCCAACAGATCCACAGATGATGCAATCTCTATTGCACTCCACACTGCCTTTTCCCACCTGGACAAGAGGAACACCTACGTGAGAATGCTATTCATTGACTACAGTTCAGCGTTCAACACCATAGTGCCCTCAAAGCTCATCACTAAGCTAAGGATCCTGGGACTAAACACCTCCCTCTGCAACTGGATCCTGGACTTCCTGACGGGCTGCCCCCAGGTGGTAAGGGTAGGTAACAACACATCTGCCACGCTGATCCTCAACACGGGGGCCCCTCAGGGGTGCGTGCTCAGTCCCCTCCTGTACTCCCTGTTCACCCATGACTGCATGACCAGGCACGACTCCTACACCATCATTAAATTTGACGATGACACAACAGTGGTAGGCCTGATCACCGACAAAGAAGAGACAGCCTATAGGGAGGAGGTCAGAGACCTGGCCGTGTGGTGCCAGGATAACAACCTCTCCATCAATGTGATCAAGACAAAGGAGATGATTGTAAACTACAGGAAAAAAAAGAGGACTGAGCACGCCCCCATTCTCATCGACAGGGCTGTAGTGGAACAGGTTGAGAGCTTCAAGTTCCTTGGTGTCCACATCACCAACAAACTATCATGGTCCAAACACACCAAGACAGTCGTGAAGAGGGCACGACAAAGCCTATTCCCCCTCAGGAGACTGAAAAGATTTGGCATGGGTCCTCAGATCCTCAAAAGGTTCTACAGCTGCACCATCGAGAGCATCCTGACTGGTTGCATCACCGTCTGGTATGGCAACTGCTCAGCCTCCGACCGCAAGGCACTACAGAGAGTAGTGCGTACGGCCCAGTACATCACTGGGGCCAAGCTTCCTGCCATCCAGGACCTCTATACCAAGCGGTGTCAGAGGAAGGCCCTAAAAATTATCAAAGACTCCAGCCACCCTAGTCATAGACTGTTCTCTCTGCTTCCGCACGGCAAGCGGTAACGGAGCGCCAAGTCTAGGTCCAAAAGGCTTCTCAACAGCTTCTAACCCCAAGCCATAAGACTCCTGAACAGCTAATCATGGCTACCCAGACTATTTGCACTTCCCCCCCACCCCACCCCATCCCCCTCTTTTACGCTGCTGCTACTCTGTTTATTATTTATGCATAGTCACTTTAACTCTACCCACATGTACATATTACCTCAATTACCTCGACTAGCCGGTGCCCCCGCACATTGACTCTGTACCGGTACCCCCTGTATATAGCCTCCCTACTGTTATTTTACTTTACTGCTGCTCTTTAGTTATTTGCTTTTATTTATTTTTACTTAACACTTTTTTATTGTACTTTTTTTATTTAAAAAAAAAAACGTCATTGTTGGTTAAGGGCTTGTAAGCATTTCACTGTATTGTCTACACCTGTTGTATTCGGCGCATGTGGCAAATAAAATTTGATTTGATTTTATATGCCAGTGAAACTGAATTATATGCACTCAAAAATGTAATTCCTCTGCTGGAGGTGTAAAACACAAAAGGGGACGTATTTGCATATGTTATGGTCATGTGAAGGCTGGCTGAATTCTGGCAAAGAGGATGTTCTTTTATCTCAGCATGTCTACAGATTCTCCCTTCTCCCTGTTTTTGTTTGCTTGGAAATGTTGATACTAGAGACTGTTATCTGAAGAAACTGTGTAACCAAGCATTTATAGCGGCTAAGAAATGCTTTGCCATTCATTGGAAAGTTGGTTATCGTCTCACAATGTCAAGTTATGTATCACTAGATTTGATTTATTTCAAGATTAAGGGTATACTTTCATAAGGTCTGGATTCCTTATATGGAATACAGTACGACTAAAGGAGTCTGTATTGAAAACAAGCCCACGTCAGGGGAGATACCTATTTAGGAAATCCCTAGCTGCTGGGCTGCTCAGTCCTGGCCCTGGGGGCCTGCTGTCCTGTGGGTTGTCACTCTGGCCTTGGCCTAACACACCCGAAACCAATAATGAATGTTTCACTAAGATCCTAAAGCTGAGTGGAGTGTGTTGGGTTGGGGCGCTGCAGGGCGGTGGACCCCTAGGGACAGGACGGGGCGACCCAGCTATATTGTGTGTAAGTGAAATAAAGCTCTACAGTACTATTAGTCCTATGAGATTAATTTAATGAAGCCTTTTGCTGTTTCTGTGTGTTAATTTGAGGTGTATGTGCTTTTATTTTTATTAAAAAAAAATTGTTACCAAACCTTTCCCTTGGGAATTAAAAAAATTAAAGGTCTGAACTGGGAAGGAAATTGTGTTGGGAGAGTTGAGTTATTGACTAGACTGGTGGGGGTCGGGCATGCAGGCGGCTCGCGCTGGCTGGTCAGTCTGGCTAAAATTTGATATAGACGATGTCTTAATAAAGACAATCAAAAGTCTTTGTATTTTTTTCAAGAGTTGTTCATTTGTTAGGCTATTGGTTAAAGGTGCAACACAATATTTATTATTGAATTACCTTCGATCTAGGTCAGTCGTATTAATCACTTAAACATATTTAATAATGATCTCTTACCTAGCTTGATGATTGTGGGCATTTTTGCTTACTTTTTGTCTAAATAGAGACGGCATATTGGATTGTGTAAAAATGCAGGAAATTAGCTTTAGATGCCCATAACAATTATTTTCAGGACCCCCAGACTCCCCGCCAGGTTATGTCCCCCCCACTTCTAAAACCAATGTGGTGCTCCTGGAATCTACACTGTAAATTGGAGACACTGAGGTAAGGATAACCTTCATGCAGTTTAACTTACATTTCACTTGGGCCGGAATTCAAAACTGACATATTTTCTGGAATATTTATGTTGTGTATCTTTTCTCCTTAGGTTTCCTTAGGCTATCAGGCTGCAGCATCTCAGAAGAAGGCTGTGCATCTCGTTTGAGCTCTGAGTCTGAGGTCCCTCACAGTGTCGAGGTGAACAGATGTTAATTTTCCGTTGCAAAACGTTTTGCTTCAGTGTGCCTGTAATGAACGCATAAACAAAGATAAATACTAATTTGCATGATGTTTGATGTGAAACATGATTGTGAGGCGGTTATGCCCTCTGAAAACAATGTTAATCTGGATTGCTGGCAGTGACTTGAGTTTTGTGTTGGCAGATGTTTAGAAATAAATATGTCATGGGTGTTGTCTTGTCCTATAACAGTAGAGCTGCCCCTGCACCTGCCAACTGACAGTTGGATGTTGAAAGACTCCTGTTGAACCTGATCGACTGGGTTTTCATGGGAAAATGTTAAAAACATGAGAAGGGTGTCAATTGCAGACACTAGGTGGAAATGTGCACAACAAAGAAACTCCACCTCCCTATTTATATAATGAATATGAATTCGGAGGACAGAAATAATTAAATATTGAAGCATTAGACCTATCACTAAAAGCTTCAGTCATACAAAAGTTATACTTAAATCTGAACTGGTTCTCAGGAAATAACGGATAGACATCATGAAAATGATCGGAGAGGTTGAGGGTAGAGGAAGTTCAGGAGTAAAAACAAACAAAATAGAATTATTGTAAAATTGACTGTGTCCATAAAATGTATATAGTATGTATAAGCTGGAAGTAGAGGCCTAAGCATTGTTGTTCACTAGTTTACTCCAATTAGGGAAGGGGTGGTGGGGTTGGAAAGTAATAAAGATAAATATATTTTTTTAAAGGATATGTATATAAATATATATGTATATGTATAAATGTAAAACATATGGGGGATTGGAAGTGATGCAGACAATTACATTGATATTAAAGCTGATCTACCCCCTACATAAAAAAAAAAATTATGAACTCCACCTCCCTATATAACAGGCTCTGCAAGGGGGTGATCATTTTATAATTTGAGAGGGGAAGCACTCCATCTAGAATGAGTCTCTCTGGGGATAATGAGGGGGGAAGCACTCCCTCTAGTATCTGTGAAGAGACTGAAGAGAGAGACACTGCTGCTAGAATGAGTTTGTCAGGAAGTGAGGGAGAAATGTCCCCTAAAAATAGTTTACCTGCAGAACAGGACACTGGCAGTGAACTTAAGAGGTAAGATCCCCAAATAGGTAAGTGTGAAGGAGCTGAGATTTTTTAACAACTCTCGTACAAATATATATTGTTGTGATTTGTCTTTATTTAATGCAATAGATCAAGTGAATCAGACCTTTTGTTGGAGCCGAATTTACTGTATCACTAACCTATACCTAGCTGTTATGTGCATTAAGAGTGATGACAATTATAAGTAACCATAAAAAGCACAGATACAAAAATCTAAAATGTGTGCAAACTCACCTACACTCTTATATATAGAACCTTTAAATGGGTTCTTCAGCTGTCCCCTTAGGAGAACGTTTTGAAGAACCCTTTGCAGTAGCGTTGCGTGGGTAAAATCACTGGGGAAGCCAAGCCCTATGTGTTGTGATAATTGCGTTGTTTGCTCTATAACCTGTTAATTCATACAGTGGCTTGCGAAAGTATTCACCCCCCCTTGGCATTTTTCCTATTTTGTTGCCTTACAACCTGGAATTAACATGGATTTGTTGGGGGTTTGTATCATTTGATTTACACAACATGCCTACCACTTTGAAGATGCAAAATATTTTATTTTGTGAAACAAACAAGAAATAAGACAAAAAAATAAATAATTGAGCGAGCATAACTATTCACCCCCCCAAAGTCAATACTTTGTAGAGCCACCTTTTGCAGCAATTACAGCTGCAAGTCTCTTGTGCCAAGCTTAGAGAGACATACCCCATCTAGCCACTGGGATTTTTGCCCATTCTTCAAGGGAAACTGCTCCTGCTCCTTCAAGTTGGATGGGTTCTGCTGGTGTACAGCAATCTTTAAGTCATACCACAGATTGAATTGGATTGAGGTCTGGGCTTTGACTAGGCCATTCCAAGACATTTAAATGTTTCCCCTTTAAACACTTGAGTGTTGCTTTAGCAGTATGCTTAGGGTCATTGTAAAATGCATGTAATACATGTAAAATGTATTGTCCTGCTGGAAGGTGAACCTCCGTCCCAGTCTCAAATATCTTGGAAGACTAAAACAGGTTTCCCTTAATAATTTCCCTGTATTTAGCGCCATCCATCATTCTTTCAATTATGACCAGTTTCCCAGTCCCTGCCGATGGAAAAACATCCCCACAGCATGATGCTACCACCACCATGCTTTACTGTTGGGATGGTGTTCTCGGGGTGATGAGAGGTGTTGGGTTTGCGCCAGACATAGCGTTTTCCTTGATGGCCAAAAAGCTCAATTTTAGTCTCATCTGACCAGAGTACCTTCTTCCATATGTTTGGGGAGTCTCCCACATGCCTTTAGGCGAACACCAAACGTGTTTCCTTATTTTTTTCTTTAAGCAATGTCTTTTTTCTGGCCACTCTTCCGTAAAGCCCAGCTCTGTGGAGTGTACGGCTTAAAGTGGTCCTATGGACAGATACTCCAATCTCCGCTGTGGAGCGTTGCGGCTCCTTCAGGGTTATCATTGTTTTCTTTGTTGCCTATCTGATTAATGCCCTCCTTGCCTGGTCTGTGAGTTTTGGTGGGCGGCCCTCTCTTGGCAGGTTTGTTGTGGTGCCATATTCTTTCCATTTTTTAATAATGGATTTAATGGTGCTCCATGGGAGGTTCAAAGTGTCTGATATTTTTTTATAACCCAACCCTGATCTGTACTTCTCCACAACTTTGTCACTGACCTGTTTGGAGAGCTCCCTGGTCTTCATGGTGCTGCTTGCTTGGTGGTGCCCCTTGCTTAGTGGTGTTGCAGACTCTGGGGCCTTTCAGAACAGGTGTATATATATACTGAGATCATGTGACAGATCATGTGACACTTAGATTGCACACAGGTGGACTTTATTTAACAAATTTTGTGACTTCTGAAGGTAATTGGTTGCACCATATCTTATTTAGGGGCTTAATAGCAAAGGGGGTGAATAGTTATTTTTTTCATTCCACTTCACCAATTTTGACTATTTTGTGTATGTCCATTACATGAAATCCAAATAAAAATCAATTTAACTTACAGGTTGTAATGCAACAAAATAGGAACAACGCCAAGGGGGATGAATACCTTTGCAAGGCACTGTAGCTTACTGCATAAACCTAACTGCTACAGTACTGTTTTTAATTGGTTAATGTTGCATAGGCTTACGTTTTTTAAAAAGTCAAGTAAAAAATAAATCTGAGCGGTAGATCTCGGCATGCATTTTGAGAAAAGGTTGGTGACCACTGTTCTAGAGTTTTCCCTGTTAACACTATCATCGTTTTCCTTTTATTGTGGCAATTGTGATCGAATCAACATTAGCCACTTTTAACGAAACAAAGCAAATTATGCAAGAGATTTTGTTGTAGGCAGAATGCATCGTAGTAGGATTCTATTGGCATGACTCAGTCTATTTAGTACTCTACACAGACCTATGTGGTATAAACAATCAGAGCTGCAGTAGGCCTATATGCAAACAGACCATTGCCATATATGGATCTGTGCCATTTACTTTGAACTGGACTGTTTTTACAGCATGAGCGGTTATGAGTAGATGCACACGTTTTGAGATCAAAACGAGAGCTGCGTGTAGCCACGTGTGCACATTTTGTTCATATCCTTTGCTAGTTAGTGAGTTATTAGCCCAGTTATAGATCATTTTCTAGTCAGCAATAGGGGAGTGATTGCTTTCCTACAAGAGCACAAAATGTGTACATTTCTAGACATCTTTGAAAAGCAAGTCAGGTAAAGAGCTTTTTTTTGTCTTAAAGGGGCAGTGTTGTGTTTTGAGATAGCTTATTCAAGACTAAGTAGCCAATAGGCAGAGGGTAGAATAATTTGTCTGATTCTCTGTAATAACGGTATGGGAATAATAATGAACTTTATGTGGTAAAGTGGTCACTTGCATCAAACAACACATTTTCAGTCACCTCCTTGTCTGAAGGACAAGTGGATAATCAGGTTAATGTCGAGCCCTGCATGTTTTTTTCTCTCCAAAAGTCTCATTGAATGTAGGCCTACATTAAACACCACACATTGGTGGCTGCTACTGTAGGCTGAATGATAGAACAGCTATTTCCATGTTAAAATGTTATTGGATGCTTTTATAGTAGGTCACTCTGGTAGGCCTACATTATGATCAAATAGCCACAGTAGCCTACTTGGCCACTGTTAAAACTGTAACTTAAAGCGGGTACAGCCTCAGTGTCCACAGTAAATACGAGCTGGAAGTTGCACAGAATTTTCACAATGTTCAAGTTTGCGGTCAGCAGACTTGAAATTTGCTCAGTGACAAAAGAATTAGAGGGAACATTGGGTAGAAGAACCCTTTTGGGTTCCATGCAGAACACTTTCCACAGAGGGTTCTACATTGAACCCAAAAGTGTTCTACCTGGAACCAAAAAGGGTTCTACCAGGAACCAAAAAGGGTTATCCTATGGGGACAGCCAAAGAACCCTTTTGGAAACCTTTTTTCTAATTGTGTACGTTGTAAACTCACATCCTGCTTTAAACAGGTTCAAGACAGACCGACCAGTCTCACCTGTACCTAGCTGTGTCTCCATGAAGAGTGACAGGTCTATGCGACCTCCTATTGACTTAAGGGAGGGAGACTTTTCCATTGAGCAAAGGTGAAACATTGTGCTTCAGATATATTATGCTTTTTTCTGGTTTCTTCTGTGCAGGTTCTGAGGGAAGGTTAATTATTTCTGCTCCTATGGCTTTAAACAGGTTCAAGACAGACCGACCAGTCTCACCTGTACCTAGCTGTGTCTCCATGAAGAGTGACAAGTCGAAGGGACTACATATTCTCTTCAGGGATGGAGAAGTATCTACTGGGCAAAGGTGAACTGAGACATAACATATGGTGTTTGATTATGGCATTTCCTTTTATTTACTGTGACGAGTACTGAGTATACGAAGAAGCAGGACGCATACGCAGGAATTAACAAGGTCAAGGTTTACTAAACAATGATCAAGAGAAATAACAACGATAGAGTAAACTACACAAAGCTAAACAATCAAAAACAACATAATCCAGAACAGTCCAGGGCTAAATAGGGGTGGTGACGAGATGATGAGGTGCAGGTGCGCTGGAGGTGATTAGGGTGCGTTGGGTTTCCATTCCGGTGTTGCCGAGGTGGTGCGCTCAGACCGGTGGCTCAGTAGACCGCCGAATCAGAGCGCCGGAGGGGAGCAACGGGAGGAGATGTGATAATTTACCATCTTATGTATATATACATAAATACATATACATATACATATACAAATACATATTTATAGATAAAGACTGATGTTATTGCGCTCTGTGCTCATTTTTACCCAGCAGTATCTCTGAGAAGAATGACCAGTCAATGGATTGCCAACCCAGAGTCCTTACTGATGACAAAGTGTGAGTGATCGCAGTTTGCACTGCATCCTACCTATTTTCTATTAGTTTAATTCACTAGCCATGTGTCTGATGACATCTAGTTCCTTTACTCTGTGAAGTTCCAGATAATAGCCACCAATTCATCATTCAGGATGTCTAATTTAGCTTGTTAAAGGATTTGAATTGTCTAAAGGACACCGTCATTGACTGACATTATACTAGAAATGTAAATAAAGTAGTATGATGACTATAATAGTTAGACTGTACCCAAGGTTTAGTGTAACTATCAGGAGATACAGAGAGCATTGTCTCCCAGGAAAAGCACCACATGCTGTGGCTTAATCTTCACTTAGCCTAGCTAACTCTAGGATGTCAAACTGTTGGACTGTTTCATCATTGATCACATCCAGGTTAGAGTTTATATTTGTGTAATTCAATTCAACAAGGAACATCTTTCTTTTCCACATATAGGTACCAAACTGTTTCCACTAAGACCGAAGTCCAGGATAAAATGAAATCCTACTTGAAGAATAGGGCATATTCTTTATTTGAGGGCATTGAAGATCAAGGAACAACAACACCTCTTAACAACATCTACACAGAGCTCTGCATCATACAAGGTGAAAGTGGAGAGGTCAATTATGAACATGAGGTGAGACAGATTGAGACAGCATGCAGATTTCCAATAGAACAAGATACATCAATCCATCTCAATGACATCTTCAAACCCTTACCTGGACAAGACAAGCCTATCAGAACAGTGCTGACAAAGGGAGTTGCTGGCATCGGAAAAACAGTGTCTGTGCTGAAGTTCATGTTGGACTGGGCTGAAGGAAAAGCAAACCAAGACATCCAGATCATCTTTCCACTTCCTTTTCGGGATCTGAACTTGATGAGAGATAAAAATCAAAGTCTGATAGAACTAATTCATCACACCTGTTTAGAAACAAAAGAATCAGAAATCTCAGAAAACGAAAATGTTGTGTTTGTTTTTGATGGTCTGGATGAATGTCGCCTTCCTCTGGACTTCCAGAATAATAAGATCTGCTGTGATGTCACAGAGTCAACTTCAGTGGATGTTCTGCTGACAAACCTCATCAAAGGGAATCTGCTTCCCTCTGCTAATATCTGGATAACCACCCGACCTGCAGCAGCCAATCAGATCCCTCTTGGGTGTGTTGACCAGGTGACAGAGGTACGAGGGTTCAATGACCTACAGAAGGAGGAATACTTCAGGAAGAGAATTGCTGAGGAGGTCCTGGCCAGCAGAATCATCTCACACATAAAGACATCAAGGAGCCTCCACATCATGTGCCACATTCCAGTCTTCTGTTGGATTTCAGCCACTGTCCTAGAGAGACTATTGGTTGAAGCAGAGAGTGAAGAGATCCCCAAGAATCTGACTCAAATGTACGCTCACCTCGTGATCTTCCAGTCAAAACTGAGGAGTCAGAACTATCCTGTAGAGCATGCCAACGATTCTCATTGGGATAAAGTGATGATTCTGGCACTGGGAAAACTAGCTTTTCAACAGCTAGAAAAAGGCCATCTGATATTCTATGAGGAAGACCTGATAGAGTGTGGCATTGATATCAAGGACGCGTCAGTGTACTCTGGAGTGTGCACTCAGATCTTCAGAGAAGAGTCTGGGCTTAACCAGATAAAGGTGTACTGCTTTGTACATCTGAGTATCCAGGAGTTTCTTGCTGCACTATATGTGTTCCTCATGTTCACTAACGACAACAACAATCTGATGGCTAAAGAGAAATCCCTCCGCAACAAAAACAGGCTATATCAAGATGCAGTGGACAAGGCCTTGCAGTGTGGAAATGGCCATCTGGACCTTTTCCTCCGCTTCCTTCTAGGCATTTCACATGAGTCCAATCAGCATCTCCTACAAGGCCTACTGACACCAACAAGAAGCAGATCACAGAGCAACAAGAAAACAGTCAGGTACATCAAGGAGAAGATCAGAAAGAATCTCCCTCTGGAGAGGTGCATCAATCTGTTCCACTGTCTGAATGAACTGAATGATCATTCTCTAGTGGAGGAAATCCAAAGCTACCTGAGCTCAGGAAGTCTCTCAAAATCTAAACTCTCATTTCGACAGTGGTCAGCTCTGGTCTTCATGTTGCTGACCTCAGAGAAGCTGGATGTGTTTGATCTGAAGAAATACATCAGATCAGATGCGGCTCTTCTCAAACTTCTCCCAGTTGTCAGATCCTCTAGAACAGCCCTGTAAGTGCTTAGTCAAATAAAATTCCAGACAGCATGCTATTGTAGCATAATAATGAACATCAGATTGAATTACTAGTTAGGCTGACAACTCAATCCCTAACGGGAGATTTTTTGTTGGCACCTGGATATCTTGAGATGCACCTTTTTTTTCACAGGCTGAACGAATGTAAACTCACCAAGAAAAGCTGTGAGGCACTGGCTTCTGTTCTCAAGTCAAATTCATGCTGCCTGAGACTGCTGGACATGAGTGGCAATAAACTTCAGGATTCAGGAGTGAAGCTGCTCTCTGCTGGACTGGGGTATCCACACTGTAAACTGGAGAAATTGAAGTGAGTGACTTTGACTGTCTCCACTGGAAAGTGGATGTTGTAAATATAAAGATGGAACTTCTTCATGTTGTAAATGTAGTTATAGATTTGAGTGGATTACTTAGCTGGATCATCTCTTCCCAGGTTGAATGATTGCAACCTTACTGAGAAATGATTTGAGGTGCTGGCTTCAACTCTCTGGGTTCAACACCTCAAGTTTGAGAGAGCTAGACCTGGGAGGAAATACTAGGGAAACTGAGATGTGTGACTGTCAGATGTTGTTATTATGAAGATGTAAATTATGTTATGTCTATAGCATCATTAGCTAGGTTTCCATCCAATTGGCAACTGATCTTCATGTGAATATTCTATAATCAGCATAACTAAAATATGCGCTTTTACCCACCAGAGATATTTCCACCAAATTCACTTGTTGCAGATAAAAGGCTGTGCGTGATGGTTTCCATGGCATTTTCAACTCTACTGATGGTTTTGTCACTACAAATGTTGCTTTATATAGTGAATGTAGCCACTCTGGTATTGGCACTTGCGCTCTAGCCAGCAGCTGGCAGATACAGTGCAGGATATAACCTACATGATGAGATTATTATGGACAAAAGAGGCACAGCAGCTAAGCATAGATCATCATGTCACCAGAATAAGACCCTCGATATTTATTGGAAAGGAGCATCAAGCTCATCACCTTGTGAAGTTCATAACTTATTTCATCTGTAGCCTAATAAACTGCATGCTTTCCCGAGTCGTAGTGGGAGGACCACACAAAATGTGACTCCAAATGTACTTCGATATGATCGTTATTATATCAATATTTGCTCGTAAAAGCGTTTCCACCGCCATTTCTCGCATAATACATTTTACAGACACAAAAAGATCCCACCTTGTCTAGCGTATTTTGTTTAGTTGACATTTGGAAAGGTAACCGACAAAGTTGCTGTTTCCATCAGGCGGGTCGTGACATCTTTTCATCCACATGTAGTTTACTCGCATATAAAGGTTGGATGGAAACCTGGTTAATGTAGTTATAGATTTGTGTGGATTACTTACTCCTCTCTCTCCAGATTGAAATATTGAAACCTAACTGAGAAATCCTATGAGGTGCTGGCTTCAACCCTCAGCTTAAACACATCAAGTTTGAGAAAGCTAGACTTGGAGGAAATTAACTCCAGGATTCTGTAGTGAGATTCATCTGTGCTGGACTTGAGAATCCACAATGTAAATTGGAGACACTGAGGTAAAACTATCCCTCATCAAATCAAATGAAGTTGTATTCGTTGCATACACATATTTAGCAGATGTTATTGCGGGTGTAGCGACATTCTTGTGTCCCTAGCTCCAACTTAGTTCAGTTTATTAATTCAACCATTAAAAAAAATAAAAGCACACATAACACTTGAAAAAGCCATACATGCACACGAGTAAAATCATCGAGGATAACACACAGTAAAGACTGGGACTTATTTCCATTGTGGTCCTCTTACAGTGCAGTAATATCTAACAATTCACAACAATAAACACAAATCTAAAAGTAAAAGAATGGAATTAAGAAATATTTAAATATTAGGACAAGCAATGTCGGAGTCCGGAGTATAAATAATATATATGCATATACTGTATGTGTATATGTCACAGGAGGTTGGTTGCACCTTAATTGAGGAGGATGGGCTCGTGGTAATGGCTGGGGCGCAATTAGTGGAATGGTATCAAATACATCAAACACATGGTTTCCATGGTTTCCATATGTTTGATGCCATTCTATTTGTTCCGTTCCAGACATTATTATGAGCCGTCAGCAGCCTCCACTGGTATATGTGATGGGATTATAGACATCATGGACAGTATGTGGATAGAATATTTAACATATCTGTAGAATACGTAGGATAGAATAGTATATATACAGCAATAGTTGAATAGGATGGCATTGACTAGAATACAGTATATACATATGAAATTAGTAAAACAGTATGTAAACATTAAAGTGACCAGTGTTCCATTATTAAAGTGGCCAATGATTCCATGTCTATGTACATAGGGCAGCAGCCTTTAAGCTGCAGGATTGAGTAACCAGGTGGTAGCCAACTAGTGACAGTGACTAAGTTCAGGGCAGTGTACTGGCTGGAGTCCGGCTAGTGATGGCTATTTAACAGTCTGATGGCCTTGAGATAGATGCTGTTTTTCAGTCTCTCGGTCCCAGCTTTGATGCACCTGTACTGACCTCGTCTTCTGGATGATAGCGGGGTGAACAGGCCGTGGCTCAAGTGGTTGATGTCCTTGATGAATACTTTTGTCCTTCTTGTGACATCGGGTGCTGTAGGTGTCCTGGAGGGCAGGCAGTGGGCCCCCGGTGATGCGTTGGGCAGACCGCACCACCCTCTGGAGAGCCCTGCGGTTGCGGGCAGTGCAGTTGCCATACCAGGCAGTGATACAGCCCGACAGGATGCTCTCAATTGTGCATCTGTAAAAGTTTGCGAGGGGCCCACTGCGGCCCTGTCGATGTGGATGTGGGCGTGCTCCCTCCACGATCAGCTCCTTCGTTTTGTTGATGTTGAGTGAGAGGTTATATTCCTGGCACCACTCCGCCAGGGCCCTCACCTCCTCCCTGTAGGCTGTCTCATCATTGTTGGTAATCAGGCCTACTACTGTTGTGTCGTCTGCAAACTTGATGATTGAGTTGGAGGCGTGCGTGGCCACGCAGTCATAGGTGAACAGGAAGTACAGGAGGTGGCTGAGCACGCACCCTTGTGGGGCCCCTGTGTTGAGGATCAGCGTAGTGGAGGTGTTGTTTTCTACCTTCACCACCTGGTGGCGGCCCGTCAGGAAGTCCAGGACCCAGTTGCACAGGGCGGGGTTCAGACCCAGGGCCTCGGGCTTAATGATGAGCATGGAGAGTACTATGGTGTCAATGAGTTTTACTTAGTTTCACTTGGGCCCGGGATTTCATCCAAGGCAGTGCACTGGACAGCCGACAATGTGACTTTTAAAGGTTTATTTATGCTTGAGTGGACATGTTCTACATTTACAGTGAATGGGATCTCCACAAACTTTGGGAAAATGTCAGCATTGTCGACTGTCCAGTGCGCTGCTCTGTAACGCGCCTTGGATTGAATTCCTCATGTCACTATTTCAATTTTTTATCTTTAACTCTGCATTGTTGGAAAAGGACCCGTAAGTAAGGATTTTCACTTTTAGTCTACACCTGTTGTTTACGAAGCATGTGACAAATACAATTTTATTTGATCCTGGCCTTGGTCTCTGATGTAGCATAATTGAAGACAATTTGTATCATTGTCTTTAGAGTATGTACTATTATCACATTAAATTATGAATCGGGGCACCAGTTCGTTATTATTGATCAGTTTAGTTGTGTTCATTTCGATTCAATAAAAGGTTCAACATATGACATTAAAATGACACATCACTACAGATGCAAAATGTAAATTTTCTGGAATATTTTACATTGTGTAACTTCTCTCCCTCACTTTCCACAGGCTGGCAGGCTGCAACATCACAGAGGAAGGCTGTACTTCTCTTGCTTCAGCTCTGAGGTCAAACCCCTCCCACCTGAAGGAGCTGGACCTGAGAGGAAATACTCCAGGAGACTCTGGAGTGAAGCTGCTCTCTTCTGTACGAGAGGATCCCCTCTATACACTGGAGACACTGCGGTGAGTTTTACTGATCAGTTTCATGAGCACACTGATATAGTGATCAATAAGCCATTGTAGACATCCAGACACCCGGGTCATATTCATTAGTGCAAACTGTAGCGAAACGTTTTGCAACACATGCTAGTTTCTTATTGGACATGTTCAGGTAGTCCCTGCCCGTTTTGTTCCGTGTTCTTCTCTTTGATGCCTAGTGAATACGACCCCTATATGTCTATGCTGCTGTATGAGGAGTTAGATCCACTTCCCTTCTTTCTTTCCCAGGTTAAATGACTGAAAGCTCACTGAGATTCAGTGAAGGAATGGCCTCAGCTCCAAGTCCTTGGTTGTGGGAGTGCGCTGCTTCGAATCGATGATGATAGCTCCTTGAATCTCTCAATAAATCAGAGAGCCCTGGCGAAGTGGTGCCAGGAAAATAACCTCTCCCTCAACAAACGCATCACCGGGGGCACACTGCCTGCCCTCCAGGACATCTACAGCACCCGGTGTCACAGGAAAGCCAAGAAGATCATCAAGGATGTCAGCCACCCGATCCCCGGCCTGTTCACCTCGCCACCATCTAGAAGGTCGGAGACAGTACAGGTGCATCAGACTGTTAAATAGGGGGGAGGGGCGGGTGGTTGGACGGGTGTGGTTGGAGAAATGGGGATTGAGGCACACTTTTTTGTTTTCTTGTTTAAATATTGTACCTGTAGAAATTCAGAATGTGTTCATTCAGTTTGATTAATTGTACTTAATCTCCATTACACTACAATACAGGGACTGACTGTTACGATGAATTGTCAATCAGTCAGTAAGGTGGCGCTATAGGAAATGTAAATAGATGTAAATGTGGTTTGATGTTCCTTGATGTATTCTGTTGTGTGTTATTGTAGTGTGTGTTCTGTTAGCTTAGTAAAAAGCCCTCCTTTTATGACATCATGCTAAATGTATATCCATCATGTCTTTACATATTGACTGTAGTTCAGTGTGTCTACTAGTGTCACTACAGTTAAGCTTCTTAATCTTGTCTTCCTAGTAACTCTACATCTTCCTATACTATCTTTACTCTAGTGTATTAGAGGTCTCTGGATTGTCTTGTACACTGATGTTTTTATTGTAGCACCTTGAGCTTTAAAACATGTAGCATTTCTTACATTCTATGTAACCCTGTATGTTAATCTATGGAAACTGTATTTCATATTCCTTAAATATATGCAGTAAAGCTGTTATTCCTATTGACGTGTGACTGTGTCCATCTGTTATTAATTGAATGACTTGGTTTCCACAGCTATGAATGTTCATACTCACAGTAATGAATAGGTCTACCTGAGTATAATCAAGGCCTTTACAGTGTTCTCTGCTGGTCCAACTAAAATGTATTTCACAAAAACATTTCACTACTGCACCATATTTTAATAGTTTCAAAATGCTACATCAAGCAGCTAGTTCAGGTGGCTATTGCTACCCAAATCTAAACCTTTATTATACAAAGTCACCAAACAATGAAGTAGATCTGAAAACAGGCAGGATGTTTTACTATTAAATACATTTTATTACACAAGCAGACAATGACAGTCTGGCCTTTTCACAGAAAGACAACTCAGAACATCTCATTGTGGGTCTTCTGGTTGGTCAGTAAAGCAGAGAGCCATGCAGTCTCAGCAGCTCCTTACTGCTGTGTGTGTGTGTATGTCTAAAGACCGATATATTGGACAGATAGATACTTCCTTCCCTCCCATATTTTCTCCTCTCTCCTTAGCCCCAGTTGTGTTGGTCTTCTTCTGTGGTGGTCAGTATGTCAGTAACCAGGCCGGTGCCAATAGTTTTGTTGCCATCTCTGAGAGTGAACCGTTGACCTTTCTCCAGAATCATAGGCTGGCGCAGCGTAAGGGTCAGGGATGTGTCTTCACCTGGCATCACCATGTCCTGTTAGAGGAGAAGAGGATCAGTCTTTCCTCACAGAGGGTAAAACACAGCCCTGGACAATGGGGCACACTACATTATAATACACAAATCACATTAGTGAAAAAGATTGACCATTTCAAAAGGTGACAGATAGTCACGTACCTTGTCTCCTGCCAGGTGGACCCTGCAGGCCATGTCCCAGGTGAGAGAGAACATGACTGGCATAAAGTTACTGACAAAGGGCTTGTGTCTGCCACCCTCCTCCTTGCTCAGGACATAGACCTGGGATGAAGAGATGTTTTTATGACAGATTTTACATTCATTCCATTGAAATTCAATTAAAGAACATATCATATCCTAACTTTGGACTACAAGAATACACACACACACACACACACACATATATATATATATTTTATATACCACAAATAATATACCATAACTGTAGACAGGCATGGGCCACAAATACTATCCCATAACTGTAGATAGACATGCATTTAATTTGACCAACTTAATATAGTCAAATGTAATACGCTGAATAAAATAACAATTATTTCAGAAAACGATTTACTGGGACTACAACACTATGGTACACTAGACCTACAGTGGGGGGAAAAAAGTATTTAGTCAGCCACCAATTGTGCAAGTTCTCCCACTTAAAAAGATGAGAGAGGCCTGTAATTTTCATCATAGGTACACGTCAACTATGACAGACAAAATTAGAAAAAAATATCCAGAAAATCACATTGTAGGATTTTTTATGAATTTATTTGCAAATTATGGTGGAAAATAAGTATTTGGTCAATAACAAAAGTTTCTCAATACTTTGTTATATACCCTTTGTTGGCAATGACACAGGTCAAACGTTTTCTGTAAGTCTTCACAAGGTTTTCACACACTGTTGCTGGTATTTTGGCCCATTCCTCCATGCAGATCTCCTCTAGAGCAGTGATGTTTTGGGGCTATCGCTGGGCAACACAGACTTTCAACTCCCTCCAAAGATGTTCTATGGGGTTGTGATCTGGAGACTGGCTAGGCCACTCCAGGACCTTGAAATGCTTCTTACGAAGCCACTCCTTCGTTGCCCGGGCAGTGTGTTTGGGATCATTGTCATGCTGAAAGTCCCAGCCACGTTTCATCTTCAATGCCCTTGCTGATGGAAGGAGGTTTTCACTCAAAATCTCACGATACATGGCCCCATTCATTCTTTCCTTTACACGGATCTGTCGTCCTGGTCCCTTTGCAGAAAAACAGCCCCAAAGCATGATGTTTCCACCCCCATGCTTCACAGTAGGTATGGTGTTTACATTTACATTTTAGTCATTTAGCAGACGCTCTTATCCAGAGCGACATACATGAGCAATTAGGGTTAAGTGCCTTGCTTAAGGGCACATCGACAGATTTTTCACCTAGTCGGCTCGGGGATTAGAACCAGCGACCTTTCGGTTACTGGCACAACGCTCTTACCCACTAAGCTACCTGCCGCCCTATTAATTCTTTCCTTTACACGGATCAGTCGTCCTGGTCCCTTTGCAGAAAAACAGCCCCAAAGCATGATGTTTCCACCCCCATGCTTCACAGTAGGTATGGTGTTCTTTGGATGCAACTCATAATTCTTTGTCCTCCAAACACGACGAGTTGAGTTTTTACCAAAAAGTTATATTTTGGTTTCATCTGACCATATGACATTCTCCCAATCCTCTTCTGGATCATCCAAATGCACTCTAGCAAACTTCAGACGGGCCTGGACATGTACTGGCTTAAGCAGGGGGACACGTCTGGCACTGCAGGATTTGAGTCCCTGGCGGCGTAGTGTGTTACTGATGGTAGGCTTTGTTACTTTGGTCCCAGCTCTCTGCAGGTCATTCACTAGGTCCCCCCGTGTGGTTCTGGGATTTTTGTTCACCGTTCTTGTGATCATTTTGACCCCACAGGGTGAGATCTTGCGTGGAGCCCCAGATCGAGGGAGATTATCAGTGGTCTTATATGTCTTCCATTTCCTAATAATTGCTCCCACAGTTGATTTCTTCAAACCAAGCTGCTTACCTATTGCAGATTCAGTCTTCCCAGCCTGGTGCAGGTCTACAATTTTGTTTCTGAAGTCCTTTGACAGCTCTTTGGTCTTGGCCATAGTGGAGTTTGGAGTGTGACTGTTTGAGGTTGTGGACAGGTGTCTTTTATACTGATAAGTTCAAACAAGTGCCATTAATACAGGTAACGAGTGGAGGACAGAGGAGCCTCTTAAAGAAGAAGTTACAGGTCTGTGAGAGCCAGAAATCTTGCTTGTTTGTAGGTGACCAAATACTTATTTTCCACCATAATTTGCAAATAAATTAATTTAAAATCCTACTATGTGATTTTCTGGATTTTTTTCTCTCAATTTGTCTGTCATAGTTGACGTGTACCTATGATGAAAATGACAGGCCTCTCTCATCTTTTTAAGTGGGAGAACTTGCACAATTGGTGGCTGACTAAATACTTTTCCCCCCCACTGTATATACTGGAGTACTACGGTACACTAGACCTATATACTGCAGTACTAGACTACAACACTATGGTACACTAGACCTATATACTGGGAGTACTAGACTACAACACTATGGTATACTAGACCTATATACACTGCAGTACTAGACTACAACACTATGGTACACTAGACCTATATACTGGGAGTACTAGACTACAACACTATGGTATACTAGACCTATATACTGCAGTACTAGACTACAACACTATGGTATACTAGACCTATATACTGCAGTACTAGACTACAACACTATGGTACACTAGACCTATATACTGGGAGTACTAGACTACAACACTACGGTATACTAGACCTATATACTACAGTACTAGACTACAACACTACGGTACACTAGACCTATATACTGGAGTACTAGACTACAACACTATGGTACACTAGACCTATATACTGCAATACTAGACTACAACACTATGGTACACTAGACCTATATACTGGGAGTACTAGACTACAACACTATGGTACACTAGACCTATATACTGCAGTACTAGACTACAACACTATGGTACACTAGACCTATATACTGGGAGTACTAGACTACAACACTACGGTACACTAGACCTATATACTGGGAGTACTAGACTACAACACTACGGTATACTAGACCTATATACTACAGTACTAGACTACAACACTACGGTACACTAGACCTATATACTGGAGTACTAGACTACAACACTATGGTACACTAGACCTATATACTGCAGTACTAGACTACAACACTATGGTACACTAGACCTATATACTGCAGTACTAGACTACAACACTATGGTACACTAGACCTATATACTGGGAGTACTAGACTACAACACTATGGTACACTAGACCTATATACTGCAGTACTAGACTACAACACTATGGTACACTAGACCTATATACTGGGAGTACTAGACTACAACACTATGGTATACTAGACCTATATACTGGGAGTACTAGACTACAACACTACGGTACACTAGACCTATATAGTAGAGTACTAGACTACAACACTACGGTACACTAGACCTATATAGTAGAGTACTAGACTACAACACTATGGTACACTAGACCTATATACTGGGAGTACTAGACTACAACACTACGGTATACTAGACCTATATACTACAGTACTAGACTACAACACTACGGTACACTAGACCTATATACTGGAGTACTAGACTACAACACTATGGTACACTAGACCTATATACTGCAGTACTAGACTACAACACTATGGTACACTAGACCTATATACTGCAATACTAGACTACAACACTATGGTACACTAGACCTATATACTGGGAGTACTAGACTACAACACTATGGTACACTAGACCTATATACTGCAGTACTAGACTACAACACTATGGTACACTAGACCTATATACTGGGAGTACTAGACTACAACACTACGGTACACTAGACCTATATACTGGGAGTACTAGACTACAACACTACGGTATACTAGACCTATATACTACAGTACTAGACTACAACACTACGGTACACTAGACCTATATACTGGAGTACTAGACTACAACACTATGGTACACTAGACCTATATACTGCAGTACTAGACTACAACACTATGGTACACTAGACCTATATACTGCAGTACTAGACTACAACACTATGGTACACTAGACCTATATACTGGGAGTACTAGACTACAACACTATGGTACACTAGACCTATATACTGCAGTACTAGACTACAACACTATGGTACACTAGACCTATATACTGGGAGTACTAGACTACAACACTATGGTATACTAGACCTATATACTGGGAGTACTAGACTACAACACTATGGTACACTAGACCTATATAGTAGAGTACTAGACTACAACACTACGGTACACTAGACCTATATAGTAGAGTACTAGACTACAACACTATGGTACACTAGACCTATATACTGGAGTACTAGACTACAACACTATGGTATACTAGACCTATATACTGCAGTACTAGACTACAACTCTATGGTACACTAGACCTATATACTGCAGTACTAGACTACAACACTATGGTACACTAGACCTATATACTGGGAGTACTAGACTACAACACTATGGTACACTAGACCTATATACTGCAGTACTAGACTACAACACTATGGTACACTAGACCTATATACTGGGAGTACTAGACTACAACACTATGGTATACTAGACCTATATACTGGGAGTACTAGACTACAACACTATGGTACACTAGACCTATATACTGGAGTACTAGACTACAACACTATGGTATACTAGACCTATATACTGCAGTACTAGACTACAACTCTATGGTACACTAGACCTATATACTGCAGTACTAGACTACAACACTATGGTACACTAGACCTATATACTGGGAGTACTAGACTACAACACTATGGTACACTAGACCTATATAGTAGAGTACTAGACTACAACACTATGGTATACTAGACCTATATACTGCAGTACTAGACTACAACACTATGGTACACTAGACCTATATACTGCAGTACTAGACTACAACACTATGGTACACTAGACCTATATACTGCAGTACTAGATTACAACACTATGGTACACTAGACCTATATACTGCAGTACTAGATTACAACACTATGGTACACTAGACCTATATACTGCAGTACTAGACTACAACACTATGGTATACTAGACCTATATACTGCAGTACTAGACTACAACACTATGGTACACTAGACCTATATACTGCAGTACTAGACTACAACTCTATGGTACACTAGACCTATATACTGCAGTACTAGACTACAACACTATGGTACACTAGACCTATATACTGGGAGTACTAGACTACAACACTATGGTACACTAGACCTATATAGTAGAGTACTAGACTACAACACTATGGTATACTAGACCTATATACTGCAGTACTAGACTACAACACTATGGTACACTAGACCTATATACTGCAGTACTAGACTACAACACTATGGTACACTAGACCTATATACTGCAGTACTAGATTACAACACTATGGTACACTAGACCTATATACTGGGAGTACTAGACTACAACACTATGGTACACTAGACCTATATACTGCAGTACTAGACTACAACACTATGGTACACTAGACCTATATACTGGGAGTACTAGACTACAACACTACGGTACACTAGACCTATATACTGGGAGTACTAGACTACAACACTACGGTATACTAGACCTATATACTACAGTACTAGACTACAACACTACGGTACACTAGACCTATATACTGGAGTACTAGACTACAACACTATGGTACACTAGACCTATATACTGCAGTACTAGACTACAACACTATGGTACACTAGACCTATATACTGCAGTACTAGACTACAACACTATGGTACACTAGACCTATATACTGGGAGTACTAGACTACAACACTATGGTACACTAGACCTATATACTGCAGTACTAGACTACAACACTATGGTACACTAGACCTATATACTGGGAGTACTAGACTACAACACTATGGTACACTAGACCTATATACTGCAGTACTAGACTACAACTCTATGGTACACTAGACCTATATACTGCAGTACTAGACTACAACACTATGGTACACTAGACCTATATACTGGGAGTACTAGACTACAACACTACGGTACACTAGACCTATATACTGGGAGTACTAGACTACAACACTACGGTATACTAGACCTATATACTACAGTACTAGACTACAACACTACGGTACACTAGACCTATATACTGGAGTACTAGACTACAACACTATGGTACACTAGACCTATATACTGCAGTACTAGACTACAACACTATGGTACACTAGACCTATATACTGCAGTACTAGACTACAACACTATGGTACACTAGACCTATATACTGGGAGTACTAGACTACAACACTATGGTACACTAGACCTATATACTGCAGTACTAGACTACAACACTATGGTACACTAGACCTATATACTGGGAGTACTAGACTACAACACTATGGTATACTAGACCTATATACTGGGAGTACTAGACTACAACACTATGGTATACTAGACCTATATACTGCAGTACTAGACTACAACACTATGGTACACTAGACCTATATACTGCAGTACTAGACTACAACACTATGGTACACTAGACCTATATACTGCAGTACTAGATTACAACACTATGGTACACTAGACCTATATACTGCAGTACTAGATTACAACACTATGGTACACTAGACCTATATACTGCAGTACTAGACTATAACACTATGGTATACTAGACCTATATACTGCAGTACTAGACTACAACACTATGGTACACTAGACCTATATACTGCAGTACTAGACTACAACACTACGGTATACTAGACCTATATACTGGAGTACTAGACTACAACACTATGGTACACTAGACCTATGTAGTAGAGTACTAGACTACAACACTATGGTACACTAGACCTATATAGTAGAGTACTAGACTACAACACTATGGTACACTAGACCTATGTAGTAGAGTACTAGACTACAACACTATGGTACACTAGACCTATATACTGGGAGTACTACAGTACACTAGACCTATATACTGGAGTACTAGACTACAACACTACGTATGCGGTACACCAACAGTTCACACTCCTCTAGAGCTGCTAGCTGAAGATACAGACCTGGGCCTGGACTTTATTTATTACATGATACAGACCTGGACTTTATTTATTACATGATACAGACCTGGACTTTATTTATTACATGATACAGACCTGGACTTTATTTATTACATGATATGATACACAAACCTGGACTTTATTTATGATATGATACAGACCTGGACTTTATTTATTACATGATACAGACCTGGACTTTATTTATTACATGATACAGACCTGGACTTTATTTATTACATGATACAGACCTGGACTTACTTTATTACATGATATGATACACAAAACTGGACTTTATTTATGATATGATACAGACCTGGGCCTGGACTTTCTGGTGAGGCTGGATAGAGCCTGGTTTGCTCATCACCATCCCTCTCCTAATGTCCTCCCTCTTCAGCCCTCGGACCAGAGCACCCAGGTTATCTCCTGCCTCCGCTCTGTCCAGAGACTGGTGGAACATCTCAATGCCTGGGGAGGAGAGAGGGGGAGCGAGGGAAAGAAAGAGATGGTGAAGGGAAGTTAAGTTAAGGGAGAACAATTAGACTCAGAATGGAGTTGTGTATGGAGGTTTTAGGTGGAGTTGAGGGGTTACCAGAGGGCTATTTTGGGTAACTCTGTCCAGTAGTCTTATTAGTGGGTAATTAGTGCTAGAAGAAGTGCAGTGGAGCTACTGTTGTAGTTTTAACTTGGTGTTAGGGGTAGTTCTGTCACTACACTGTACTAGGGGTTAGGGGTAGTACTGTCAGAACACTGTACTAGGGGTTAGGGGTAGTTCTGTCACTACACTGTACTAGGGGTTAGGGGTAGTTCTGTCAGAACACTGTACTAGGGGTTAGGGGTAGTTCTGTCAGAAACACTGTACTAGGGGTTAGGGGTAGTCTGTCAGAACACTGTACTAGGGGTTAGGGGTTAGTATCTGCAGAACACTGTACTAGGGGTTAGGGGTAGTTCTGTCAGAACACTGTACTAGGGGTTAGGGGTAGTACTGTCACTAACACTGTACTAGGGGTTTAGGGGTAGTTCTGTCAGAACACTGTACTAGGGGTTAGGGGTAGTTCTGTCAGAACACTGTACTAGGGGTTAGGGGTAGTTCTGCCAGAACACTGTACTAGGGGTTAGGGGTAGTTCTGTCAGAACACTGTACTAGGGGTTAGGGGTAGTTCTGCCAGAACACTGTACTAGGGGTTAGGGGTAGTTCTGTCAGAAAACTGTACTAGGGGTTAGGGGTAGTTCTGTCAGAACACTGTACTAGGGGTTAGGGGTAGTTCTGTCAGAACACTGTACTAGGGGTTAGGGGTAGTTCTGTCAGAACACTGTACTAGGGGTTAGGGGTAGTTCTGTCAGAACACTGTACTAGGGGTTAGGGGTAGTTCTGTCAGAACACTGTACTAGGGGTTAGGGGTAGTTCTGTCAGAACACTGTACTAGGGGTTAGGGGTAGTTCTGTCCGTATTCTGTGACAATGAATAATAGCAATTATAGTGTTAAACTGGACTTACAGGAATAATTACAGTAATATGAACACAGTTTTACAGCATCTGTTACCTATGTGCTACATCTTTAAAATGTGAAGAATGAAAGCTCTATGAATGATAAAAAATTGAATTGTTTGAAATGAATTGAAATCAACCTTTCTATAGTGGTGTGCCTCCACATTCACGTACCAGTGACCACAGACTTGAAGGCACGGTTGTGCCCCACAAACTCACAGTCGTCGCCCTTCTTAATGACGCCCCTCTCCAAAGTGCCAGTCACCACCGTACCCCTGCCTGAAAGACAGATGAATGAATACATGTTTAATAAATAGTTTTGATACCCAGAGGGAGACGTGGTTAGACACCAGCAGACAGATCAGAACAGAGACATGATGGCTGACGGCTGAACTACATCATACGTGCATCAATAAAATAAAAGGTGAAACAGAAAGGTACAAAGGAAACTGATACAAGTGCTTCCAAAGAGTCACTCTTACTAAGTCACACAAAGACAGTGAGAGGAAAACTGCATGTTATAGATACACTGTTTATTCCTACACAGATGTACAGAAAACAGGCATGTTGTTCCAGTCACAAAACACATGCTGCACAAACATAGCAGACTGACTAATGTCAAAGATTATTTTATGAAGAAAGCTCAGTGGCTACGGAAACTGTTGTCAAACACTGGGATGAGCCTAGCAATGAGGCAGGGACAGTGGGATCCTATTGCAGCGTTTTAACATCTATTGTCATGTTTTCACTAGGAAACACCATCTGAAGAGCACAGTGCACGAGCTTGAATTCATCGCTGCACTGCTTCTGAATGATGTCATGTTAAATGGATAACAATGAGTCAGGTCGATGACATATAGTAAGGAGAGGAATCCACCTAGTGGCAACACAGCTTTTTAACTTAATGAGAAATCTAGTTTCTCTTTACAATTTCAGCTACTTCTCAGTCACCTGGGATAGAGTAGACTCCCTCGATGGGCAGCAGGAAGGGTTTCTCCAGCTCTCTCTTGGGCAGAGGGACGTATTCATCCACGATCTCTAGGAGCTTCAGCACTGCGTTCACCCCCAGGTCAGGCTGTTTGTTCTGGGGAGGGGAGGTTAGACGAGGTGAGACAACAGGTCAGGCTGTTTGTTCTGGGGAGGGGAGGTTAGACGAGGTGAGACAACAGGTAAGGTTTTACCGCTGCACAAATTATCAGATTGATTACAGCTGCACTGTCTGTCTGGAAGGGATTCCGTTTGAGCTGAGGCGTTGCACAGAACAAATTCAAAAGTGATTGGATCACCAAGCAATCAGAAAAAAAGAAGCCACAGTGCTGCATTTTTCAGAAGTAACACAAGCACTTATCATCTTTCAAGAGAGAAAGGCATATCTACCAGGACAATAGGCTATATGAGCCAAAGGCAGATAAATATAGAAATGTCAATGTGAGACTATTATAAATATAGTAGGCACCTAATGTTTTTGCCAAGCCATGGCGATGATAAAGATTAGGGTACTGCATCAGATTCAATACAGAGACCGTCTTGATACAGTAACCTGAGCCTACACTTTATTGAACCATCTCGTAATTTAGATGATATGCTTTCACACAGAATGGAGCAGGTCTGATAAAAGAGCAGAGTTTATTTAGCAGAGTTCAGACTCATGTAAAGCTTTATATTTAGCCATCACCTATGCGTTGTTTCCTGTTGTCTACTGCCTGTCATCAACTAAACATTTTAGTCATTTATCAGATGCTCTTATCCAGAGCGACTTACAGTTAGTGAGTGCATACATTTAAAAAAATAATAATAATCATACTGGCCCCCCGTGGGAATCGAACCCACAACCCTGGCGTTGCAAGCGCCATGCTCTACCAACTGAGCTACACGGGACTAAACCACTCCCATAGTTCATCAGAGGATGCTGATTAGTCCAAAGCAACAGTGAGAGAAAAGGCGTGGCTCAGGTCATCACAGCCCTACCAGACTGATATCCCTGCAGCGTTTAATGGAAGCTCGCGTTTAATGGAAGCTCGCGGGATCAGGCGGATTTGCGAGTCTACCTAAAAGGACCACATTGAAATAAGTCAGTTGACTTTTTGGTTTTTAAAATTGATATTTTTTTTGTATGTCTGTATAATAGTACCAACATGGCTGAAGCAACAGTATGTATTTTAAAAACGGTCAAATAAAATAAAAATCGATCAACCTTGCCAGCGAGCTGATAGCCTATCCGAAGTTGTGAGGTTATTCGGCCACCGCCACAACCCTACCTCGTACCATGCACTCACCTCCAGGGCACAGAGGGCCGAGCCGATGACAACGGGCGTGTTCTCGCCGTCGTAGCCAAACTCTGTGAGCAGCTCTCTGATCTCCAGCTCAACCAGCTCCAGCATCTCCTTGTCCTCCACTGCATCCGCTTTGTTCACAAACACCACCACGTGCTCCACGCCGATCTGCCGGGCCAGCAGGAGGTGCTCCCTGGTCTGGGGCATCTGTCCGTCCGTGGCCGCCACCACCAGGATGCAGCCGTCCAGCTGAGCCGTGCCTGTGATCATGTTCTACAGGAGAAAGGTAAACATGTCACCTTGTGTGACAATCATACTGTCATTCTCTATCTTGTTACCTTTCATACTGAACACTGCATTGTTGAGGAAGAGCCTGTTAGTCAGCATCTCTCTGTACTGTTTATACCTGCTGTATCCCGTGACTAATCAACGTGCTCCTAGCCTCCAACCCCCATTACAATTCTAGTCCCAAAATCCCAAAGTGTCTCAGTAGGAATGGAGATCTAGGATTGGTTTTGCCTTTTAAATTACAGACCTGCCAACCACTTCAGCACGGCGCCAGCACCCCCGGCCCCACAGATTTTAAAATATTTGTTTGTCATTTAGCAGACGCTCTTATCCAGAGCGACTTACAGGCGCAATTAGGGTTAAGTGCCTTGCTCAGCGGCCCAGACAGATTTTTCACCTAGTCAGCTCTGGGATTTGAACCAGCGGCCTTTCGGTTACTGGCCCAACGCTCTTAACCGGTAGGCTACCTGCCACCCCACAACAGTGCACGTGCAACACCCACACTGCTCAAATCATAGACAAAAGCACCTTTTGATGCCTAATAATGGATGTTGGCAGAAGAATGTCTCAGTAGGAACGGTATACTATAGACTGTTATGGGTACTTGGTCATTGGCTGCTCTTCAGTAGCCAACTAGAAATAAATGTAAATGTACAATCAGGGCTCTCCCTAGGATTTTCTGACAAGGTGGTGCTGATGTAGGCCTAAGGTTGGGTAGGGGGGAGGGTCCGGAGCGGTTTCTGACAAGGTGGTGCTGATGTAGGCCTAAGGTTGGGTAGGGGGGAGGGTCCGGAGCGGTTTCTGACAAGGTGGTGCTGATGTAGGCCTAAGGTTGGGTAGGGGGGAGGGTCCGGAGCGGTTTCTGACAAGGTGGTGCTGATGTAGGCCTAAGGTTGGGTAGGGGGGAGGTCCGGAGCCGTTTCTGACAAGGTGGTGCTGATGTAGGCCTAAGGTTGGGTAGGGGGGAGGGTCCGGAGCGGTTTCTGACAAGGTGGTGCTGATGTAGGCCTAAGGTTGGGTAGGGGGGGGGGGTCCGGAGCGGTTTCTGACAAGGTGGTGCTGATGTAGGCCTAAGGTTGGGTAGGGGGGAGGGGTCTGGAGCGGTTTCTGACAAGGTGGTGCTGATGTAGGCCTAAGGTTGGGTAGGGGGGAGGGTCCGGAGCGGTTTTCTGACAAGGTGGTGCTGATGTAGGCCTAAGGTTGGGTAGGGGGGAGGTCCGGAGCCGTTTCTGACAAGGTGGTGCTGATGTAGGCCTAAGGTTGGGTAGGGGGGAGGGTCCGGAGCGGTTTCTGACAAGGTGGTGCTGATGTAGGCCTAAGGTTGGGTAGGGGGGGGGGGGTCCGGAGCGGTTTCTGACAAGGTGGTGCTGATGTAGGCCTAAGGTTGGGTAGGGGGGAGGGGTCTGGAGCGGTTTCTGACAAGGTGGTGCTGATGTAGGCCTAAGGTTGGGTAGGGGGGAGGGTCCGGAGCGGTTTCTGACAAGGTGGTGCTGATGTAGGCCTAAGGTTGGGTAGGGGGGAGGGGTCTGGAGCGGTTTAGTCAACTTCCCCCTCAGGAAGTTGGAGCATTTAGCTGCTTCTTTTTTTTTTTTTTTTTTTTTTTTACCTGTAACTGCCATTTCCTGAAACTTAGAGTCTTAAATTATATCAAACAATGTAGCCAACACAGAAGTCTCGTTTGAGCCTGAATGAAATTGAAGTGGTCTCAATGACACTTTCAACTTTTCCTAGGTTACATTTTTGGGTAAATAATTTTTTATGTCTGTATTATTGTCCCAACATGACTGAAGCAACAGTTTGTATTTTAAAACGGTCAAATAAAATACAAATCAATCAACCTTGCCAGCGCGCTAATAGCCTATCCGAAGTCGAGGTTATTCAAATTAATAGGCGTCTTTATGTGTATAGTCTAGTGAAAATGTAAACTGTCTTAATTTTGTTTGGGGAGACAATTCTGAATAATTAAATTACTGGATGCAATGTAGTAGTCTAGCTTACTGTAGTAGTCTAGCTTACTGTAGTAGTCTAGCTTACTGTAGTAGTCTGGTTTACTGTAGTAGTCTGGTTTACTGTAGTAGTCTGGTTTACTGTAGTAGTCTAGCTTACTGTAGTAGTCTAGCTTACTGTAGTAGTCTAGCTTACTGTAGTAGTCTAGCTTACTGTAGTAGTCTAGCTTACTGTAGTAGTCTGGTTTACTGTAGTAGTTTGGTTTACTGTAGTAGTCTATCTTACTGTAGTGGTCTGGTTTACTGTAGTAGTCTAGCTTACTGTATTAGTCTGGCTTACTGTAGTAGTCTAGCTTACTGTAGTAGTCTAGCTTACTGTAGTAGTCTAGTTTACTGTAGTAGTCTGGTTTACTGTAGTAGTCTAGTTTACTGTAGTAGTCTAGCTTACTGTAGTAGTCTAGTGTTTGGCCGGGGCAAGGACTTTGGGTAGCCAGGCAACAGAGAGGTACGGGTTTGAGGTGGATTTTAGAATGGGTGTTCAACGCTTGTGTTACCTTGACGTAGTCAGCATGGCCCGGGCAGTCTGTGTGTGCATAGTGTCTGTTGGCTGTGGTGTACTCTACATGGGATGCATTGATGGTGATGCCCCTGGCCTTCTCCTCGGGGGCATTGTCAATGTCCTCATACTTCTTATAGCGGGCACCTCCAGCCTCAGCCAGCACTGGGAACCACAAAGGCTCATTTAGAAACATATACAATATCTTAATATAGAGAACAAACAGCATCTGACAGAACATTTTATTCTGCTGGCAGATGCTTTGATTGGTTAACAGTCCACAGTAACTCAATGGGTTTCAAGTACGCCTGTTATCTGTTTAGTTTGACTTCACTAATCCAGATGTAAACTGAGAAAATTCAATGGTGACATCAGTTACCTTTGGTGATGGCAGCCGTTAGAGTTGTCTTGCCATGGTCGACATGGCCAATCGTGCCAATGTTCACATGGGGCTTGTCTCTGGCGTATGTTTTCTTGGCCTTGGCCTCTGCTGCAAAGTTCCGCCGTGTAAATGGCACTGCACACTGGGAGAGAAAAAAAAAGAGTTTTTGTAATGGACAGCAGGGCCAGAAGACACGCATGAGCAGGTGATCAGTCAAAAAAAAAGGAAGGCAAATGCAACTTGAATCACGGACAGTTTTTGCCACCCAATGCATTACTAAAACCAGCAAACATTACTGCCCCCTAGGACTGCGATTTTATATCCCTGATTGGTGTTCCATAGTGTGTGTGAATGACTGCATACTCATAACACCGTCTAGGTACTCACCAGTTTATAGGAGCTGTGCAGGAGACCGGGTGAGGAAAGCTGAAGGGCTAGAATGATAACATGTATTTAGTAATCAGGTGGACTCCGAGACAATTGAGTGTCAAGAGAAGTCGCTAGCTAAATATCACAAGGTGTACAGACATGGCTTAGGGTTATCTAGCTTCGTCACGCAACATAAGGGATTATGTTGAGACATTGGGCTTATTATATAAAACCCATAAGACCAATGTCCCAACAAAACCCCTTAGCTATGTTGCGGAACGAAGCTAGGCCATACCTAACGTTAATGTGCATTGGCTTGTTATCTGTCATAACCTAGGCTACTTCTATACACATTACTGTTCCCTGTATGTCATTCTTTCAAAATGCAAATGTTTCTGACGCTAGCTACAACGTTAGAAAAATAATTTCGTTTCAACTGTATCTGACACGTTTTTGATAGGCCTAACGTTTTCACAACGCAAGAGATAGCTAGTTTAACTAATATTATTTAACGTGACCTTGCTCTGCCTGCGGAACGAGCCGAGCGGCTAGCCTGCTACAGCATCCATGCTCACTAAGGTTCATTTAAACCCCACATACGTTTCTTCGCGATTAAAAGGCAAAAAATTACAATGGAAAATAAAGGTTATTAATAATTCAACGCAGTAAATTACAATATTGGTTGTGAATACGTTGTATAACTGTAACTAACCGGAGAAACATGCACGAAGCCCAACGAGCGCCGCCATCTTGGACTGACAAGCGGATGAACGTTACGTTACTACATGGTGACCATTTCTTCTTCTTCTGTGGGTTTTATGGCGGACTACAATCCCAAAAGGTGTATTGCCCCCACCAACTGGACGGGTTGAAACCAAAACAAGGTAAAAAGAAAATCCATACTTAATAGGGAAACTATCTTAATCAAACCAAATAAAAATTTTACATTTACAAAAATAGTACATTCCTGGTACGGCTTGTGACAATATTCCATGTAACTCCTTCGCCAACAAATCTTTCAGCCCCAGGAACCGCTCCGCCGCATCCACACTGATTTCTATCCTCCTGGACCTTCTCTCCGCCTTGGCAGTGCCATTAATTACCATAGCTATAAAGTACACAAAGTCCACCTTCTTAACCTTTAAAATGTCAGGATCTTGCTGGTGAAAGGCAACCCCTGCAGCCTGCAGTGAAGGCCTATCCACCACCATGGACTCTTCAGGTACACCATTCAAACCCTCAACCCTTTTAACAGCTGCTGCATATGAAATGCTCTGGACAGCCCTGACTTTGGCCACATCGTTCTCTTTCACCCTTGTTGGGCATTCGAAAGACGTGTCTTCATGGTTCCCACCACAATTGCAACATGTCACATTTTCATCACTTTTGTAACACATGATATGATATTTTCCACAACTTGGACATCTCGGCTTCTCCCCTCTGCAAACACTTGAAACATGACCAAAAGCTTTACAATGATCACACTGCATTGGTCTTGGGATAAATGCACTGACTCTGTAGTTAATATACCCTAACTTCATCATCCGCTTCCTCCATCTTTTTCCCAACCCTAATTTAAGTAATATGAGGTGTTCAAACCATAGACATAGAATCTCATTCTAGTTATGTGGTTCAAATTGCAACTATCAACACAGCAATTGAACAAAAACATGAATCCCATATCTACAGTATCCTACTTTATATGAAGTAAATAGAGCAGTGATGAAAATGGAACGAGTTCTATGGTGCATTACAGGCTTCACCAAATACATTTTCTCTTTAATTAATGGCTTTACGGTAACTGCAAAATTCAGCATGGCTGCCCCCTGAAGAAGGAAAAAGATGGCGGAAGCGGACGATGAAGTGGATTCTGAATCTAATGGAGGTAGAATATTGTCCAAAAGAAAGGAAAAGGGAGTGATGCGAATGTCACTTCGTATCTTGTAGGAGTACAGTTTGTAAATGAGGAGCAGCTGATCCAATTACCAATCTTGAGGAATCCATTTGGGATATCCAAACTGGTGGAGAGAGTGCTGGGTAGAGTGAAGGCTGTGAGGATCACGAGAGGCAGGCTGGTTTAGATTTGTTGTGCTTCTGAGGATCAGAAGAAACGTGCGTTGCATCTCACCCGATTTGATACGTTTGAAGTGTCGTGTGTGTCTCTTAGGAACAGGGCACCCCTCAATGGGGTTATATCTGGAACCTTGTGGGAAGTAGATGTTGAAGAGATGAAAAATATTCCTGGAGTGATTGATGCACGTCGGATGAATCGTGTGGTGAATGAAGAAAAAGTGAAGAGTCTATCTGTTCTTTTGTTTTTTGATATGGAGTCTCTCCCTACTCAAGTGCAGTTAGGGTATATTAACTACAGAGTCAGAGCATTTATCCCAAGACCAATGCAGTGTGATCATTGTAAAGCTTTTGGTCATGTTTCAAGTGTTTGCAGAGGGGAGAAGCCGAGATGTCCAAGTTGTGGAAAAGATCATATTATGTGTTATAAAAGTGATGAAAATGTGACATGTTGCAATTGTGGTGGGAACCATGAAGACACGTCTTTCAAATGCCCAACAAGGGTGAAAGAGAATGAGGTGGCCAAAGTCAGGGCTATCCAGAGCATATCATATGCAGCAGCTGTTAAAAGGGTTAAGAGTTTGAATGATGACCATGAAGAGTCCATGGTGGTGGATAGGCCTTCACTGCAGGCTGCAGGGGTTGCTTTCACCAGCAGGATCCTGACATTTTAAAGGTTAAGAAGGTGGACTTTGTGGCCTTTAAAGCTATGGTGATAAATGGCACTGCCAAGGTGGAGAGAAGGTCCAGGAAGATAGAAATCAGTGTGGAAGCGACAGAGCGGTTCCTGGGGCTGAACGATTTCTCGGCGAAGGAGTTACATGGAATATTGTCTCAAGCCGTACCACCCTCTCAGGCCCTAGAGCCTGAGAAGGGAGATATGGATAATTGAAAGAAGGAAGAAGTGGTTGTTTTGTTTTGTAAATGTACTATTTTTATTTGGGTGGATTAAGTTTGTTTCCCTATCACGTATGGATTTGATTTTTTACATTGTTTTGGTTTCAACCCGTCCAGTTGGTGGCGGCAATACACCGTTTTGAGTTGTAGTCCACCATAAAACCCACAGAAGAAGAAGAAGAATGGCTGCCCCCTGAAACGCATGATGATTCAACGCGCAGCAATTAGCTTGCCACTCAACTAGCTAGAATGTTCTAGTACCGTTACGTTCTTGTATAGGATTAAAGGGCAGCGAAATAAGTACCAACTTTAACGTTGTGACAGTCGGCGTCTTTAACAAACAGGCAAGTGTATGAGACACAAAAGTAAAAAGAGCAGCCCAGCTAAGTCAAACTGTCAGACTTGTTTACTGAGCTAACAGTAGCTAGGAGCATAGCCTTCTCTCTGGCTTTGTAGCCTACCCAATACCTTTGCTGTAGCTCTCAAAATAGCTCAACCTACCCAGCTAACGTTATTCTGTATGTGCTTGATATTTATGTGATAACTTTAATAGCCAACAACTTGCTCGCAGTTAGTTAGGCCTAGTATCCGGGATAAAAAATCATATTTTTAATCACTTAGCTAGCTAGTTACAGCCGCTTTAATACCAAATCGGGCTATGGTTAGTTGGATTCATTTGAGAATGGAATGTGTCAGGGGTCAGGAACCTGCAGCTCTTTACATGCCCCTTAGCAGCTTCCTGGAGATGTAGCTACAATTACAATTAGTAATTCAAAGTTAGCAATAGACTATAGCATAATACTGATCGTATGTCAGAACTTGTAGAGCAGATTTGAACCCTAATTGCAATCAACAATTGAACTTTACTAAGTGCATAGGTTGATTTTGCTTTCTGCCCACAATTCAGTGCCATATTTGGGTTGTAATACATTGACAAACAGGTTCTGGAATAATTTCACCCATTTTTCTCATCAGCACAGAGCATCATGGCAGAAGACCAACGCAACAGGAGACATCCCCAAAACCTCCAGGGTGTCCTTCGATTGGCTGTGGAGGCTGGCTCTGCTGCAGATGGACCCGCCCTCTCTGAACCCATGTCAGAGGAGGTAATTGGTCCTTCTTATTCACCTTCAGGTCTTCTTAATTGCAGATGCGCTGTGTAGATTAGCAGATCTCACAACAACTTGTTACATTGACAACCAATTGTACATTGACCGTAATGTCACTATTTTTGTTACAGAGAAAAGAATGGTTGAAAGGAGCTCTTGCAGAAGTGGCTAAAGGACAGAACAGCGAGGTGGAACAGATGAAGGAGTGTATGCGTGTCCTGCTGAGAGATGGAGGGTGTGCGAGGGGGAGAGAGGGAGAGGAGGAAGGAGAGGATGAAGAGGGGGAGACAGAAGGGGCACTGGAGTTTCTCTCAGAGCTGTGTGAGAACCTGGACAATGCCAGAGGTGAGACATGCCAAGCAACAGGAAGTGATGTAAAGAAATTACACTTCAGCTTGTGACCCAAATGAAAGGTTCACTGTCTTCGATGGACCCTAGTTAAAAATATGAAATGTAACTGTTTAAGTTACTGTAGTTTTATACAGTGCATTCGGAAAGTATTCAGACCCCTTTTTCCACATTTTGTTACGTTACAGCCTTATTCTAAAATAGATTAAATCTATTTTTTCCCTTCATCAATCTACACACAATACCCCATAATGACAAAGCAAAAACAGGTTTTAGAAATAGTTGGGAATTTATTACAAATAAAAAACTGAAATATGATATTTACATAAGTATTCAGACCCTTTACTCAGTACTTTGTTGAAGGACCTTTGGCAGCGATTACAGCCTCGAAGCTTCTTGGGTATGACGCTACAAGCTTGGCACACCTGTATGTGGGGAGTTTCTACCATTCTTCTCTGCAGATCCTTTCACGCTCTTGTCAGGTTGGATGGGGAGTGTTGCTGCACAGCTATTTTCAGGTCTCCAGAGATGTTAGATCGGCTTCAAGTACGGGGCTCTGGCTGGGCCACTCAAGGACATTCAGAGACTTGTCCTGAAGCCACTCCTGCGTTGTCTTGGCTGTGTGCTTAGAGTTGTTGTCCTGTTGGAAGGTGAACCTTCGCCCCAGTCTGAGGTCCTGAGCGCTCTGGAGCAGGTTTTCATAAAGGATCTCTCTGTACTTTGCTCCGTTAATCTTCCCCTCGACCCTGACTAGTCTCCCAGTCCCTGCCTCTGAAAAACATCCCCACAGCATGATGCTGCCACCACCACGCTTCACCATAGGGATGTTGCCAGGTTTCCTCCATTTACATTTACATTTTAGTCATTTAGCAGACGCTCTTATCCAGAGCGACTTACAGTTAGTGAATACATATATATATATATTTTTTTATACTGGCCCCCCGTGGGAATCGAACCCACAACCCTGGCGTTGCAAACGCCATGCTCTATCAACTGAGCTACATCCCTGCCGGCCATTCCCTCCCCTACCCTGGACGACGCTGGGCCAATTGTGCGCCGCCCATGAGTCTCCTGGTCGCGGCCGGCGGCGACAGAGCCTGGATTCGAACCAGGATCTCTAGTGGCACAGTTAGCACTGCGATGCAGTGCCTTAGACCACTGCGCCACTCAGGAGTTACTCCAGACGTGATGCTTGGCATTCAGGCCAAAGAGTGGCCAATCTTGGTTTCATCAGACCAGCTAGTCTTACTTCTCATGGTTTGAGAGTCTTTAGGTGCCTTTTGGCAAACTCCAAGCGGGCCTTCACTCCTTATACTGAGAAGTGGCTTCTGTCTGGCCACTCTACCATAAAGGCCTGATTGGTGGAGTGCTTCAGAGATGGTTGTCCTTCTGGAAGATTCTTCCATCTCCACAGAGGAACTCTGGAGCTCTGTCAGATTGACTATCGGGTTCTTGGTCACCTCCCTGACCAAGGCCCTTCTCCCCCAATTGCTCAGTTTGGCCAGGCGGCCAGCACAGGGAACAGTCTTGGTGGTTCCAAACTTCTTCCATTTAAGAATGATGGAGGCCACTGTGTTCTTGGGGACCTTCAATGTTGCAGACATTTTTTTGGTACCCTTCCCCAGATCTGTGCCTCGACACAATCCTGTATCGGAGCTCTACGGACAATTCCTTCGACCTCATGGCTTGGTTTTCGCTCTGACATGCACTGTCAACTGTGGGACCTTATATAGACAGGTGTGTGTCTTTCCAAATCATGTCCAATCAATTGAATTTACCACAGGTGGACTCCAATCAAGTTGTAGAAATATCTCAAGGATGATCAATGGAAACAGGATGCACCTGAGCTCAATTTCGAGTCTCATAGCAAAGGGTCTGAATACTTATGTAAATAAGGTATTCGTGTTTTTTATTTTTAATACGTTTGCAGACATTTCTAAAAACCTGTTGTCTTTGTCATTATGGGTTATTGTGTGTAGATTGATTAGGAAAAACAAATATTTAAACAATTTTAGAATAAGGCTGTAACGTAGCAAAAGGTGAAAAAGTTAAGGGGTCTGAATACTTTCTGAATGCACTGTATATTACTGATATTCCAGTAAATACAGACAGATCAACATGGATATGAATGACACAAGTTATATTCATTAATAATAAAACTGTGTCCATTGTAATCTGTCTTTGTCTGTGTCTGTCTGTGTGTGTCAGACCTGATGACCCTGGGTGGACTGGACCTGTGTATGTCACAGTGCTTGAACCATCCTCAGGGCAGCGTGAGGTGGCGTGGTGCCCAGCTCATCGCCTCCTGTGCCCAGAACATGCCCGAAGTGCAGTGCCACTTACTCAGCAAGGGCGCGCTACCCAAACTCCTACAGCTGACCGACTCCGATCCCCACCCCACAGTTCGAGTGAAGGCCCTCTACGCTGTTTCCTGTAAGTGTTGCCCCTTGGATAGGTAAAAACAATATGGGGAACACATTCCACCATTGCACAATTCCTGAATCAGTGAGAGATTACTCTAGCCTATCAAAGGGCAAGTTTACAATATTGCTAATATCGCCTGATCCTCTCAGATCTAAATGAAGTGCCACTGGCCGGAGTGTAGTTGATAGGAGTTCATTTAGATTTGAGCATCAGTGAAGTACCACACAGTAACTCTTTCTGTCTTCTCTCTTTCTCTCTCTCTCTCTCCATCAGGTCTGGTGCGTGAGCAGGAAGTAGGTCTCGGGGCCTTCCTGTCCCACGATGGCTTCTCTGTGCTGATGAGAGGCATGCAGTCTGACAACGAGAAACTGAGGACCAAGTCGTCTTTCTTACTGCTCAACCTGCTCACAGTCCACCCAGAGCATAAAGGTGACTCTGTTATGGACACCCTCTTTCTCAGTCTTGACAGCGAGACTCATTTGGAGACTGTCTCTGTTTGCTTCTGTGTGTTGCTATTTGTAGCTGTGCTCTACCAGCTGTAGCTCAGCTGGTAGAGCACGGCGCTTGTAACGCTAAGGTAGTGGGTTCAATCCCCGGGACCACCCATACACCAAAAAAAGAAATGTATGCACGCATGACTGTAAGTCGCTTTGGATAAAAGCGTCTGCTAAATGGCATATTATATTATATTATTTATGGAGAGTATCATGCTTTGTAAAAAATGAATTTAACAGTATTATTTGTATCATAACTAAAGAAATATGTGTCCTTGTGTGGCAATGTAATATCTCTCCCTCTCCCTCTCTCAGATACAGTTCTCTCCATGGGTATGGTGCAACAGCTGGTGTCCGTTCTTCGCACGCCTCACTCCTCCTTCCACGAGCATGTGCTCGGCGCCCTCTGCTGGTAATACATGTGAACACACAAAGGGAAAATGGCTTGAAAATCGACTTGCGATGTCTTCTCAATGGCGCTTCAATAAAACAACCTTCTCTGTTTCTAGCCTGGTGGAGGAGAGTCCTCTGGGTCTGAGGGACTGTCAGAGCCTTACCTTGGGGCTGGAGGAGATGCTCAACCAGCGGGCTAAAGATCTGCAGGGGAGAGAGGAGTGTCAGGTTGGTACCCCTACACATGTTTCTCCACTCCTCTCTAATACCATTCCTTTTTCACTTACCATGTTACCCATGAACCTCTCCATCTCTCTAAAGGCTTCTGCATGCTTCCCATCCGGAACAGTTCGGGTATATATTATGACAACATTGTGTGACGTTTCTTGTCTTCGGCAAGGGTTTTTTCGGCTGTTCATGCACACAACAGTTTTTTCTCGAGGCAAGCCGAATTTCGGTAGTGGAAGTCTAGACCCCTTCGTCGGTCATTGGTCAACAGTAGGGATTCTTAAATGAAGTGTTTATCATTCAACAACAGACGACTCGTTCACGTGCAAATTTTTTCACTTAACAAATACTGCACCAAACATCCTAGTTAATGAAAAATTACGCTACTAAGGTATTCTCTGCAAAAACTTCAAAAGTAATGACAGATTTCTTGAGTTATCTTAGATTAATTCGGACTATTTTGAGGACGTGTATACTGGCTACGGCATCTCAACATGGACAAACGGTACTGTTGCCACTTTTTTCTCGTTTTTGAAGCGAAGGTCTTTTAAGGCACACTCGTTCGGTTCGGCTAGGCGCCAGCCAAAGCATGCGGAAGCCTTAATATTATCCCTCTGTCACTCCCCATGTTACCCATTAACCTAAATCTCTCTAATACCGCCCCTCTGTCACTCCCCATGTATTTCTCCTCTCTCCAGATGCATCACTAATGACATTGAATAATGTATTATGATTCCCCCCCATCTTTTGCTAGGCATATTTTTTTGACTTATTTGCCACTAGGCTAGAAACACAGTTTTCTCCCCCTCTTATCTCCTCCTTTATAGGAAGAGTTGGAGTTCTGCAAACGCTTGCGTTCTGCTTGTTTTTGCGGGCGGCAACCTGACGACAGTGGAATGGATCGCTAGAATCCATCTGGTCCTCCTTCTCCTGTAGTGCCGTCATTGGATAGGAGACATAGGACATACATTTGAAAGAAATTAACTCTCCTTGAGGAAAATATGCTGATGTCGCTGTCCATCAAGACCCATGTTACAGGGTGGCTGGATCCAAGAGTGTAGCAGGCTTTCGAGAGCAGAGCGTGCTTCACAAAGCACTGTCACCAGGTTAGCCAGCTGACGTAGATAAACTTCAGATATATCTCTTGTGTCGAGTCACTTATACCATGTCCAGTCTATATATCATTATGTATTGTATCTACACCCTAACTACTTCCTGCTGACTTCTTGCCAGGCCCCCCTTGCAAAAGAGGTTTCTAACTTCAAATGTGTTTTCCTGGTTAAATAAAGATACAATATTTTATTTTCCGATAGTACCGTAAGTCATTTCTGAACATTTAGGAATGTTAGCTGATCCTGCTTCGTGACATACTCCCATAGGTTGCTTTTATGCTGCTGAAGAAAAGAGATTAGAGAAGCCTTGGCCTTTTGGATTCTGAGTGTGCCCAACAAAACCTCAGATTCCATACATATTCTTTAAAATATCAGATGTAACATTTAGTGATAACGCTATTTTACAGCCCTGTCACCATTTCTTGATCTGGCATATTGTGACGTTACTTGGTAATAATTGGTATCCTCTTGTATTCGTTAAAATTATTTAAGTGACTGAACTAGTTATTGGGTAATATAAAGTAATTACACTGTTAAACTACATAAAATAATTGTTTTTTCTAAATATATTTATATACCAGGTAATTAGGCTGTAAAATAGTGTTACCCATTTAGCATCATTTGTCGGATGTTTTATTAGAATCGATTTTTATCTCGTTTAACTCCCAATTGATTATTTTTATTGGCTTCTTGTGTTTGGCTTTGTTAATGACTTTCTTTCATTCAGAATATCTACCATTTGTCAATGTTTTGTTGAGATGTTTCTGTCTTATGTGTCTCTGAACATAATGGATGACTTTTGCAGAGTTCTTACGTCTGAAATAACATGAAGGATGTAACAGTGAGAAACATCAACTTTGTTTATTTTACATCCCCATTTTCATCATGAATAAATACACATTTTCTTTTTTCATGCGTGACTTCATTTCTGAGAGTAATCTCTTCATATCAACAGACCGTTATACTGAATGTGTTTGATATATCACAACTAAGACAAGGGAAGTGTATCACATCTCAAATGTTTTCTTTAAGACCATAGGACTGAGTTCACAGACAGAAAAATCATTCTTGACTAAATTGAACTTTATTCTGGACTATTGAAAATACTATTGTGTCGATCTCATGTCAGTCCTTGTAGCTGTCTATGAATTTTGAGAGTGATTACGTTTCCCATCCCTGAGCTTTCTGAACAAACGGACAGGGTCAGACTGTCCTGATACTCTGAGGTTTTATTTAATAAAGCAGATTTTCTTTAGGGGGAATCTTCCTTTTTTAACTTATTTTCTTCCTCAGTCTCCTCTCTACAGACAGCCTGAAGTTCCTAAAGCTGCCAACTAGTCAGAGAGCAGTAGTCCCAACTTTGCCTTCCATGGCAACGTCCCGATTTTCCACCCCTTTCCAGAAATGTGCACTTGAACATTCCCTGTCATTTAAAAGCATGGGATTAGTATAAGTAAGCATTGGCTGAAGGGAGTTTCCACCATTGTAAAATCCATGTGAGAAAGTGTGCAGTTATTTGAACACTTGGGGAGAAGGGTGGAGAATTGGGACCTAGCCCATATCTGGGATGACCCCTTAACTAAGATTTCTTCCATTTGGCAAACTCGTCCCCGCCCTCCACGGCCTTGATGTCGCCCACGGCGATCAGCAGCTGTGCCAGGTAGTACGTCGTCATGACGATGTGCCTGCCATGCTCCAGGGGCTCTGTCACTTTGAAGGTCTGCAGTGCCAGCGTCAGGTCAGAGGTCATGAAGATCAAACTGCCCATCATGATCAGCGGGCGGCGGGTGCGAACCGCCAACGTAGCCATCAGAACTATCAGAGCCACGTACACCCCGACACCGGGAGTCAGGGCGGCCGCGTCCGGCGTCTTCTGCAGGAAAGGGAAGATGTAGGCGTAGATGCCTCCCCCCAGCAGCCACAGGAGAAGGTAGAAGAAGTAGGACAGGGAAGAGGAGGGGCTGAGGGAGGAGTAACGAGTGGAGAGGAAGGTGAGGGAGTAGAGCAGGTGGGCCAAGGCGAAGGAGGCCATTCCTGATTGGAGGATTAGAGAGAGAACAAAATTACTTTATTGTCCATATTCCACCTGGCTTGCCCTCTCTAACCTCTAGGCTATCTGCCATGTCTGCAGGACTTTATCAGTAGCAGTAGAAAAAGCTCTTGTTACCATGGAGAAACAGCTCGGGCCATATAAGACAATAGTCGCCGCCTGCCGAGAAGATAAGGCCCCCCGCAACGCCGAGGAGACTCCTGCCCCCTTTGTAGCTCAGCACCAGGAGAGCCAATGAGATGACAGGGGCGGCCTTAATAGCTGCAGCGAGGACGGAGGGGGAGGAGTCAGGGATCCACAGATAGAAGTAGGCAGCGATGGCCAGGAAGAACGGAGAAAGAGAGAGAAACAGAACACAGTACTGAGAGAGAGAGAGGGAGAGAGAGAGAGGGGGGGAGAGAGAGAGAGGGGGGGGGGGGAGAGAGGGAGAGAGGGAGAGAGAGAGAGAGGGGGGGGGGGGGGAGAGAGAGGGAGAGAGAGAGGGGAGAAGAAGAAGGGAGGTAGGTGATATTACAGATTTACATGATGGTTTTAAATGCAAACACAAAAATGTGTATGTGTGTGTGTGTTGTGTGTATGTGTGTGAGAGTGTCTATGCGTGTGTGTGTGATTAGAGGGTACGATCATACCGTGTTCCTGCGCTGTCTTCGGTCATAGGCGGCTGTTTCAAGGATGTCCATCTCTTTCACAACACAGAACCAAGGCCTGTATGTATCTGGGCTGTTTCCTTTCCTCAGTCCTGCCTCCTTCCAGAGTATTTCATGTGTTTCTATTTTCCTCTGTACTTCTCTCTCTCTTTCCCACCCTCCACTCCACTCTGGGTCAGTCCGTCTGAGTGTGTCCCCTGTCTCTTGGTGCCGGTCGACATTGAACTTTGGACCAATCACAGTGACACGTTATCTGTCAGATTGCTCAGTCATAATCAATGCCCAGTGTCTCCTCCTCCTCTCAGTTTTCATTTTCAACTCTGCCAGTAGTGACCCTTTGCCCATCCAACTAGACCAGATAAGTGACATTATCAACTGGAGGGTGAAGTTGAACTGGGCCAGAGCCATGTATTAAGACATGGCTCTGAACAAGGCTATGTTCAGTAGGACACATGACTCTGAACGGGGCTGTGTTCAGTAGGACACATGACTCTGAACCAGGCTGTGTTCAGTAGGACACATGGCTCTGAACTGGGCTGTGTTCAGTAGGACACATGGCTCTGATCCAGGCTGTGTTCAGTAGGACACATGACTCTGAACGGGGCTGTGTTCAGTAGGACACATGACTCTGAACGGGGCTGTGTTCAGTAGGACACATGGCTCTGAACCGGGCTGTGTTCAGTAGGACACATGGCTCTGATCCAGGCTGTGTTCAGTAGGACACATGACTCTGAACCAGGTTGTGTTCAGTAGGACACATGGCTCTGAACCGGGCTGTGTTCAGTAGGACACACGGCTCTGATCCAGGCTGTGTTCAGTAGGACACATGACTCTGAACTGGGCTGTGTTCAGTAGGACACATGGCTCTGAACTGGGCTGTGTTCAGTAGGGCACATGACTCTGAACCAGGCTGTGTTCAGTAGGACACATGACTCTGAACTGGGGCCCTGGGTCTGAACCCCACCCTGTGCAACTGGGTCCTGGGCTTACTGACAGGCCGCCCCCAGGTGGTGAAGGTAGGAAACAATATCTCCACTTCGCTGATCCTCAACACTGGGGCCCCACAAGGGTGCTTGCTCAGTCCCCTCCTGTACTCCCTGTTCACCCATGACTGCGTGGCCAAGCACGCCTCCAACTCAATCATCAAGTTTGCAGACGACACAACAGTAGTAGGCTTGATTACCAACAATGACGAGACAGCCTACAGGGAGGAGGTGAGGGCTCTGGGAGTGTGGTGCCAGGAAAATAACCTCTCACTCAACGTCAACAAAAACAAAGGAGATGATCGTGGACTTCAGGAAACAGCAGAGGGTGCACCCCTCTATCCACATCGACGGGACTGCAGTGGAGAAGGTGGAAAGCTTAAAGTTCCTTGGCGTACACATCACCGACAAACTGAAATGGTCCACCCATGCAGACAGTGTGGTGAAGAAGGCGCAACAGCGCCTCTTCAACCTCAGGAGGCTGAAGAAATTTGGCTTGGCACCTAAAACCCTCACAAACTTTTACAGATGCACAATTGAGAGCATCCTGTCGGGCTATATCACCACCTGGTACGGCAACTGCACCGCCCGCAACCGCAGGGCTCTCCAGAGGGTGGTGCGGTCTGCCGAACGCATTATCGGGGGCAAACTATCTTGCACTACTCATCTCATATGTATATACTGCATTCTATTCTATAATATTCTACTGTATCTTAGTCCATGCCGCTCTGTCATTGCTTGTCCAAATATGTGTATTTTCTTAAATTCCATTCCTTACTAGTTTTGTGTGTATTAGGTATATGTTGTGAAATTGTTAGATATTACTTGTTAGATATTACTGCACTGTCAGCGCTAGAAGCACAAGCATTTCGCAACACCCACAATAACATCTGCTAAACACGTGTATGTGACAAATACAATTTGATTTGATTTGTTCAGTAGGGCACAACGCTGTGGAACGTTCAGATATTTAGAAAAATATATATTATGTAGAACAAATATGCTAGCCCGGGTGGCAGTCTGTCTTGGCTCTACTGCCAACTCCTAATGGAATTGAGTAGGCAAAAGCACAAACAGCTCCAGGACCAGGCTACAAATATGTCCCTCTGACATTCAGAATAAGGAGTTGTGTCAGTAGCCCAGGTCAGATAGCATGGCTATTACTATGGGTACAACAATCCCTGTACAATAAACAATACCTATCAGTATCTCATCAAACGCATTCTTCTCATCGTCACCTGTGTCTCAAGGTTGTAAATAATGAGAAGTATTAGTTGGTATGTGATACATTTTGAGAAATAGAGCGACTCAACTAAAAGTGTATCTATCCACCGAATGCAAGCGTCACCAGCAGTACTTAGTTTGTCCACACAGTGGCAGTAGATACATTCAGTCACACCAAAACTAAGGGTTCTAACCCTAGTTCTATGAATGATAGCGAACCTGTAGTGAACCCAGAACCTACCACCAAGAGTGTCAACTGGCCTTTCGGGTCAGGTGATCTAAGAGCAGAATAGGACATTAACTAGTAGGACGCCGGTATGACGTCACACACAGACAATGTTGTAGTAGTACTCGTTTGATACTTCTACGATTGTGTTGCCACTGGAGACAGCATGCGAGGTAGGCTACTGTGTACATTGTACTGGGTACATTACGTTGTCCCACATTCAGTTGTAATCATTTCCGTGGTGTGGCGCAGCTCATAGGCTTTGCTGTGTCCATTACAGGACCAACAGAAATTCAGTTGATCAAAATATAGATCAAACCCATACAATATATTAGCAGTCAGATAACGGTAGTGTAGTTATCATTTGGTTTGTCCATAATCTATGATTTGTTCAGGTAGTTTCCTTTCACTGTTAGCTCTTCCTTTCACGGCTGCTAAACTGTGTGAAAATGGGTGGGTTCAAAAACAAAATCCACAACAATTTCACTGATACAGGGACTAATAATTAACATATTCTCTTCAAGTCGGACTTTGACCCCTAACCTTCCCACAATCCTCTGAGTAGGGGGGTCAGTTGGAATGTAGATTGCTAAGGAGAAGGTTTGGAGAGAAATAGAGCAGGGAGAGGAATTCACCGGTGAGTAGCAGTAAATGTTGTTAAAAGGAGAGTTTTGAGGACCACCAGAGTAGATAGGGTCTAGGTACAAAGTGAAGGCCTTGAAAAGGTGGGCTGTGAGAGAGAGAGAGAGAGAGAGAAAGAGAGAGAGAGAGACAGAGACAGAGACAGAGACAGAGACAGAGAGAGAAAATAGAAACGATGATTAAGCTGTAAATAATACAATAGCTGAAAGCCCAACGAGAGAAGGAAGTACTGTATAAATCTATGGCCCAATGAGAGAAGGAAGTACTGTATAAATCTATGGCCCAATGAGAGAAGGAAGGACTGTATAAATATATGGCCCAATGAGAGAAGGAAGGACTGTATAAATCTATGGCCCAATGAGAGAAGGAAGTACTGTATAAATCTATGGCCCAATGAGAGAAGGAAGGACTGTATAAATATATGGCCCAATGAGAGAAGGAAGTACTGTATAAATCTATGGCCCAATGAGAGAAGGAAGTACTGTATAAATATATGGCCCAATGAGAGAAGGAAGGACTGTATAAATCTATGGCCCAATGAGAGAAGGAAGGACTGTATAAATCTATGGCCCAATGAGAGAAGGAAGTACTGTATAAATCTATGGCCCAATGAGAGAAGGAAGGACTGTATAAATCTATGGCCCAATGAGAGAAGGAAGGACTGTATAAATCTATGGCCCAATGAGAGAAGGAAGTACTGTATAAATCTATGGCCCAATGAGAGAAGGAAGGACTGTATAAATATATGGCCCAATGAGAGAAGGAAGGACTGTATAAATATATAGTGAGGCTCTGACCTGCGTAGGCAGTGAGGATGATCAGGTGTCAAGCCTCCTAACAACCTGACTCCTAGCAACCAATCATTGGCCTGTGCAGAGGGATCATGGATAATTTGAAGAGCCAGTCTCTCTGGCACCATTGGGAGATGGGTGGAGTGAGGTGTGAGATCATGAGAGAAGGAGAGCACCATTGGTAGTGGGAATTATCAACACCTAGACTTGTCTTCTCTTGTCTTCTTTCTCACCAGGAACCATGACTGACACGTTGCCAATGATGAGAATTGGAGTTGTGGGATATGGACATTTAGGTTAGTGCTGTAGTCCCCTCTCTTCCTCTTCTCTTCCTCCCTCCTCGCCACATCTCAGATGTTCTTACTGTGGAATGGATTCATTTACTTTACTTAATTAAATGTAAATCTTCGTAAATGATACCACTTTACAACAGGGTCATTCATTTACAGGCCCTCGAGGGCCTAAGTACTGCTGGGTTTCTTCTCTATCTGATTGTTAATTGATCAACTAATGTAGTGATTGGCCAGAGAGTTCACCAGGTTCATGTTCTGTTTGACCTTTTATCTACAGATGTAGGACCTTAATTTGAGCCGGTTTTCTACAGCAGGAAAATAATCCTGCAGCAACAGGAAATGTGCATTATTATGTGGATTATAATTAATGGACATTTTTGTGGGGGTTGATACATTTTTTCATTAGGGAAAATCAAGTCTGAAATTTCAAAGTGGAAATTGCAAACTTCAGAAGCCTTTTTAAAACTGAACTACACTACAAGTTCTCCTGCAAGAGGGTGATCAAATTAATATCCTACATCTGTACTTACCGGTATTCATAATGTTGATTGTGTTTTTATGATAGGCCTTTTGTTTTTCATGGTTTTCAATTTGTATTGACTACTACTGAATGTGGGTATCTAATGCTGCGTTTACCCAGGAGGCTGCTGAGGGGAGAACGGCTCATAATAATGGCCGGAATGGAGCAAATGGAATGGCATAGAACACCTGGAAACCATGTTTGATATGTTTGTTACCATTCCACTAATTCCATTCTAGGCATTACCACGAGCCCGTTCTCCCCAATTAAGGTGCCACCAACATCCTGTGGTTACACAGGCAGCCCAATTCCGATATTTCTTTAACTAATTGGTCTTTTGACACAGCCAATAAAGTTAAACTTGAAGTTGTTGAACTTCCAGGGCAGTACCTTGTGGAGCGGCTCCAGAGAGAAGGGGCCCATGTGGGCCTGACATTGGTCTTTGTGTGGAACAGAAACATTGACAAACTCCGAGAATCAGTGGCTGAGGAGCTGATTCTACACAACCTCCCAGACTTTACAGACAGGTAGAGAGCCACGTGATACACACACTGTAAAAGCACACACTCACACACACACTGTAATATATGTGTTATGTCATGTGCACAAGTAAAGTGTGTGTGTGTGTGTTGTAGGGGTGCTGATGTGATTGTGGAGGTGTGTCATCCCAAAATTGTAAAAGACTTTGGAATCCAGTTCCTCTCTAAGGCCCATTTTCTGGTAAGATCCCTCTCTCTCTGTTTCCATTTTCTGGTAAGATCCCTCTCTCTCTGTGTTTCCATTTTATGGTAAGATCCCTCTCTCTCTCTGTTTCCATTTTCTGGTAAGATCACTCTTTCTCTGTATCTATTGATAGTGTTTAAAAACATATAATTTAACACTATCTCTTTTTGAACATTCTTTAGCTAGCATCGATAACCTGGCATAACATGCCTTTATAATTAAATACTAACAGTATATGCTAATGACAACAGGATAAAAGGAGGATTTCCCCCACACACTAATCTGAAACACGCCAATCCAAGTTCCAATACGGAGGTTGTCCTTGAAAAAAATATGTCACTTTAAGTCACTTTGTTACGCTAAAATCAGCTTTTGAGAATCCAGGAAGTGTTCCAATCCATGTGCACACCAGAAATTAAGTAACTACTACACCCTCCCTCCCTCTCTGTCTGTCTGTCTGTCTGTCTGCCTCTGTTTTAGGTGGGCTCTCCCTCAGCCCTCTCAGACCCACAGTTGAACCAGAAAATGCGCCAGGCTGCAGAGCATCATGGGAGGACCCTTTATGTCCCCAGTGGTGCATTGTGGGGAGGCCAGGACATCCTGAGACTCAATGATAGTGGATCTTTAAAGGTGCATGGAAGGAGGGAAGAGGGTGGATGAAAGAGGACTTAACAAGTAAAATATGTTAATTTATAAGGGATAGCTTAGTTAATAGTTAACTTAAGTTGGTTAAGTTATGTAGATAACTAACTTATATTAACTTAACTAAGTTAGATAGTTAAGTTAATATATGTTAAGTTAGATAGTTAAGTGAATGAGTTAGTTACGTTAGATAGTGAAGTTAATATATACATTAGTCAAGTTAGTTAAGTTAGATAGTGAAGTTAATATATAAGAGGTAGTATAAGAGAATGTGTAGACTAATGTGAGATTAAATCCAGATTCTGATTAAAGGTGAACTAGGCCATTGTTCTCTATTTCTAATCTTCTGAAATGTCAGAGTAGAGCAGACAGAATGGTTGTACTGGACAGAATGCTGTTACATAGAGCATACAGAATGGTTGTACTGGACAGAAGGATGTTACATAGAGCAGACAGAATGGTTGTACTGGACATAATGCTGTTACATAGAGCAGACAGAATGGTTGTACTGGACAGAATGATGTTACATAGAGCATACAGAATGTTTGTACTGGACAGAATGCTGTTACATAGAGCAGACAGAATGTTTGTACTGGACAGAATGCTGTTACATAGAGCAGACAGAATGGTTGTACTGGACAGAATGATGTTACATAGAGCATACAGAATGTTTGTACTGGACAGAATTATGTTACATAGAGCATACAGAATGTTTGTACTGGACAGAATAATGTTACATAGAGCATACATAACGTTTGTACTGGACAGAATGCTGTTACATAGAGCAGACAGAATGTTTGTACTGGACAGAATGCTGTTACATAGAGCAGACAGAATGGTTGTACTGGACAGAATGCTGTTACATAGAGCAGACAGAATGTTTGTACTGGACAGAATGCTGTTACATAGAGCAGACAGAATGGTTGTACTGGACAGAATGCTGTTACATAGAGCAGACAGAATGGTTGTACTGGACAGAATGCTGTTACATAGAGCAGACAGAATGGTTGTACTGGACAGAATGCTGTTACATAGAGCAGACAGAATGGTTGTACTGGACAGAATGCTGTTACATAGAGCAGACAGAATGGTTGTACTGGACAGAATGCTGTTACATAGAGCTTGACAGCTTGTAGTCTTAAAACCCGGAAATGAGTTACCTCTGGTTGGTTCAGCCATCCCTATGGGGAAAATGAATGGATAAAGAATAGGGTTTTGGGATAAACGCCGAAAATAAGGTCTGAGGTTAACACAGGCTTAGGAGATGTTATACATTTTGTTCTATGAGATAATATCAGTCAGTTAACATGACCTTTATGAATTATGAAGCATTTATGTGCTTTTTAAAATGACTTTAACGCTTCAAAATTCACAAAAGACGTTAGCTGATGAAGAATATCTCATAGAACAAAATGTATAAGGTCTCCTAAGCCTGTGTTAAAGAGCTTTAAATCTGATCTTTTCTGTTGTAACATCTGAAGGACAAAACACAGGTTTTCTAATCAGCCCTCTGCCTCTGTTCCTCTTCTCTTTACTAATCTCAAGCCCCTCCTCTCTTTTCTTCCCTGAAGGCACTGTTCATCCGGATGTCCAAGCACCCGTCATGTTTCCGTCTGACAGGAGACGTGCTGTCTGATTGGACAGAGGATGAGGGGAGGCGGGTCTTATTCAGTGGCTCCGTGGCAGAGCTCTGTCCCGTCGCTCCTAACAACGTCAACACCATGGCAGCAGCGGCCATCGCAGCGGGGACCCTGGGTTTCGCTGGCGTCCAGGGAGAGATTGTGTCGGACACGGCGTAAGCAAAGATTCTTAAATAACCCAAGATTGTAAAAGCGCCATCTGAACTATGACAATCACTGTCACACTATGGGCCGAACAAGCAAGGAGGTGGGCAAAGCTAAGCAAGAGGCATTAAGAGGCACATTTCAGCATGTATTTGCATAGCCTATTTCAATTAGGGAACCCCCACTCTCTGAAGCGCACCTGTGCAAGAACTACACAACATCATTTTTTAGAAAGGTTGGCACTGAGTCAAGTGGACAAACGTAGAGGACTCTGTTCTTAACACATTGTAGAAAACTCTATAGAGATCAGAGATATTAAGCAGAATGTGGACCCAGTTCCATCTTGCTCCATCTGTCTTGCCACTGGACTCTCCTAGACTAAGTGATTACCATGAAGTGGAGGTTACTGGTGCTAATGGGTTCTCTTCCTCTCCTAGACTAAGTGATTACCATGAAGTGGAGGTTACTGGTGCTAATGGGTTCTCTTCCTCTCCTAGACTAAGTGATTACCATGTGGTGGAGGTGGAAGTCACTGGTGCCAATGGCTTCACAGTGCATACAGTGAGGAGGAACCCAGCCAAACTGGGAGCTGTAACTGGGAGTGCTACCTACAACTCCTTCTGGAGCAGCTTACTGGGTGGGTTCTGCTGTAGAAGGATGTGTGCGTCTGTAGCATGAATCAGTGTGAGAACATGAAGGGTTGTGTTGTGTCTAACGTCCGGTCGCATCTGCTCCTTTTGTCCTCTTTCCTCTCAGTTTGCAAGGGGCATGGTGGCCGGGTTTACTTGTGTTGAAGAGGGAGGGATTTCAGAAGACAATTCCCTCTACCAACCAAACACACACTATACAACAATATGGTACTGAAACACACTACACAACACTATGGTACTGAAACACACTACACAACAATATGGTACTGAAACACACTACACAACAATATGGTACTGAAACACACTACACAACAATATGGTACTGAAACACACTACACAACAATATGGTACTGAAACACACTACACAACAATATGGTACTGAAACACACTACACAACAATATGGTACTGAAACACACTACACAACAATATGGTACTGAAAAGTCTGCCGTGGCTGTCTGTAGATGCTGATCATGTGTGTGAGCAAAGTTCGGCTTGCTTCATATAATATGGTGTGTAACTGTATCAGGATTTACAAAGGTGGGCTTGCTTCATATAATATGGTGTAACTGTATCAGGATTTACAAAGATGGGCTTGCTTCATATAATATGGAGTAACTGTATCAGGATTTACAAAGATGGGCTTGCTTCATATAATATGGTGTAGCTATCAGGATTTACAAAACCTTCAAGTATGTACAGTTGAAGTCGGAAGTTTAGTTTACATACACCTTCGTCAAATACAGTTAAACTCAGTTTTTCACAATTCCTGACATTTAATCCTAGTAAGAATGCCCTGTCTTAGATCAGTTAGGATCACCACTTTATTTTAAGAATGTGAAATGTCAGAATAATAGTAGAGAGAATGATTTATTTCAGCTTTTATTTCTTTCATCAAATTCCCAGTGTGTCAGAAGTTTACATACACTCAATTAGTATGTGGTAGCATTGCCTTTAAATTGTTTAACTTGTGTCAAATGTTTTGGGTAGCCTTCCACAAGCTTCCCACAATAAGTTGGGTGAATTTTGGCCCATTCCTCCTGACAGAGCTGGTGTAACTGAGTCAGGTTTGTTGGCCTCCTTGCTCGCACACACTTTTTCAGTTCTGCCCACAAATGTTCTATAGGATTGAGGTCAGGGCTTTGTGATGGCCACTCCAATACCTTGACTTTGTTGTCCTTAAGCCATTTTGCCACAACTTTGGAAGTATGCTTGGGGTCATTGTCCATTTGGAAGACCCATTTGCGACCAAGCTTTAACTTCCTGACTGATGTCTTGAGATGTTGCTTCAATATATCCACATAATTTTCCTTCCTCATGATGCCATCTATTTTGTGAAGTACACCAGTCCCTCCTGCAGCAAAGCACCCCCACAGCATGATGCTGCCACCCCCGTGCTTCACGGTTGGGATGGTGTTCTTCGGCTTGCAAGCCCCCCATTTTTCCTACAAACATAACGATGGTCATTATGGCCAAACAGTTATATTTTTGTTTCATCAGACCAGAGGACATTTCTCCAAAAAGTACGATCTTTGTCCTCATGTGCAGTTGCAAACTGTAGTCTGGCTTTTTTATGGCGGTTTTGGAGCAGTGGCTTCTTCCTTGCTGAGCGGCCTTTCAGGTTATGTCGATATAGGACTTGTTTTACTGTAGATAGTTTTGTACCTGTGTCCTCCAGCATCTTCACAAGTTCCTTTGCTGTTGTTCTGGGATTGATTTGCACTTTTTGCACCAAAGTACATTCATCTCTCTAGGAGACAAAACACGTCTCCTTCCTGAGCAGTATTTTACATTTACATTTACGTCATTTAGCAGACGCTCTTATCCAGAGCGACTTACAGTTAGTGCATACATTATTCTTTTTTATTTTCATACTGGCCCCCCGTGGGAAACGAACCCACAACCCTGGCGTTGCAAACGCCATGCTCTACCAACTGACGGCTGCGTGGTCCCATGGTGTTTATACTTGCGTACTATTGTTTGTACAGATAAACGAGGTACCTTCAGGCGTTTGGAAATTGCTCCCAAGGATGAACCAGACTTGTGGAGGTCTACAATATTTTTTCTGAGTTCTTGGCTGATTTCTTTTGATTTTCCCATGATGTCAAGCAAAGAGGCACTGAGTTTGAAGGTAGGCCTTGAAATACATCCACAGGTACACCTCCAATTGACTCAAATTATGTCAATTAACCTATAAGAAGCTTTCTGGAATTTTCCAAGCTGTTTAAAGGCACAGTCAACTTAGTGTATGTAAACTTCTGACCCACTGGAATTGTGATACAGTGAATTATAAGTTAAATAATCTGTCTAAACAATTGTTTGTGTCATGCACAAAGTAGATGTCCTAACCGACTTGACAAAACTATAGTTTGTTAAAAATAAATTTGTGGAGTGGTTGAAAAACAAGTTTTAATGACTCCAACCTAAGTGTATGTAAACTTCCGACTTCAACTGTATCTACAATTCTGGGCATTCAAATGTTGCACCTTCAACCTACCAAGTCCTACTACTGTATCCCAGCAGCACCTCCCTCCCTCCATTTTCTCTATACATTTAAAATATTACTTTTTGAAGTAACATTTTAAATGTGACAAACTCTTTCACAGGGTGATGGCAGGCACCACATTCATTAGAAATCATCTAGCAATAACTCACATAACTGAAATGGCTCTAATGATGCAGTTACATCCACTTTGAAGCAAATGTTTTTTACTGTGCTGCAATACATGTTAAGAGTTTAATGCCCAGTAACGTAACAGTTTAATGGCCAGTAACGTATGATGATCTTAATGTAGTGCCTTGATGTTGTGACACCACACACACCATTGTGACCTCACAACTAGAAGGTTCTAGCCGCAAAAATAAGGTTCTGAGATAATTGGCTTTACATTTCTGAACCTTCATTGGTTTTAATGTATTTTTATCTTGTATCCTTATGAACTTAACATGAATTGGAGTATTTAGAGTACTACATAGGTAGAGAACATTGAACAGAACAAGGCTATGTCAATAACTCCATTTTGACAAATGCAGATAGAACCTTATAAATGCCAAGCTCTCAGTATTTCCTGTTGTAGTAAACCCCAACAAAGAGAAGAGTCCAGTGTTTCATCATTAATACAGAGAATATACTTTATTTTCTCATCATCTGGTGTGTGATTGTAACACAAACAAACTGACACAGGCAGTGTGTGCTCTGGATCAACTCATCTCCTGTTTTCTGGCTGTGCACAGCTGGGAATGGGATACACCCAAAACTGTGACCCCCGCCATTATCTGTGACCCTTTCCCTTTGCTCCTCTAATAGTCTGTCATCTAAAAACACGACTAGCTTCTCAGGACGGACGCCCCACCTTTTACCTAAACCTCAAAGAGTGCAGGCAGAATCAGTGTTCCATCTCTATACGTCACAAACATACATACTGCCACACACACACACAAAGAAAAACACTCAAACACTGGCTCACTGACTGAAAGGTTAAAAGGTGACCTATCGACAGTTTTTACACACAGGCTTGCCGGTTCAAGTACAGTACAACGCTCAGAGACAAACACACCCACAGAAAGGTCTGAATCTCTGAACGAATGGGAGCCTGTTTCAGCAGGAGGCTTTTCAGCAGGACGTTCTGAGGCTCAGCCATAGAGTTAGATAGAGGACTCATCTTTGTATCTGTGGTGGAAGCCATCAATGGCATTGTCCATGCAAATAAAACGGGTTATTTAACATCTAGTCTCACTCTATGGGCCCAGCTCTAAGTGTCGCTTATCTGTTTCCTAGCACAGGGAAGTGCTGCTGGTGGTTGGGTTTATATTACTGCTACAGTGCGACAGGAAAAGTGCTGCTGCTGTTTAAACAGGTTTCTGTTCCTGCTACAGTGTGACAGGAAAAGTGCTGCTGCTGTTTAAACAGGTTTCTGTTCCTGCTACAGCGCGACAGGAAAAGTGCTGCTGTTGGGTTGGTTGTGTGACTATGACATAGTGGGTCAATGCCTTTGCCCTTGTTAGCAAGACTAATTAGCCCTACTTTCTTTATCCACTGGTTATCATATGATTATCTTAGCCTTAGTTACAACTAATGTTAGTCTACACTAGCAATGTTGGCTGGATTTCATAAATTCCTAGATTTAAGGACCAGCGCACAGGAGGTTGGTGGCACCTTAATTGGGAAGGAAGGGCTCGTGGTAAATGCTGGAGCAGAATACCTGGAATGGTATTAAAATGCATCAAACACATGGTTTCAGACATTATTCCATCTGATCCTCCCCTCAGCAGCCTCCTGTGGACCAGAGGTAACCTAGATTATTGACCAGCGGTAACCTAGATTATTGACCAGAGGTAACCTAGATTATTGACCAGAGGTAACCGTCCTATATACTCAAAGTTACCCCACTTTGTTATCTCAATGCTGGGCTTTTTAACTCAAGGAAATGTCGCCCCGTTAGCCATCTATTTCCTTTCCCTCTCTTCCTCCATTTCAGTACAGGTTGCTCACACAGGCTGAGGTGCACGGAGGTTTGGAAGACCTTCGGGGTGCTGGATTAATAACATATACTGGAATACTGTAATAGCTCATCTCTTCAGCAGTTGTCGGATCTATATTATGTAAGTGGAGACAGTCAAGATAAGAGTGGTGTGTTTGTAACATGTATGTTGTGTAACAGTTCTTGTAGTGAGTGTCGGCATGTGTACGTTTGTGTGTGTGTATGTGAGAGAGAGACACTCAGTTTTTCACACTGGTGGCTCCGTTTTTCTCTCCATTGACACCTGGGAGGGTGTAAGGCAAGGCTGGACCCTTTTTACTAGGCAGGGTGAAGGGCTGGCGGATGTTCAAGCGGTCTTTCTCTGCCTCCGCATCTTCATCATAGCGGTCATCCTCTTCTTCTGCCTCGCTGTGGCGGGGGGAGGAGTGGCGCGACAGAGACGGAGATGGGGGCACAGAGGCTGGTCTAGGGTAACGGAAACCTTGGGCCTGAAAATAAATGGTGGTGGGGTTTAGAGGGGAAGACACAGACAACACACAATGCTGTGTTTAGACAGGCAGACACATTCTGATATGTTTTTCACCAATTGATCTTTTGAATAATCACATCAGATCTATTTCAGAGATGATCTGATTGGCCAAAAGACTAATTCGTTTAAAAAGATCAGAATTTGGCTGCCTGTCTAAACGCAGCCAGAGTAGCATAGCAGTATGCGTCATCTCTGACACACTTTCTCATAAAATGTACTAATCCAGATGTACATCTTATTTTACAGATGAAATAAACCAGGGATGTCCAACTAAATCCCTTCAGGGCCGTGTCTGCTGGTTTTTGTTAGTTCCTTTCAAATAGTATCCAATTAGGACCGAGACAACCAGGTGAGGGGAGTGCCTAATTAATCTATGACCTTAACTGATCAATCAAGTACAAGGGAAGAGGGAAAACCCGCAGACACTCAGCCCTCCAGGCAATTGAGTAGACACCACTGTTATAACCCTCAGGCCTCCAGGTAATTGAGTAGACACCACTGTTATAACCCTCAGGCCTCCAGGTAATTGAGTAGACACCACTGTTATAACCCTCAGGCCTCCAGGTAATTGAGTAGACACCACTGTTATAACCCTCAGGCCTCCAGGTAATTGAGTAGACACCACTGTTATAACCCTCAGGCCTCCAGGTAATTGAGTAGACACCACTGTTATAACCCTCAGGCCTCCAGGTAATTGAGTAGACACCACTGTTATAACCCTCAGGCCTCCAGGTAATTGAGTAGACACCCCTGTTATAACCCTCAGGCCTCCAGGTAATTGAGTAGAAACCACTGTTATAACAACAGTCCAACTAAAAAGGTACACTACAGCAAATTCCTAGCGAATGGGTAAAGAACAATTTTTTTACTAATCGCCCCCGGGCACCATTAGGTACTAGGTCGTTTCCAATGGTGTAGAATTATTTAAACTAAGTACCCATTGTTACCCAAAAGGAGGAAACAGCATCTCCTCACCATACAGACAGACAGACAGACACACTCATAGACTTACAGTCTCAGAGTCATGAGGTTGGTAGAAGTAGGTATCCGGGAAGGCTTTAGCCAGGGCCATGTGACGAGCTGATATATAATACTGAGAGAAAGAGCAGAGAGAGAGATAAGATGATAGTTGTAGTAGAACGGTTGACATTTCTCCTCTTGGCAAAGGTGAAAGGTCTCACCCTGCCCAGATATCTCCAGTCCAGAAGGTCACTCAGGCGCTCGGTGCGGTTCCGCTGGATGATCCTGGCACGCCGGCTCTGCTGGCAAAACTGGAACAGGTACGATGTGAGCTGATTACACGACTCATCAACCCCTCTGTACCGTCGATCAAGGATGTAGATTCCTGAGGTAGAGTACAACAGCATTAGTCAAATCTACTGGAGATCAGTTGGTAGAGAATGGTGTTTCTAAACGCAAAAGGTTGTGGGTTCAATTCCCGCTGGAACCACCCATTCGTACAATGTATACATGTATGACTGTATGTTGCTTTGGATAAAAGCCTCAGCTAAAATGCCATATTATAAACCGTGTAGTTCGAGTCCTGAATGCTGATTGGCTGAAATCTGTGGTATATCAGACCGTATACCACTGGTATGACAAAACATTTATTTTTACTGCTCTAATTACGTTGATAACCAGTTTATAATAGCAATAAGGCACCTCGGGGGTTAGTGATATGGCCAATATACCACGGCTAAGGGCTGTATCCAGGTGCTCCGCGTTGCGTCGTGCATAAGAACAGCCCTCAGCCGTGGTATATTGTCCATATACCACACCCTCTCAGGCCTTATTGGTTAATACTTTTTTATTGGGACCATTACTTTTCTAAATGTAGAATGTTTTTATCAGCCCCTTGGAAGACAGTAAATAACTTTGGCTTGGACGCATACTGTATATTCTGAACACACAGGGAACACACCATATGCTGAGGGGTCAGCTATGTGTTCTTCCATGAAGCAGCCGAACCCAGAAAGGTTGGTAGAGATCGAGGGGATCCCCATGACTGTACACTCAGCTGAGAGAGACAGAGACAGAGATTGAAGTAAATATACTTGTATATACAGCCAATGTTCAAGACAACCATATCTCATAGTATCTTTAAGAGTCTACCTGGTGTATAGTGGCTTGCGAAAGTATTCACCCCCTTGGCATTTTTCCTATTTTGTTGCCTTACAACCTGGAATTAAAATTGATTTTTGGGGGGTTTGTATCATTTCATTTACACAACATGCCCACCACTTTGAAGATGCAAAATATGTTTTATTGTGAAACAAACAAGAAATAAGACAAGAAAACAGAAAACTTGAGCATTCATAACTATTCACCCCCCCCAAAGTCAATACTTTGTAGAGCCACCTTTTGCAGCAATTACAGCTGAAAGTCTCTATAAGCTTGGCCACTGGGATTTTTGCCCATTCTTCAAGGCAAAACTGCTCCAGCTCCTTCAAGTTGGATGGGTTCCGCTGGTGTACAGCAATCTTTAAGTCATACCACAGATTTTCAATTGGATTGAGGTCTGGGCTTTGACTAGGCCATTCCAAGACATTTAAATGTTTCCCCTTAAACCACTCGAGTGTTGCTTTAGCAGTATGCTTAGGGTCATTGTCCTGCTGGAAGGTGAACCTCTGTCCCAGTCTCAAATCTCTGGAAGACTGAAATTTCCCTCAAAAATTTCCCTGTATTTAGCGCCATCTATCATTCTTTCAATTCTGACCAGTTTCCCAGTCCCTGCCAATGAAAAACATCCCCACAGCATGATGCTGCCACCACCATGCTTCACTGTGGGGATGGTGTTCTCGGGTTTGCGCCAGACATAGCGTTTTCCTTGATGGCCAAAAAGCTCAATTTTAGTCTAATCTGAACAGAGTACCTTCTTCCATATGTTTGGGGAGTCTCCCACATGGCTTTTGGCAAACACCAAATGTGTTTGCTTATTTTTTTCTGTAAGCAATGGCTTTTTTCTGGCCACTCTTCCGTAAAGCCCAGCTCTGTGGAGTGTACGGCTTAAAGTGGTCCTATGGACAGATACTCCAATCTCCGCTGTGGAGCTTTGTAGCTCCTTCAGGGTTATCTTTGGTCTCTTTGTTGCCTCTCTGATTATTGCCCTCCTTGCCTGGTCCGTGAGTTTTGGTGGGCGGTCCTCTCTTGGCAGGTTTGTTGTGGTGCCATATTCTTTCCATTTTTTTTATAATGGATTTAAAATGGTGCTCCGTGGGATGTTCAAAGTTTCTGATATTTTTTTATAACCCAACCCCGATCTGTACTTCTCCACAACTTTGTCCTTGACCTGTTTGGAGAGCTCCTTGGTCTTCATGATGCCGCTTGCTTGGTGGTGCCCCTTGCTTAGTGGTGTTGCAGACTCTGGGGCCTTTCAGAACAGGTGTATATATACTGAGATCATGTGACACTTAGATTGCACACAGGTGGACTTTATTAACTAATTATGTGACTTCTAAAGGTAATTGGTTGCACCAGATCTTATTTAGGGGCTTCATAGCGGTGAATACATATGCACACACCACTTTTCCGTTATTTATTTTTTAGATTCTTAATTTTTTTTTCACCAATTTGGACTATTTTGTGTATGTCCATTACATGAAATCCAAATAAAAATCAATTTAAATTACAAGTTGTAATGCAACAAAATAGGAAAAACGCCAAGGGGGTGTGAATACTTTTGCAAGGCACTGTATATCTCCATGGTTCATAGCATCTTTAAGAGTCTACCTGGTGTATATCCCCATGGTTCGTAGTAAGAGGGGAACACTCCAAGATGGCAGCCTCTTACAAACTCTTCATAATCCATCGGCAGGAGGGGAGAGGTGGAGGAGAGGAACTCTGGGTGGAAGATCACCTAAAAGGATTATGGGAAGCACGAAGCAGGGGATGAGGATGGAGTTCACAAGATGAAAGATAGATGGGCTTCCACCATATTATTTACACCAGTTTTACAAGTCTTCCAATCACTGCAGAATAATAATTATTTCTAAGCAATTGAACCCATTTGACCCACAGCTATGCAGTGGGCCAGGGCCCATGGTTTCTAGTCCAGACTGGTGTCACGTGTCACAAATGTCATTCCTATAACACTATCCTACTACTGATGCACAGGCCAGTCTGGACTAGAAACCATGGGCCCTGGCCCACTGCATAGCTGTGGGTCAAACGGTATGACGGTTATGTATTTGAAATACCTGTTGTTTTTAATTGCACTGAATGCATGTAAAGTGTCAGTCTAGCCCACCTGCCATCTCACTGCCAAATCAGGACACAATGAAAAAAGCCTCTGGCCTTTGTGTTTTTATCCTGGATAATTTTTACGTAGGCTACGTAAAGTAGTCTGGCTGGAGCAGTCTACTACTTCTAATGATCTAATCAATTCAAATCAATCAATCTACCTTGACGCGGTCGGCAGAGCTGTTGAACAGACCAATGCGGCGAATGCAAGTGAGGATGGGGTCGTTGCTGTCCTCCAGCATGTTGTGGGTACAGATGGGAGGCTGGCACTGCCTCTGGGTGGCAAAGATGGCACGCTTCATCATGGTGAAGTCATCCTTGTCCAGCATCTTGGACACGTCCGGCAACTGCCCACTAATCCAGGACAGAGGTAGATTTTACTAAGGGGTAAAATACAAACTAGTACAAAAGCTCTGATGAAGGCCAAGAGGCAGACACGTAAGCTTGAATAAAATGTGTGTGGGTTTCCCTTCTCTTTAACTAAGAAAAAGTCATTCATACATACTGTAGTGTATAGAAGTTCTCTTAGAGTAATAATGGTTCAAGTACAGTGAATCATATGGGTTTACAGTACAGTGATTCATATGGGTTTACAGTACAGTGAATCATATGGGTTTACAGTACAGTGAATCATATGGGTTTACAGTATAGTTATTGTACTGGTAGTTCAACAGCACAAATGGGGATTCATAGAGGTCCACTTACACCAGCAGTGATTCATAAAGTTTCTTTCCGAAGCGTTCTTTCACTGTATGAGCTGTATCCCTGCCATGAGGAGGTTAAAACAAAGTCAAGTTATTAGTCACTATAAATACATACGTTTTCTTATTTTTTCACATGCAAGTGTCTCCCTCTGTGGCAGGAAACAGCTATGATGATGGTGTTGATCATTACCAGAGCTGCTTCCTGACTGCTTGGCCTTTCAGTGTCTCCACGTTGAAGTTGTTTGTCCGCGCAGGCATGATGAAGAACGCAACGACAGTCACATCGCTGTGGTTGACCTGAGAGAGAGAGAGAGACAAAAAGAAAGTGAGGGAGTAAATACCTACATCTAACTAACCGACCGACAAGCTGGTAGAGTGAATGGGTATGTACACACACACAGGCACATACAGTGCATTCGGAAAGTATTCAGACCCCTTGACTTTTTCCACTTTGTTACTTTACAGCCTTATTCTAAAATTGATTTTTTTTAAATTCCCTCATCAATCTACAGACAATAACCCATAATGACAAAGTGCTAACAGGTTTGTAGAAATTTTAGCAAATGTATTAAAAATAAAAAACAGAAATACCTTATTTACGTAAGTATTCAGACCCTTTACTATGAGACTCGAAATTGAGCTTAGGTGCATCCTGTTTCCATTGATCATCCTTGAGATGTTTCTACAACTTGATTGGAGTCCACCTGTGATAAATTCAATTGATTGGACATTATTTGGAAAGGCACACTCCTGTCTATATAAGGTCCCACAGTTGACAGTGCATGTCTGAGCAAAAACCAAGCCATGAGGTCAAAGGAATTGTCCGTAGAGCTCCAATACAGGATTGTGTCGAGGCACAGATCTGGGGAACGGTACCAAAAATATTCTGCAGCATTGAAGGTCCCCAAGAACACGGTGGCCTCCATCATTCTTAAATGGAAGATGTTTAGAACCACCAAGACGCTTCCTAGAGCTGGCCACCCGGCCAAACTGAGCAATCGGGGGAGAAGGGCCCGATGGTCACTCTGACAGAGCTCCAGAGTTCCTCTGTGGGGATGGCAGAACCTTCCAGAAGGACAACCATCTCTGCAGCACTCCACCAATCAGGCCTTTATGGTAGAGTGGTCAGATGGAAACCACTCCTCAGTAAAAGGCACATGACAGCCCGCTTGGAGTTTGCCAAAAGGCACCTAAAGACTCTCAGACCATGAGAAACAAGATTCTCTGTGCTGATGAAACCAAGATTGAACTCTTTGGCCTGAATGCCAAGCGTCACGTCTGGAGGAAACCTGGCACCATCCCTACAGTGAAGCATGGTGGTGGCAGCATCATGCTGTGGGGATGTTTTTCAGCTGCAGGGACTGGGAGACTAGTCAGGATCGAAGGAAAGATTAACAGAGCAAAGTACAGAGAGATCCTTGATGAAAACCTGCTCCACAGCACTCAGGACCTCAGACTGGGGCGAAGGTTCACCTTCTAACAGGACAACGACCCTAAGCACACAGCCAAGACAACGCAGGAGTGGCTTCAGGACAAGTCTCTGAATGTCCTTAAGTGGCCCAGCCAGAGCCCAGACTTGAACCCAATCAGACATCTCTGGAGAGACCTGAAAATAGCTGTGCAGCGACGCTCCCCATCCAACCTGACAGAGCTTGAGAGGATCTGCAGGGAAGAATGGGAGAAACTCCCCAAATACAGGTGTGCCAAACTTGTAGCGTCATACCCAAGAAGACTTGAGGCTGTAATCGCTGCCAAAGGTGCTTCAACAAAGTACTGAGTAAAGGGTCTGAATACTTATGTAAATGTGATATTTCCGTGGGGGGTTTTGTAATACATTTGCAAAATTTTCTAAAAACCTGTTTTTGCAGGTCATTACGGGGTGTTGTGTCTAGATTAGTGATTTTTTACCATTTGAGAATAAGGCTGTAAAGTAACAAAATGTGTAAAAAGTCAAGGGGTCTGAATACTTTCCGAATCCACTGTATAGAATAGCACAGACAAACACACACATCCTCTGATACACGTGTGTACACACACACACAGTGCCACACACACAGTGCCGGACACGGACACACACAAACACAGCTTACTCTCAGTAGATAGTTGAGTCTGGCCAAAGCCTCCAAGAAGATATCAGCCCCTTTGTTGCTGAACTCATACCTCCCAGCGATGAACAGGAACAGACACTTGTCCAGGTTAAAGTCCAGGTGCCTGTCGGGTGGGACAACAAAAACCATTCAAGATGAGACCAAATGATGCAATGATGCAAACCTGACATCACCTGACCACATTTCCAGACCAGGGTTGGAGTCAATTTCATTTAAATTCAGTCAATTCAGAAAGTAAACTGACATTCCAATTTTCCACAATGCTTCTCTATGAGAATTGGAATTGGAATTCAGGTTATTTCCTAAATTGAAATGGAATTGACCCCAACCCTGGTACAACCACATCATTCATTTATTCACTTGTGCGCCATACTGAAGATTTAAAGCATTAAAATGAGGGTTGGGGTATCTAGAATTAGATAACGAGATTGAGAATCTTACCTAATTAAATTACCACTCAAAAAATACCACTCAAAAAATACCAGTTTCATTAGTTCACTGTTGATACAGTCCCAAAATGTCAGCAATTAAGTTTAAGATCTAGAAAATGCATCACACTGTGACACGTTCTGTTTTCTGAAAGTTCTATATCTTGAAAACTTTATTGCTGACATGCAAAACATTTTGGGACTGTATCAACAGTGGACTAATGAAACAAATACCAAAAGATAGCTTTTGAGTGGAATTTTCCTTTAAAGGCCATTGGAAACTTCTGACAGAAGGCCATGCACACAGCCCGGGGCCAAGCTACCCATCACTGCTAGGGCCCTAGCCAGTCAGTAATTGATAGTGACCGGTCCTGTGTCCCATAATGTGTCTGCATTCCATACAGAACCAGGATAATAATGACTAGCCATCTTTTAAATTAGTATGCCCTTGTGTTCTTACAATCATTTGGATAGATTTACTGCAATAGCAAAGAAAATAGACTTAAAATAATGTGTAAAATGTATTTATTGCAGATTTCAAAGTGCCATGTGTACTTTCTGCAAAATCCTTTAGAGGGCAGAATTAGAAAAACAATACTTGATCTAAAACAAACGTTACCACGAAAATGTTTTACATTAATAAAGTGGGGAGTAGCATTTACTAGTAGATATCATAACTTGGAATATCTTTCCCCCACGCAACAACCAGCTGTTTGAGAGCTGCGCGATCTCTCTGCCCATCAGATTATCTATAGGCTGTGTGTGCAGCCCGTGTGTGATAAATAATCGACATAACGAATGAAAAGCATTGGGAATACATCTGATTTTTAAATCAATTATATAGCCTAGATTTAAAATGACATTATTAAAATAAAAAATGTCACTGGCCCCCACTGACTGGGATGATCGACTGCCCCGGAGGGTTTCCAAAATGTCACATGAATGTTTCAGTAAATCATGATTTAAAAAAAGGAAATTGTGAACTCAAAACTAATGTGACCAGGTAAAATAAATTCACAGGCATCCTTAAGACCAATTAAAAATGTGTTGCACTGCCAAGTCAAAAGGTCGCAAATGCGACTGTTTTGGTCGCAGTATCAAACCCTGCAAATGATAAAGTGCCAGTTAGGTTCTAACAAGAGGCTGTTTCCAGGGTTGTCTATTAATATGATAGGTGAAGAGCCCAAGAGGTAACACTCCCACCACTTGGCAAAAACTGGTTGAATCAACGTTGTTTCCGCTTCATAATTTGTTTTGTTGATGATGTTGAATCAACGTGGAAAAATGCAACAACAAAAAAAATCTACATAAGGGAATTTTGTCTTTCTTTCCCACCCAACTTTTAAGCTAAATCCAATGTTATGGTGACATTTTTTGTTGATTTCACCTTAGTTGACAACTCAACATAATGCCAATCAAAAATAGACATTGAAATGACATCTGTTCCCAGTGGGCCAGCAGTATGCATATATAATATGTTTGTGTTTGGGTGGTGACCCCACTGACCCATAGAAGTGACCTCTGATGAACTCCTGGATCCGGTTCTTGCTCTGGGCGTGCAGGTTCTGGAACTCATGCATGGCAGAGAACTTCTTCACGTTCAGCCCATTAGGGGTGATTATGTCTGTGGGGTGGGGTGGCGGGGGAGAAGGAGAGAGAGAGAGAGGGACGTGGGAGAGAGGGAGAACGGGAGAGGGAGAGAGAGAGAGAGAGAGTGAGGGAGAGAGAGAACAGGAGATGGAGAAAGAGAACAGGAGAGGAGAGGTTAGCCAGACAGTCAACTAAGAACAAACAAAGAGGTTAAAAGGTTAAAAAACAGAGACAGACTTGAGAGCAATTACTGTGACAGGCATGTACACCCACGCACACACGCACGTGCACAAACACACCTGGTTTCCTCTTGAGCAGGTGCTCTGCCTCAACGGCTGTGATCTGGGAGACGGTGGTGAAGACATGAGCGCAGCGCGCCGCTGTCCGCTCCAGACAATACCGATGGTAGATCTGTCTATCCCCCGCCTCCTTATCCAAGTTGAACTGAGAGAGAGAGAGAGAGAGAGAGAGAGAGAGAGAACAAGATTAAGCTATTACCTACCATAAGATAAAGTGAATTGAATAAATAACTTGCAAAATATATATACACTGCTCAAAAAAATAAAGGGAACACTTAAACAACACATCCTAGATCTGAATGAATGAAATAATCTTATTAAATACTTTTTTCTTTACATAGTTGAATGTGCTGACAACAAAATCACACAAAAATTATCAATGGAAATCAAATTTATCAACCCATGGAGGTCTGGATTTGGAGTCACCCTCAAAATTAAAGTGGAAAACCACACTACAGGCTGATCCAACTTTGATGTAATGTCCTTAAAACAAGCCAAAATGAGGCTCAGTAGTGTGTGTGGCCTCCACGTGCCTGTATGACCTCCCTACAACGCCTGGGCATGCTCCTGATGAGGTGGCGGATGGTCTCCTGAGGGATCTCCTCCCAGACCTGGACTAAAGCATCCGCCAACTCCTGGACAGTCTGTGGTGCAACGTGGCGTTGGTGGATGGAGCGAGACATGATGTCCCAGATGTGCTCAATTGGATTCAGGTCTGGGGAATGGGCGGGCCAGTCCATAGCATCAATGCCTTCCTCTTGCAGGAACTGCTGACACACTCCAGCCACATGAGGTCTAGCATTGTCTTGCATTAGGAGGAACCCAGGGCCAACCGCACCAGCATATGGTCTCACAAGGGGTCTGAGGATCTCATCTCGGTACCTAATGGCAGTCACGCTACCTCTGGCGAGCACATGGAGGGCTGTGCGGCCCCCCAAAGAAATGCCACCCCACACCATGACTGACCCACCGCCAAACCAGTCATGCTGGAGGATGTTGCAGGCAGCAGAACATTCTCCACGGTGTCTCCAGACTCTGTCACGTCTGTCACATGTGCTCAGTGTGAACCTGCTTTCATCTGTGAAGAGCACAGGGCACCAGTAGCGAATATGCCAATCTTGGTGTTCTCTGGCAAATGCCAAACGTCCTGCACGGTGTTGGGCTGTAAGCACAACCCCCACCTGTGGACTTCGGGCCCTCATACCACCCTCATGGAGTCTGTTTCTGACCGTTTGAGCAGACACATGCACATTTGTGGCCTCCTGGAGGTAATTTTGCAGGGCTCTGGCAGTGCTCCTCCTGCTCCTCCTTGCACAAAGGCGGAGGTTGCGGTCCTGCTGCTGGGTTGTTGCCCTCCTACGGCCTCCTCCACATCTCCTGATGTACTGGCCTGTCTCCTGGTAGTGCCTCCATGCTCTGGACACTACGCTGACAGACACAGCAAACCTTCTTGCCACAGCTCGCATTGATGTGCCATCCTGGATGAGCTGCACTACCTGAGCCACTTGTGTGGGTTGTAGACTCCATCTCATGCTACCACTAGAGTGAAAGCACCGCCAGCATTCAAAAGTGACCAAAACATCAGCCAGGAAGCATAGGAACTGAGAAGTGGTCTGTGGTCACCACCTGCAGAACCACTTCTTTATTGGGGGTGTCTTGCTAATTGCCTATAATTTCCACCTGTTGTCTATTCCATTTGCACAACAGCATGTGAAATGTATTGTCAATCAGTGTTGCTTCCTAAGTGGACAGTTTGATTTCACAGAAGTGTGATTGACTTGGAGTTACATTGTGTTGTTTAAGTGTTCCCTTTATTTTTTTGAGCAGTGTCTATATACAGTGAGGGAAAAAAGTATTTGATCCCCTGCTGATTTTGTACGTTTGCCCATTGACAAAGAAATGATCAGTCTATAATTTTAATGGTAGGTTTATTTGAACAGTGAGAGACAGAATAAATATAAAAAAATCCAGAAAAATGCATGTCAAAAATGTTATTAATTGATTTGCATTTTAAGGAGGGAAATAAGTATTTGACCACTCTACAAAACATGACTTAGTACTTGGTGGCAAAACCCTTGTTGGCAATCACAGAGGTCAGATGTTTCTTGTAGTTGGTCACCAGGTTTGCACACATCTCAGGAAGGATTTTGTCCCACTCCTCTTTGCAGATCTTCTCCAAGTCATTAAGGTTTCGAACCTGACGTTTGGCAACTCGAACCTTCAGCTCCCTCCACAGATTTTCTATGGGATTATGGTCTGGAGACTGGCTAGGCCACTCCAGGACCTTAATGTGCTTCTTCTTGAGCCACTCCTTTGTTGCCTTGGCCGTGTGTTTTGGGTCACTGTCATGCTGGAATACCCATCCACGACCCATTTTCAATGCCCTGGCTGAGGGAAGGAGGTTCTCACCCAAGATTTGACGGTACATGGCCCGTCCATCGTCCTTTTGATGTGGTGAAGTTGTCCTGTCCCCTTAACAGAAAAACACCCCCAAAGCATAATGTTTCCACTTCCATGTTTGACGGTGGGGATGGTGTTCTTGGGGTCATAGGCAGCATTCCTCCTCCTCCAAACACGGCGAGTTGAGTTGATGCCAAAGAGCTAGATTTTGGTCTCATCTGCCCACAACACTTTCACCCAGTTCTCCTCTGAATCATTCAGATGTTCATTGGCAAACTTCAGACGGCCCTGTATATGTGCTTTCTTGAGCAGGGGGACCTTGCGGGCGCTTCAGGATTTCAGTCCTTCACGGCGTAGTGTGTTACCAATTGTTTTCTTGGTGACTATGGTCCCAGCTGCCTTGAGATCATTGACAAGATCCTCCCGTGTAGTTCTGGGCTGATTCCTCACCGTTCTCATGATCATTGCAACTCCACGAGGTGAGATCTTGCATGGAGCCCCAGGCCGAGGGAGATTGACAGTTATTTTGTGTTTCTTCCATTTGCGAATAATCGCACCAACTGTTGTCACCTTCTCACCAAGTTGCTTGGCGATGGTCTTGTAGCCCATTCCAGCCTTGTGTAGGTCTACAATCTTGTCCCTGACATCCTTGGAGAGCTCTTTGGTCTTGGCCATGGTGGAGAGTTTGGAATCTGATTGATTGATTGCTTCTGTGGACAGGTGTCTTTTATACAGGTAACAAGCTGAGATTAGGAGCACTCCCTTTAAGAGGGTGCTCCTAATCTCAGCTCGTTACCTGTATAAAAGACACCTGGGAGCCAGAAATCTTTCTGATTGAGAGGGGGTCAAATACTTATTTCCCTCATTAAAATGCAAATCAATTTATAACATTTTTGACATGCGTTTTTCTGGATTTTTGTTGTTGTTATTCTGTCTCGCACTGTTCAAATAAACCTACCATTAAAATTATAGACTGATCATTTCTTTGTCAGTGGGCAAACGTACAAAATCAGCAGGGGATCAAATACTTTTTTCCCTCACTGTATGTATGTATGTATATATATACTAGATTTTTATGATTAAAAAATCCTATCCAAATCTTATCTGATCTAGAGTAGTGCCTAGGGTAACTTTCAGCAGTTATGGGTCAAGTAAATAGCACATAAAATAAGTGCTTTCACTGTTTTAATGGAGCAATCCAGGGTCGATGAAACAGGACACACTAGATGCTAAAACAAACATGCTAAAAATGCTAAGGTCCTGCCCGCCCCACCTTCCACACACTTGCGTAACTCTAGATGGATCAGATTGGTATCATCAGTCTGTTAACAGTTCCCTTTCAGATCTACACTAGTGAATACTAAGTAGGGGACTAGGGGTAAGGGGTTGATTTAGGATCGGGGCAAAGGATACTAGCTAGGGTGATACAGCTGACCTTCAAATAACCTAGAATGACCTACAACACTTACTGTGAGGTCAGTTACCTGTGAATGATGCTGAAGATGCACAAAGACAGAACGATCAGAACATTGTAAACATGACATCCCAACCCTGACCAACACACACACACACACACACACACCACAGATCATGACATCACACCACAGATCATGACATCACTCACACCGGCGAGGTTGTTGTAGAAGTCCACGCTGCCGGCACATAGGTAGCGTCCCAGCAGGGTGGCGTGGGTGGTGAAGATGGTTGCCACGGGCAACTGTCTCTGTCGGCATAGCGCCAGGCCAAGGCCTGCCAGCCACTCATGGAAATGGGCCAGGATATGGGGAGGCTCCTCACACTGCGCTGCATACTGGAGGAGGACAATGTGGGGTTAATATAATGGGCCAGGATACTGGAGGAAGACAACGTGGGGTTAATATAATGGGCCAGGATACTGGAGGAGGACAACGTGGGGTTAATATAATGGGCCAGGATACTGGAGGAGGACAACGTGGGGTTAATATAATGGGCCAGGATACTGGAGGAGGACAACGTGGGGTTAATATAATTGGCCAGGATACTGGAGGAAGACAACGTTACTAATTACATTTACATTTTAGTCATTTAGCAGACGCTCTTATCCAGAGTGACTTACAGTTAGTGAGTGCATACATTTTAATTTTTTATACTGGAATCGAACCCACAACCCTGGCGTTGCAATGCCATGCTCTACCAACTGAGCTACATCCCTGCCGGCCATTCCCTCCCCTACCCTGGACGACGCTGGGCCAATTGTGCGCCGCCCCATGGGTCTCCTGGTCGCGGCCGGCTATGACAGAGCCTGGATTCGAACCAGGATCTCTAGTGGCACAGCTAGCACTGCGATGCAGTGCCTTAGACCACTGCGCCACTCGGGAGGGACTAATGAACTGCAACCTTGCACTGACACAAGCCATTATTCAACTGGATAGAACCACCTACTTCCCTGTTATAATGGTGAGCAGTGTGTAGGCCACACCCCCCTTAACCCATTATCCCTGACAGCAACCCACCTCTCCTAGTAACCCATTATCCCTGACCCTCCCTGGCAGCAACCCACCTTACCTAGTAACCCATTATCCCTGACCCTCCCTGGCAGCAACCCACCTTACCTAGTAACCCATTATCCCTGACCCTCCCTGGCAGCAACCCACCTTACCTAGTAACCCATTATCCCTGACAGCAACCCACCTCTCCTAGTAACCCATTATCCCTGACAGCAACCCACCTCTCCTAGTAACCCATTATCCCTGACCCTCCCTGGCAGCAACCCACCTCTCCTAGTAACCAGGCGGTCAAGAAGCCAAAGAGGACGGCGTCGTTGGCCTCACGGTCGAACCAGGGCACCCCGATGGAGAAGTTGTTCCACAATTCTTTCTTCCAATTGTCCAGGTTCCAGGCAGTGAACGCCACATCTATCAGCACCACGTACGGACTCCCCTCAATCAGCCAACGACCAAAGTACACCTAGGGTGAAAAGAGAGAGAGAGAGAGAGAGAGAGAGAGAGAGAGAGAGAGAGAGAAGAGAGAGAGAGAGAGAGAGAGAGACCTAGAAGAGAGAGTCTAGAGATAGTCAGAGAGAGAGAGGGCTCTCGAGAGCGATGAGAGGAGAGATCGAGAGAGAGAGAGCGATAGACTTTTTACTTTTTGTCTTTCTTTAATGGTACATCCTCATCTAATAAAACCCCACCCACCCCCCTTAAAATAAAGTACACAGATTACCAATATCCCCTGTACTGCATACTCACCTTTTCCTCTACCCCATGTTACAAAACAACACCACACATCACAATAACCCAAACCTCACCAACTCTACAACGTATATCCAGACAATCTTCCTCAGCTATACAGACAGCCCCCCCAACACACCATATTTCTTAAACATCTCCACACTTTTTATCATTTTATATAAAACTCAAATCCCACCCTAAGGCGCGCAGAGACCAGCCCATTAATAATAGTAAAGGGTCGGTATCCCCCCACTTTGACCCTGTTCCTCCTTGTTAGCCAATAGCTAACTTGACTGAGCAAACAGAAAATTCAACAACACACATTTTTCCTTTTCCTTATTTGAAACCTGTACCCCATTATAAACATCCCGACAGTAAAAACCACCCCCAACCTCTCACACAGACATTCCAACTGAGACATTAAAGGCATTAACCTGGCGCACACAGAAAACACATGAATCACAGTTTCACTCATGACACAGAAAGGACACCCCTGTCTGACTCCCGGTTCAACCCGTGCTAACCAGCTGTTAGTGGCCAGGGCTCCATGTAAAACCCTCCACTGGAGGTCCCCTGACCTCTTTGGTACTGGGAGTTTGTAGAGCCCCCTCCATCTAAAACCAATCATACTCTCCGCTCCACATGCCCCCTGCCACTGATGTGCCTTCACTCCTGTTAGGCTCCTAATGTTCCTTACCTTAATGCAGAGGTTGTAGAGGGCTTTACCTCCCACCCCCTCAAACTCGCCCAGGCTCGGAGTGTTAAAATCTAACAAGTCCTCCAGACCCCCTTGCCAGTCCCCAGTCTCTGCCGTCACGTACAGTGGCGGAAACATTGGTGGCCCCTCCCCCTTTGGCTGCTCAAACACCCCCCTTACCGGCTCGGACAGTGCCTCCTGGACTTCCCCCAGGAATCTCTCCAGCAGCCTAAGAGACGTTAGTCCTGTTTGTTTTGCTAGGACTTCTGGGGTTTTCCATCCATCCTCTCCCAGCAGTCGCAGGTCACCCAGCCTTAGTAATCCCGCTGCCATCAGTCGCCTCTTCAGGGTGGCTGACTGAAACCGATCTCAAAAGGATGACTGGGTTGTGGAAGATAGGCTCCTCCCACACCCACAGCCCAGGCTCCACACCCCCTTTTCGTGTGGGCCTTAGTAGCTGCCAGGCCCTCAGCACCGCAGAGTAAAAATCAGAGAGTCCTGCTGTACTCAGCCCCTCCAGCCTCATGAGGAATAGCTGCCGGTCCAACCCTAATCCGCCAGCTCTCCTCAGCAGCGCGCATGCTGGCTCCCTCCATCCGACATCAGTATGGTACAGCAGTCTCTGTGCCGCCTTTAGTCGGAATGCAGCCACCCTGCTCTCCAGTTCCACCAGGCCCTGTCCTCCTTCATTTACGGACATATACAACACTGCCGCCCTCAGCCAGTGATGGCCCGACCAGAAAAAATCCACCAGCTTGCGTTGCAGGTCTGCGAGCAGCCCAGCAGGGGGGTTGAGGACAGCCAGTTTATGCCACAGGGAAGATGCCACCAGGTTGTTGATTATCAGCACCCTCCCTCTATATGACACTTGGGACAGGAGCCACCTCCACCTGGCCAGTCTTGACACCACTGCCTGTGACAGCCCCTCCCAGTTCTTCCTGACCCACGTCTCCGAGCCCAGGTACACCCCCAATATTTTAAGCCCTTCACAACCCCACTGCAACCCCCCTGGAAGCAGAGGAGGGACCCTATCCCCCCATGCCCCACATAACAGAGCTTTGCTCTTTCCCCAGTTTACCTTAGCTGACGAAGCTCCCTCGTACACCTTCAGACTATTCTCCAGTGCCTGCATATCCTGACCATCCCTGACCATCACAGAAACGTCATCTGCATACGCTGACACTGCTATGCCTGTCCAGCACACTCCCTTCAGTCTCCTGCGTAGCAGGCCCAAAAAAGGTTCAATGGCTAGTGTATATAACTGCCCTGATAGAGGGCATCCTTGTCTAATGCCCCGCCTAACCCAGACTGGCCTACTGAGCCCCCCTCCCACCTTAACCATACATGATGCCCCAGCATACAACATCTTCACATAGGCCAAAAACCTTTCCCCAAACCCAAACACAGACATCACATTAAACAGATACTCATGGTCCACTCTATCAAAGGCCTTCTCTTGATCTAAAGAGACCAGACCAAAGTTCACATTAGAACTTCTCGACAAGTCCAACATGTCCCTGATTAAGAACAAGTTGTCCGTGATTAAGCGTCCTGGTATGCAATATGTCTGGTCCTTATGTACTATAGAGTCCAGATGGGACTTTAGTCTGTTAGTGAGGACCTTGGCAAATATCTTGTAGTCCGCACAGAGCAATGCCACAGGCCTCCAGTTCTTAAGTTCACACAAGTCCCCTTTTTTGGGCAGGAGAGTCAGAGCCGCCCGACGGCAGCTCATCGGCAACTCTCCTACCCCGACGCATTCACGCAACACGCGAAAGAAGTCCAGTCCAATTATTCCCCAGAATTTTTTATAAAACTCCACTGGGAGTCCATCGACCCCCGGTGCACGGCCCGGGGGACATCTGGGTTACGGCCTCTGCCAGTTCATGGGACAACAGGGGAATGTCCATTTCATCCCTTTGTACCAGAGAGAGCTTAGGGAGTTCGGCAAACAAAACCTGAGCACACATAGGATCACACAGTTCTGCCTTATACAATTCAGTATAAAACTCCACAGTCCGCTCCCGCATCTCCCCCACCACAGAGGTCACCCGCCCATCCGAAAGCCGTAGACAATGCATACCCTTGGCTTCACCGCTCTGTCTTTCCAAACCAAAGAAGAAGGAGCTGGGAGCATCCATCTCCTTGAGCATGGAGAACCTAGCTCTTACAAGTGCTCCCTTTGCTTTAACCTGGAAAAAACTGCCCAGGTCCCTACGTAGTTCAGCTAGATTAACCTGGAGGCCTACATTGCCTTGCCCCACCAGCTCTACCTCCATCTCACTAATACTACGTTCGAGTTCCCCCAATACTCTCCTAGCCTCTGAGGATGACAGAGCTGTATACTGTTGGCAGAAAAGCCGAATTTGGACTTTTCCCACATCCCACCATTGACTCAGAGACTCATACTCCTCTCTTCGCTGCCCCCACCTTTCCCAAAAAGTCTGGAAACCTGAGCAAAAAGTGTTATCTTGTAAGAGCTTTACATTAAACTTCCAATAGGATGCCTGCCGAGGCCCTGGTGAAATAGACAGCCGAGCCATGGTTATGTGATGATCCGAAAAACCCACCGGGAGAATGGTAGCGCCCAACAACCTATTGCTCTGATTCCTGGACATGTACAATCGATCAAGTCGGGCTGCACTCACCCTAGCCCCAAAGACCTTCACCCATGTATACTGTCTTGTGTTGGGATGTCTAGTTCTCCAAACATCAACTAGGTCAAATTGATTAATAATGTCCCTTAACACCCCCACTGAGCCTGAATGAGGCTCCTCCCCATTTCTGTCTTTCGTAAAATCCATCGTACAGTTCCAGTCCCCGCCGACCACCAGCGTCTCCTCAGGCGCTACCTGTGAGAGTTCCTTTCTAAGACACCCAAATAGAAGCCCCCTCTCTCTCCCTGTGTTGGGCGCATACACATTTATAAAGACAAAACCCCTGTTGTTAATTTCTGCCTTTACTACAAGCAGTCTGCCTGTACACACCTCTTTTGAGGAGCAAATTGTTACAGACAGACCCGGTACAAAAAGGACTGCCACCCCTGCACTAACATTTGTTCCATGGCTCAGCACACTTGCCCCTTTCCACCAGAGCCCCCAATCAACCTCATTCACCACATCGCTATGCGTCTCCTGCAGAAACAACACTTGTACTTTTTTTTGTTTTACATATTCACCCAACACACTCCTCTTTCCCGCATCTCTGGCGCCATTAATATTAAGCGAGCCTACCCAAAGAGTCTCCATAAGAAGTGGGAGAAAAGCCAGCAAAGAAAGAGACCAATAGCAAAGCTCAAAAAGCTCCAGTGCCAGAAAGAAAACTTTCATCTAGACAGTGTCTGAAGGTAGACCTTTACGCACAGTTGTGACCCACTTCCTTAACCTAAACCGTTTCCTGGGTGAGAGGACACCATGCCCCTCATTTTTCATTGCATGTTGCACTGATCTTACAAACTTTCCCGGATCGCAAAAGAAAGCCTCAAGATTAACCTTTTTCCCCTTAGTCTCCTTCAGGAACCTTGACAGTTCCCTCACTGTGTACTTTGACTCCTCTGACTGACTGGCTGTCAGCTCTGGACCCATTGCGGAGGAGTCTGAAAAGAAATCCTCCTCATCGTCTACTTCCTCAGACTCACCTTCCTCCTCCTCATCTCCATCTCCCATCCTGACCACCTGTCCTTCCTCTCTAGTCGGGGCCTCCCCCCCCCCACCAGGCAACCTGACCACCTGCCCTTCCTCTCTAGTCGGGGCCTCCCCCCCCGCACCAGGCAACCTGACCACCTGCCCTTCCTCTCTAGTCGGGGCCTCCCCCCCCGCACCAGGCAAAGGTTCCTTGGTGTCTTTCATCACACTAGCCTCTGCCTTCCCACCTCCTTTCTTCTCCCCCTTTTTCCTCTTCCGCTTGACACCCTCCTCCACCCCTCCTAGTCGCTTCCCCTTCCCCACTACACTCTCCTCATCCACTAACATAACCTGACTAGACCCAGCCTCATCTACACCACCATCTATAGCATGACTAGACCCAGCCTCATCTACACCACCATCTATAGCATGACTAGGCGCAGCCTCATCTACACCACACTCCATAACATGACTAGACCCAGCCTCAGCTACACCACCATCCATCACACGACTAGACCCAGCCCCATCTACACCACCATCTATAGCATGACTAGGCCCAGCCCCATCTACACCACCATCTATAGCCTGACTAGACCCAGCCCCATCTACACCACCACCTATAGCATGACTAGACCCAGCCTTAACTACACCACCATCTGTCGCATGACTAGACCCAGCCTCTGCTGCCTGTGTCTCATTGCCTCCTGCACGTTGACCTCTATTTCCCCCACTGGCGCTTGAACCCTCACCTTGTCTACGGCCTTTATGTGGGCACGCAAAGCTCTTATGCCCCAAATCCCCACACTCAAAGCACCGTAGGCTATCTGTGCTGGCAAAACCTGCGTAGAGCCCCTCCCCATGCCTCACTTTAAAGTTCACATTTAACTGTTGCTCATTGTTGTTCAGAAACATGAACACTTGCCTCCGGAATGAAACAACGTGCTTGACGGCATCTGCCTGAAAACCTGCCGACAGTACACGAAAACCGCTAGCAAACTTACCAAAACGACTCAACTCCTTCCTGATTTGATCATCCGTAATAAACGGAGGCAAATTTGCAACTACCACCCTGGTCGAAGGGGTAGAAAGAGGAGAAATTGGCACCAACACATCCCTTACAAATATTCCGCTTGAAATGAGCCTACCCACCAAATGTGCCCTTTTCATGAACACAACCACAGCTTTGTTCATTCTGGACGCGGAATGTATAAATTCGGCTCCTACCTGTTCGCCGACCGCGAGCAGAACCTCCTCCACCTTAATTCCATTCTCAGGAACACACCTGAATCCATGCCGTAACGACAGCGTTTCCTCCGCGCTAGGCTGCGAAGCCATCGCTCACACCTCACCGTTCAAAACCCCAAGAAACTAAACCTCTGTCCTCTTCCTCTCTAACTTTGAAAAATAAAAAACAAAGGGGACCACTAAAAAAACATGCATTACCCCCCACCATAAAGGAGAAACAAGGAAGGAAAAAAAACAAATTATTTTAAAAAACCCTCCAAACCCAAAAACCCCAAAATCCAAAAAAAATCCCCGATGCCTGGGAAGAGAGAGAGAGAGAGAGAGAGAGGAAGAGAGAAGGGGAGAGAGGAGGAAAGAAAAAGAAAAAAGAAAAGGATAAGATTTAAAAAGAGGAAAAGGTAGAAACTTTTTATCAGTGTTTTAAAGTACTCCTACCAGGCAAGCTCTGTCTGTTGCCATGTGTCGCTACACAACTCCAATTTTCAAAAGTGGTCACAGTCTGGGCCTAAGTTTATTTTTATTTGTAGTTGCGAGTCAGAAATTAAAAAAACATTCCTTTTTTTTATCCCACAAAACAGGGAGCTTACACAATGATTTACACAAATGTTCCACAACTTCCAGTCCTCAAGTAAGGACGATTACGATTAGTGCACAGTATCGCTCTCCCCCAATCAAATGATATGACCTCACCACACAGGGCTTTCCCATGGTGCACTGCACTGCTATGACCCTGCACACCTAGAATGCCAACGACTGACTCAGCATGGCACACACACACATATGAACTACACACACTAAACACACGCTACATTCTGCCTACCAGAAATAGACAGCAGTGTGTGTGTGACACTGATACAGCCTTTAACCTTTTAACAGAAATACCAGAGATTAGAGTGGCAAGGACAGAGAGAAGTATAGAGTGAAAGAGGGACACTGTGTGTGTGTGTGTGTGTGTGTGTGTGTGTGTGTGTGTTTAACTATACTTGTTGGTCCCCACTAGGTCAAATGCTATTTCTAGGGGGTTTTGGGTTAAGGTTAGAATTAGTGCTAGGGTCCGAATTAGGTTTAGGAGCTAGGGTTAGGTTAGGTTTTCGTGTAAGGGTTAGGGAAAATAGGATTTTGAATGGGACTGACTTGTGTGTCCCCACAAGGTTAGTTATACAAGACTGTGTGTGTGTCCTGGGGAAAGCCACTGCCATGGACCAGTGTTAGGTGGGGTCTTGGGGTGCACAGGGGCTCGTGACGCAAGGTTGAAGTCATGAAGTGACTGTGATCCAACCTTTTTAAAAACTAGCCACTGCTAAGAAATGCTAATGTTAGCATTTGAGGGACAAAAAGCAATGACAATCTCCTCCGTTTAGCATGTTTTACATTTCATGTCCAAATCATCAGATTGACTTTGGTCTGAAAATGCAGACATTAACATGGTTGTTGAAGGACACTGCTTAGAAATGCCTACAATGGCATAGTACTGCTTTTAACCTCATCATAATCTAGAACATTTCAATTGCAAGGATGTGAAGAAGTTATGTATTGCTAATATTTTGTTCTATTGTTGTCAACCTCAACAACGAGAACCAATGGTAATTCAGGAAGTTGTACACACACACACACACACACGGATGCAAGGACTGACCATCCTAGATATAAAATTGATAGTTTTAACCATGTTTTAATTTATATGGTGATTGTTTACATTTTCTTTGTTTCCAAACATTGGAGTAAAACAAGCTTATATTTTGGGATCTGGTGGGGTATGACAGTTAAGCTAAGCTCAAGTTATATTCTTAAATAATCAAAATGGGTACATATTAATTCCAAAAATGGATGTAGCAACTGCAGATTGCCCCTTTAAGTCCTTTAATAGGGCCAGCAAACTTGTGTGGGTCTGTACCTTACATCCGCTGGAATTCATCTTGTCTATGGCTCTCTTGAGGGCAGGGTTGGTGGGCTCGATCAGCTCTACCTGGGTGCGGACGTTACTCTCCACATACGGACCAACCAGGAAATAGTTTTCTCCCCATTCCTCCACCGTCAGACGGGCTTTGGTCTGGATCACTGTGTAAATCCCACCAACTGCACAGAGGCACGCACCAAGAGTTATTACTAATATACTGCAGTTACACACAGAACCAAGAGTTATTACTAATATACTGTCGTTCCACACAGAACCAAGAGTTATTACTAATATACTGTAGTTACACACAGATCCAAGAGTTATTACTAATATACTGTCGTTCCACACAGAACCAAGAGTTATTACTAATATACTGTAGTTACACACAGAACCAAGAGTTATTACTAATATACTGCAGTTACACACAGAACCAAGAGTTATTACTAATACTGTCGTTACACACAGAACCAAGAGTTATTACTAATATACTGCAGTTACACACAGAACCAAGAGTTATTACTAATATACTGCAGTTACACACAGAACCAAGAGTTATTACTAATATACTGTCGTTCCACACAGAACCAAGAGTTATTACTAATATACTGTAGTTACACACAGAACCAAGAGTTATTACTAATATACTGTAGTTACACACAGAACCAAGAGTTATTACTAATATACTGTAGTTCCACACAGAACCAAGAGTTATTACTAATATACTGTAGTTCCACACAGAACCAAGAGTTATTACTAATATACTGTAGTTCCACACAGAACCAAGAGTTATTACTAATATACTGTAGTTACACACAGAACCAAGAGTTATTACTAATATACTGCAGTTACACACAGAACCAAGAGTTATTACTAATATACTGTAGTTACACACAGAACCAAGAGTTATTACTAATATACTGTCGTTCCACACAGAACCAAGAGTTATTACTAATATACTGTCGTTCCACACAGAACCAAGAGTTATTACTAATATACTGTAGTTACACACAGAACCAAGAGTTATTACTAATATACTGCAGTTACACACAGAACCAAGAGTTATTACTAATATACTGCAGTTACACACAGAACCAAGAGTTATTACTAATATACTGTAGTTACACACAGAACCAAGAGTTATTACTAATATACTGTAGTTACACACAGAACCAAGAGTTATTACTAATATACTGTAGTTCCACACAGAACCAAGAGTTATTACTAATATACTGTAGTTACACACAGAACCAAGAGTTATTACTAATATACTGTAGTTCCACACAGAACCAAGAGTTATTACTAGTATACTGTAGTTACACACAGAACCAAGAGTTATTACTAATATACTGTAGTTCCACACAGAACCAAGAGTTATTACTAATATACTGTAGTTACACACAGAACCAAGAGTTATTACTAATATACTGCAGTTACACACAGAACCAAGAGTTATTACTAATATACTGTAGTTACACACAGAACCAAGAGTTATTACTAATATACTGTAGTTACACACAGAACCAAGAGTTATTACTAATATACTGTCGTTACACACAGAACCAAGAGTTATTACTAATATACTGTCGTTCCACACAGAACCAAGAGTTATTACTAATATACTGTCGTTCCACACAGAACCAAGAGTTATTACTAATATACTGTCGTTCCACACAGAACCAAGAGTTATTACTAATATACTGTCGTTCCACACAGAACCAAGAGTTATTACTAATATACTGTCGTTCCACACAGAACCAAGAGTTATTACTAATATACTGCAGTTACACACAGAACCAAAGAGTTATTTATAATATACTGTAGTTTACACACAGAACAAGAGTTATACTAATATACTGCGTTCCACACAGAACCAAGAGTTATTACTAATATACTGCAGTTACACACAGAACCAAGAGTTATTACTAATATACTGTCGTTCCACACAGAACCAAGAGTTATTACTAATATACTGCAGTTACACACAGAACCAAGAGTTATTACTAATATACTGTAGTTACACACAGAACCAAGAGTTATTACTAATATACTGTAGTTACACACAGAACCAAGAGTTATTACTTAATATACTGCAAGTTACACACAGAACCAAGAGTTATTACTAATATACTGTAGTTACACACAGAACCAAGAGTTATTACTAATATACTGTCGTTCCACACAGAACCAAGAGTTATTACTAAATATACGTAGTTACACACAGAACCAAGAGTTATTACTAATATACTGTCGTTCCACACAGAACCAAGAGTTATTCCTAATATACTGTAGTTACACACAGAACCAAGAGTTATTACTAATATACTGTAGTTACACACAGACCCAAGAGTTATTATAATATACTGTAGTTCCACACAGAAACCAAGAGTTATTACTAATATACTGTAGTTACACACAGAACCAAGAGTATTACTAATATATGTAGGTTACACACAGACCAAGAGTTATACTAATATACGTCGTTCCACACAGAACCCAAGAGTTATTACTAATATACTGCAGTTACACACAGAACCAAGAGTTATTACTAATATACTGTAGTTACACACAGAACCAAGAGTTATTACTAATATACTGTAGTTACACACAGAACCAAGAGTTATTACTAATATACTGTAGTTACACACAGAACCAAGAGTTATTACTAATATACTGTAGTTACACACAGAACCAAGAGTTATTACTAATATACTGTAGTTACACACAGAACCAAGAGTTATTACTAATATACTGTAGTTACACACAGAACCAAGAGTTATTACTAATATACTGCAGTTACACACAGAACCAAGAGTTATTACTAATATACTGTCGTTCCACACAGAACCAAGAGTTATTACTAATATACTGTCGTTACACACAGAACCAAGAGTTATTACTAATATACTGTAGTTACACACAGAACCAAGAGTTATTACTAATATACTGCAGTTACACACAGAACCAAGAGTTATTACTAATATACTGCAGTTACACACAGAACCAAGAGTTATTACTAATATACTGTCGTTCCACACAGAACCAAGAGTTATTACTAATATACTGTCGTTACACACAGAACCAAGAGTTATTACTAATATACTGTAGTTACACACAGAACCAAGAGTTATTACTAATATACTGTCGTTCCACACAGAACCAAGAGTTATTACTAATATACTGTAGTTACACACAGAACCAAGAGTTATTACTAATATACTGTCGTTCCACACAGAACCAAGAGTTATTACTAATATACTGTCGTTCCACACAGAACCAAGAGTTATTACTAATATACTGTCGTTCCACACAGAACCAAGAGTTATTACTAATATACTGTCGTTCCACACAGAACCAAGAGTTATTACTAATATACTGTAGTTACACACAGAACCAAGAGTTATTACTAATATACTGTAGTTACACACAGAACCAAGAGTTATTACTTATATAGTCACACACACTGTTACCTTTGTTGGCCACCTCCCATGCGATCTCGAAGAGGACGGCATCCTCCAGGTCAAACTCCTCATCCCACTCCTCCAACCCCGACAGGGAGGTGATGGACAGGCTGCGAGCCAGTGGCATGCTGGGAAAGAAGAACAACACACAGAGTTTAGACATGTCATGAGACACATTATTATATTCAGTTGGCAGAGCTGAAAATGTACAGCTAGACATAGGGGTCATCGTTGTGGTGGAAATGAAATGGGCTTAGGAATAGTTTGTGAGATTTAGGTTAGAGGAAAGGTTTAAAAGATACCATTGGGTTAATGTGAATGTGTGTGCTCACTTTCCAGCCTTTTTACATATCAGTAACCTCACAAAATAAATGTCCATGTAAATGGACAATAAAGTCATTTCTTATTCTTATCATTAGCGTAGCGCTGTCGGACGGCCTTCAATATCTACCGGTTGAATATACACTATTTTAAAGCATAATTAGACGCTATACACAGCTTGTTTACAATGTCTCCTATGACAAAGGGTATAATGCAGTGGTGAGATAAAAATGCATGACGCAGAAGTAAATGTCACCGTTTGCTGCCCCGAAAATGTACAAGAAGAGTGAACATTTAAACAATGTAGGAAATGACTGACTCAACATCACAACCCAGGTCACTTAAGAGTGTGTGTTTGTGGTGTGTACCAAGTACTGGTCTAAAAATGTCATATTTTTATTATTTAATTTCACTTGGTCCCCCCACCCCCTCAACAGTCTTTACTCTGCCTGCTGTTCCCCCTATGGTCATCCCCCCCCCACCCCCTCAACAGTCTTTACTCTGCCTGCTGTTCCCCCTATGGTCATCCCCCCCACCCCCTCAACAGTCTTTACTCTGCCTGCTGTTCCCCCTATGGTCATCCCCCCCACCCCCTCAACAGTCTTTACTCTGCCTGCTGTTCCCCCTATGGTCATCCCTCCCACCCCCTCAACAGTCTTTACTCTGCCTGCTGTTCCCCCTATGGTCATCCCCCCCACCCCCTCAACAGTCTTTACTCTGCCTGCTGTTCCCCCTATGGTCATCCCCCCCACCCCCTCAACAGTCTTTACTCTGCCTGCTGTTCCCCCTATGGTCATCCCCCCCACCCCCTCAACAGTCTTTAGTCTGCCTCCACCCCAATGGACATTTATTTATTCATCACTGCTACAGTTGTTACGATTGGCCCTGTCCCCATCTATGCTGCAATAGTCTATGTGCCTGGGGGATAGGGTCAATCTGTCCTATTTGGTTTAATTCTCCTGTCTTATCTGGTGTCCTGCGTGACCTCAGGTATGCTCCCTCTAATTCTCCTGTGTCTCTCCCTCTCTCTTCCAGTTTCTGCTGTTCTGCCTGAGGCTATGAAACCCTGACCTCTTCACTGGAAGTGCTAGCTTGTCCCAGACCTGCTGTTTGACACTCTTCCCCCCCCCCCCCCACCCCCACGACCTATCAACCTCTGAATGCTTGGCTATGAAAAGCCAACTGACATTTACTCCTGTGGTGCTGACCTGCTGCACCCTCTATAACCACTGTGATTATTATTTGACCCTGCTGGTCATCTATGAACGTTTGAACATCTTAATGGCCATGTACTCCAGGCATGACTCCAACACCATCATTAAGTTTGCCGATGACACAACAGTGGTAGGACTGATCACCGACAACGACGAGACAGCCTATAGGGAGGAGGTCAGAGACCTGGCCGTGTGGTGCCATGACAACAATCTCTACCTCAACGTGATCAAGACAAAGGAGATGATTGTGGACTACAGGAAAAAGAAGAGGACCGAGCACACCCCCATTCTCATCGACGGGGCTGTAGTGGAGCAGGTTAGAGCTTCAAGTTCCTTGGTGTCCACATCACCAACAAACTAACATGGTCCAAGCACCCCAAGACAGTCGTGAAGAGGGCACGACAAAGCCTATTCCCCCTAAGGAGACTGAAAAGATTTGGCATTGGTCCTCAGATCCTTAAAAGGTTCTACAGCTGCACCATCGAGAGCATCCTGACTGGTTGCATCACTGCCTGGTATGGTAAGTGCTCGGCCTCCGACCGCAAGGCACTACAGAGGGTAGTGCATACGGCCCAGTACATCACTGGGGCCAAGCTTCCTGCCATCCAGGACCTCTATACCAGGCGGTGTCAGAGAAAGGCCCTAAAAATGGTCAAAGACTCCAGCCATAGATTGTTTTCATTTTTTTACATTTTTAGTCATTTAGCAGATGCATACATTTTTTATTTATTAAATTTTTTCATACTGGAATCGAACCCACAACCCTGGCGTTGCAAATGCCATGCTCTACCAACTGAGCTACATCCCTGCCTGCCATTCTCTCCCCCCCTCCCTGGACGATGCTGGGCCATTTGTGCGCCGCCCCATGGGTCTCCCGGTCGCGGCCGGCTACGACAGAGCCTGGATTCGAACCAGGATCTCTAGTGGCACAGCGATGCAGTGCCTTAGACCACTGCGCCACTCGGGAGACTGTTCTCTCTGCTACCACACGGCAAGCGGTACCGGAGTGCCAAGTCTAGGTCCAAGAGGCTTCTAAACAGCTTCTACCCCCAAGCCACAAGACTCCTGAACATCTAATCAAATGGCTACCCAGACTATTTGCATTGCTCCCCCCCCCCATTCCTCCATGCAGATCTCCTCTAGAGCAGTGATGTTTTGGGGCTGTCGCTGGGCAACACAGACTTTCAACTCCATCCAAAGATTTTCTATGGGGTTGAGATCTGGAGACTGGCTAGGCCACTCCAGGACCTTGAAATGCTTCTTACGAAGCCACTCCTTCGTTGCCCGGGCGGTGTGTTTGGGATCATTGTCATGCTGAAAGACCCAGCCACGTTTCATCTTCAATGCCCTTGCTGATGGAAGGAGGTTTTCACTCAAAATCTCACGATACATGGCCCCATTCATTCTTTCCTTTACGCGGATCTGTCGTCCTGGTCCCTTTGCAGAAAAACAGCCCCAAAGCATGATGTTTCCACCCCCATGCTTCACAGTAGGTATGGTGTTCTTTGGATGCAACTCAGCATTCTTTGTCCTCCAAACACGACGAGTTGAGTTTTTACCAAAAAGTTCTATTTTGGTTTCATCTGACCATATGACATTTTCCCAATCCTCTTCTGGATCATCCAAATGCACTCTAGCAAACTTCAGACGGGCCTGGACATGTACTGGCTTAAGCAAGGGGACATGTCTGGCACTGCAGGATTTGATTCCCTGGCGGCGTAGTGTGTTACTGATGGTAGGCTTTGTTACTTTGGTCCCAGCTCTCTGCAGGTCATTCACTAGGTCCCCCCGTGTGGTTCTGGGATTTTTGCTCACCGTTCTTATGATCATTTTGACCCCACGGGGTGAGATCTTGCGTGGAGCCCCAGATCGATGGAGATTATCAGTGGTCTTGTATGTCTTCCATTTCCTAATAATTGCTCCCACAGTTGATTTCTTCAAACCAAGCTGCTTACCTATTGCAGATTCAGTCTTCCCAGCCTGGTGCAGGTCTACAATTTTGTTTCTGGTGTCCTTTGACAGCTCTTTGGTCTTGGCCATAGTGGAGTTTGGAGTGTGACTGTTTGAGGTTGTGGACAGGTGTCTTTTATACTGATAATAAGTTCAAACAGGTGCCATTAATACAGGTAACGAGTGGAGGACAGAGGAGCCTCTTAAAGAAGTTGTTACAGGTCTGTGAGAGCCAGAAATCTTGCTTGTTTGTAGGTGACCAAATACTTATTTTCCACCATAATTTGCAAATAAATTCATTAAAAATCCTACAATGTGATTTTCTGGAATTTCTTTTCTCAATTTGTCTGTCATAGTTGACGTGTACCTATGATGAAAATTACAGGCCTCTCATATTTTTAAGTGGGAGAACTTGCACAATTGGTGGCTGACTAAATACTTTTTTTCCCCACTGTACATATTACCTCAATTACCTCAACTAACCTGTGCCCCCGCACATTGACTCTGTACCGGTACCCCCTGTATATAGCCTCGCTACTGTTATTTTACTGCTGCTCTTTAAAAATATTTAGTTTTTTGTTTTTTTAGGTATTCTTTCTTAAAACTGCATTGTTGGTTAAGGGCTTGTAAGTAAGCATTTCACTGTAAGGTCTACACCTGTTGTATTCGGCGCATGTGACAAATAAAATTTGATTTGATTTATAAAATTAATTTGATTGATTGAGTCACGACTCTACTCATGAGTCACGTGTCTACTTCACAAACTGAGAAGGCTGGATAAAAATTGTCAGAATGGGAGTGTTGGTTTATGTTCAAATGAGATTTGTTGAGACCAGGATATGGGTTGGAGAGCAGCTGGGGAGCTGAGTGTTTGGCAATCTCCTTCGCGGCCCAAAGAACTGTCAGACTGGCACACACCTTGATTCTCTTGACAAGTCCATGAGAAGAGGCTGTTGCAAATAGCACCTCTGTGTCTTATGGGGTTCTAGGAATGTATGAACGAGAGACACAGTATGCAGTGTTGTGTGTGTGTGTGCATATGGGTGTGTGTGAGAGAGTGAGAGAGAACGTGATCTGTTTGTGAGTGTGAGTGAGAGAGGCTGTGATCTGTGTGTGTGTGTGAGAAATATTTGTGGAAGTACAGACATCAACTGTAAAGCAGAGTAGTGGAAGAAGAGAGGGAGGAAGGTAAGAAGAAAGAGGAGGATGCTTTTGGGTTTGTAGGGTGAAAAAACTTACTTTTTAATTTAAAATAAACCTTAAAAAATCCGGGTGTTTTTGGGGGAAAAATTTTGTTCCTCAATTTTTTGCAATTTTGGGGAAGGGAAAAAAGGTAAAAATTAAGGGGGGGGAAAGGGGGGAGAAAATTGAAAGGGGGTTGGAGGGAAAAATAAAATTTTAAATTAAAAAAAAAGGGTTAAAAGAAAAGGGGAAACTTTTGCCTTTCCCCCCCCCCCTTTGCCCCCCGGTAGGCCCCCCTTTTGTTTGCCCTCGTTTTTCCTGTTCTTTTTATTTTTTGGGGGTTTTGTGTTTTTTTTTTTCTTTCTTCCGTCCGTTGGGGGGTTGTTGGCTTTTGTGGTTTTTCCCTGTTTATTCCCCGTTCCTTTTGTTTGGGTTTTTTTTTATTGGTTGGGTCCGGAATT